GATGTCGGCTATTATCTATATGGTTTATAACAATATCTCACAAATATTCTGTGAAAATCAGGTCGAAATTTATAAAGTTATGTATGAAACACATATGTTTATTTAAAACCATATAGATAAGCCATGCAGACACTTTTACATGGATTTTCCCTTACATTTGCGAAATAACATCACATTGTTCAAACTTTTACGTAGTCACAATTAACGTCAAGTATGCCCGTTTGGCAGCCTGTTTTGAACACTTGTTACGTAGCTCTAAAAGAAATTTTATCCATCACGCCCAGTGACTGCACGGTGTAAAGTCAAAAAAAACTTCAACAAAGGGAGTGGTGAGTATATATAAAGAGAAATCAATTGATTTGATGCCCACTGATGCTCCCACTTCTCAACGATTTCTGGCCCTACCGACAGTTTCGTGAATTTCTCGCAACGTAACACCTCATTAACCAACTGGTGAGCTTCACAATTTAATTAGTGAAAGAGTCAGTTGGATTTCTAAGAGGATTTTTACGGTGAAACATTTATTAACACTGACCAGTAGTTCTGAAGGGTCGTGAAAAGCCATATTACATTGAGGTTGATCGTAAAAATTTTAGGAGATTCTTATGAATTCAGTGCACGCCTTTGTGATTGAGTGTTTCGGAAGGGGATGTTCTGAGAGCTAGTGAAGAAATGTAGCGTTAAATTTCACGCCAATTGACCCCAAAAATACCTCAAAATCCACTTTTTCGCTCACTTTACCGGAACACGAGGGTTGGTCAAATATTGATGATCCATTGACACTACATCATAAACCATCAATATATTGTCGAGTATTGAATGAAAAGATGACACGAAGTATTCAAGTGGGAATAACTTGTTTTATTTCGCTTGTCATTGGGAAACTACGGTTTTTTTTTTGGAAATCTCTTTTCAATTAAGTCCATGGCGTGGCATACCCCAGAAGAAGGGATTAGGAAGCATTAAACGAGAAAACTTGCAAAATTCTCACGCTTGTGCACGCAATGTTGAATGCTACGGTGTAATTTATAATTACTACTTAATGGAAGAGCAACTATTATAGGGAGTCCTTAATTGGATATCAAGTTTCTCTTCAGTTCCCTCTGTTTTTGCTGCCCCTATTTCACCACGAAAATGTGCGAATAATAAATAATGTTTGCCACAGAACATTTCTTGAAATCCAAGTACTGCGAAATAGCAATTAAAATCGCATTTAATGCTTTTCGATAAATCACAATTAAACAATTTCACTTTGAAGTTACCTCTGACACCTTCACAAAGCAATATCACGAAGAGTAAAGACATAGGCAACGTGATAATTAAATTTTATTCTTTGTAATTGAAATAGATTTTTCAGAAGAATTGAACCTTCATACAATGATTTTATATTCTTATACCCTGCACACAAAATCTTCAGTCTGCTCATTTGGTTTCAACTAAAATATTTAAAGACCAATTCTAGAGTAAAAATCGAATTGTATAAACCATTTCTAAAATAAAATCCGGTTTGTAATCTGATAAAGGTTTTTTCTGCTTTTTCATAATATATAGATATGTATGTATGTATGTCTATAAAAATAAAAATTGAAGGGAAATTTTAATTCCAGCGATAAAGATTTCAACAAAAAGAATAGTTGGTGCACTTCAAGTAAATATGTAAATGCTGTATACGCTCCGTGATCGGATTTAATAAATTGCCCACCCTTAAGTGGTGAAGTCTAAAACTCCAATTTTCTATTATTCTTTAACGGTGTATGGAATTTGGCATGCATGAACAACCCTTTTTACATCACTCTCTCCGTTAATCTATCCTTCAATTGTGGCATTTCTAGTCTCGAGCATGTCTACATACATATGTATATAGTTGCGGCAAATGGTACAACGCCTGATTTTACGAACGTGCAAGTTGGCTGATGTTATCAGCAACGAATAAACTTCCGGAAAGGGTAGTTTTCTTACATATGTTTATGTGATGGTGGTGTTACATAATTTGGGGATAATTGTGCTATGTTTCGCATAAGTTTGTCTTCTAACTTCACCTTGATCATTTAATCTTGATAACTTCTGCTATCGTCTCGGTACATACGAAAGGCTTCAGATATAGAGTTGAAGGGGACAAAAAAATAATTGCGATGAAAAGACACATGATATTTCCAAGGCTATCAAATTGTGTATTTGCGGTCAATTCTCATGGCAAATGCTAAATGTGTCATTCTTTGTCTTGTAGGAAACTCTGAAATGCTTAAGTGGACAGTAACGAAGAAATCCGAAAGTGGAGCAGATCCAATAAGGGCTTGTGTACGACGCTCCTTGGGTGTCTTGCCATCCGCTTCTGTGCAGCATAACCGTGAGATTCGACGTCAATCATTGGGCGTGACGAGCACAGCAGTTAAAAGACATCCACACCGAGACAAGGAAAATCACTTTATCGGATCAACACACCATCTTCGTGACTCCTTTGGACCCTCCTCGGCTCTCCGAGATGTTAGCAATATCACTCCTACATGCACACCTACTCGCTCTGCGACGGTAGTCAGTGGAAGTCGGAAGAGAACAATAGCAGCCACAAATTCTACTTTCCGGCCACCACAGTATGCCTCCACTCTACCTACCTTCGACATCGAATATTCACCGTGCAACCTTCGGGCAGAGCCCTATACCACTTCTAAGGATATTGACATCACCGACTCCTACCTTGATTGTCCGCGATACTTACCAGACGATCCGCCCCCCAGGAAGAAAGTCAAGGTGTGGAAGAAGAGCCCGTCCGAACCCTGCCTGACGCCTTTATCACATCGCCTCAATGAGCTGCGATTTAGTAAAATGAGTTTCCATCCAGAGCAGAAGAGAAGAATGCCATCGCCTCACGACACTTCCATTAGTTCATCTACAATGGGGGATGTAACTCTAGATCGCATGATAGATGCTATCCTTGAGAGTGCAAAGAAAGACAAATGGACTCCTATGAACCGTCGTACCTCGACATTCAAAAGCAAAGATAAACCTGCCGACTTAAAGACTCACTTTGGGAAGTTTAAGGACCAATTCAGTGTTTCTCCAACCTACACACCAGCGGAGGATCCCGCAAGTGATCTACAAGAATTCAACCCTCATATCGTTTTTTCTCCGGACAAATTTCTACATGCGGGTGACAAGACAATCATTCTCGAGGAGAGCAGCGTTTTTAACGAGCGAGAGGTGAGAACTCCAGATTCAAGGAAGTCCAGCAAAGAGAATTGTGTCTTGCGTAGGCAGAAAGCTGTGAGAAGAAAACACCAAAAAAATCATGTCGACAGAGTGGCAAAAGAGAATCGAAAGAAAAGGCAATGTCTCATTGGATTGAGCCTCCCAAATGGCATCCCCAGCCCAGAGACTCCCATCAATTATTCTGATTTCCCAACGACAGATTCGGCAAAAGAAAGGAGACGTCAAAGCATTGAAATGCTGGCCGCAATGGACACCCCAGAGGGTTTTGCAATCATCGTCGATTCAGACCCCAAAGATGTGGGCAGGCAGAAAATGGCTGCAAAAGAGTTCCCTGATGACAATACCTCAGGCATTAAGAGCAATGAATTGCGTGCCAGCTCCACACCAACAGGTGCCTCAGTATCTCTTTCGGACGGAGGCAGTAGACGCTGCTTGACCTTCTCACCAGAGTTTGAAGATGAGTCCCTAGAGAAAAGACGTTCTGTTGCCTCATCTACCAACTCCCGTTATGGACGTAACATCACGGGATCCCTTGACCTGGCCATATTTATCGGAGAAGACAATAAATTGAACATTCACGGTGAGTGGGTGATGGTAGGATCCCAATGGACTGATTGAAATTCCTCTCGTGCGAATATTTCTCACTCATGCATGCATATTGATCCATTTCAGTTATTCGTTGTCGTGATTTACAGAGGGCCAACGGACGTTCAATCAACGCTTATGTTAAGGTATATAGTATGCTATATAATCCTGAATTATTTCGTGCTTCTACATATCTATTTTCGATTTGGCTAAAGGAATTCCATTAATAACAAATTAACATGTTTGTCTTCTGAAAATTGTTTACATTACACCAATACTAGTACTAAGTTATATTATATCTTTAATCACAGACATCCTTAGACTCTTATTAAGCATGTTCATTGACTTTTAGAAGAAATATTTAAAAAATTATTATTATTAAGTTATTACGAACATCAAGTCTTTCCTGTAGTCGGATTTTCAGTGATTTACAGTTCCTGCAATCAATAAGTAATCTTAATAATACCGAATATTACTTGTTTTACAGATTTCTTTGTTTCCAATGGATTTACCAGAAGATAAGGAGATTGGTTTCCAGAGAACAGCAGTGCATCGAAACTCAAGTCGCCCTTACTTTGATCACCGTTTCACCTTTGATTTAAGGGACTCAGATCATGCAAAGCGAATTCAACTATCAGTATGGCATCGTGACCGAGAAAATAAGTAAGTGACACTTCTATATTGATCCGCCACTTCCTGGAACTGTCTGCATTCATGGCATTTTGTGGTGTGATGAATCTCGTCATTCTATGTAATTCCTTTTGATTGCGGATGGCGTGTTTGGCGCGGAAGCGTCTGCGAATTTTAATGCAAATAAATCCCCAATGGAGCATTTACCACCAATGTTACATAAACTGTGTGGGAATTTCAGTAATTCCACATATAGACAGTCACATTCGTTCTCTCACTTCGATTCTTCAATTCTCTCGCTCCAGTAATGAATTTTAAAGGCGACCCCTAATCATTGGACTCAAGCTCGCACTGAAAGGATATGTGGAGAATTTCTCCCTCACACGTCAAGGCTCATGCGCGAGTTCACCAACTCCGGTCGCAATTTGGCACTGTTTCGTTTGTAACTCTATGGAGCAATAGCACGACTGTTTTCACGATGTGACTGCGTGTTGGTAACCCAAATTGCGGCACCGGATCGATTCAGCCATTTTGAATCAGTCCGTCTCTTGATTTTCACGCGTAAAACTTCCCGTCCTCGTGCAAATAGTTTTTCTCGCAAAAGAAACTAAAATGTGTGAATTTTGCAAATAATCATACCGCAGTTCTTCTTGTGTAAGTGAATGTGCTCGAAAGCCTTCCTCTGTACCCAGTTTTATCAATTTTCCACCTAATACTTCTTGTAGGTGGATTTTCACTATGTACAGCGAAAAAAATGCTCTTTAGAGCGAAAGATTTTGTATGAAGTTTTTAATAATTTTCGGTAGCACAATAATTATTAAATAATACGTAAATCTCGCACCGATGTCTAGTATATTCCCATAAAACATCATTCACAAGTGCTCAACATTTATTCTGGCTTTTGACTACCGACTTGAGTGGATAAATTGTTCGTAAATATCATTAAAGAAGGGGTATCATTATTTATGAGCGGATACCCCTTAATTACTGTCTTAACCGTAGCGATGAGTAATTTTTGTGGTGATTTTGGTGATGGAACTGACTGTGAATAGGAAAGAACCTCCCTTTACACCTCCGACCGATAAAATAAATTCTCTTTACCATCCCACAATCAGTGAGAAGTGATTTCGTAATTTCTCTGAAGGGAATCTAAAACTATAATCAGAAGTAAGACTTTATAAATTAGCAGAGTGAAACTCCAACTTTATCTCTCGATTAAAGAATGGATTATTATTAACGTTACTACTAATGTAAATAATAATTTTTTAACATTCTATTTTACATTCACATTTACTCATACGTGTACCGTTGAAAATTCATAATATAATGACTTTTTTCTCTACATGATGAAGAAAATTTTATTGTATCTGCTTTTGACTATGCTCACTTTCTTACCTACCTCACACATAACAAATAAATCATACATATGACTAAAGAAGAAACACAAAATTGGATTAAATGGAAAATTTGAATCAAATATAGAGATGATGTTAAGATACTAAAACTCATATATTCCATGTTTTTATATTTGGAGAAACTTTTCCCGTGGATTATTGCGTAATCATCTTATTCAATATTTTAACTTGAGGTCGGAGACTTTCTACTTGTGATAAGTGCCAAAACCCATATATTTCCAACTGTAATGCTGAACCCCAAACATGTCCTTTTCTGTATCTTGTCACACGACATTTCAGGGTATTTTCTCCCCATTAAAGTTTCTTTGTTCGCCATCAAGTAGAATTTCAAGCGCAGAGAGTGACTCACTAAAAGACTAAGAAGAAAAATATATTCAGATATTTTTACAAATTGTAGACATTTCTTAGCCCTTCTCTGTTTTTCTAAGCCATTGTAGCACAACTATATCTATAGTGCTTTACATAGCCTCTATATTCAGACTTTCACCCTCTGTGGTAAATGGGAGGAAAAGAATTTCTTATAGTAAAGCTTTAATGGAGGAATCGAGTGCGAGATTGCGTCCAAAGTGAACTCAAGTGGAATCAGAAAGAAATATGACTCTGTTATAGTGTTTAAGAATGAGCGTTGAAGATAATTAATAGAAATAGTGAAAGTAGCGACGAACGAAAGAATATACCAACAAATAGAGCAGAGTTGACTATATTTCTCGTCTCATAGAACTCTCTTACATAATTTCATCGCACGTCACTACCTCTACGTCATCTCAACTTCTGTCTAGTCGCTCCAGTATACTCATAGAATTCCCCTAGAGACAACATAACTTTTATTTAATCGATCAATTAATTGGGGAATTAAGGCATACCCTTTTGTTGCTGTGTTCAATCCATTCACTATATGAACACTCGGTGACAGATACTATCAATAGAACGTTCCCCGTGTTATATATTCAATTATGCATTGCAATAGTCCTTGTTCGACACTAAGCCCAAACAAACATCATGTCTATTCATGAATTTATATACAAAATGCCTATTTATTGTAACTTATTATGATTGGGGGCGAGGGAAGTGGTGGCACGAGGGATATTTAATGGTGCCAAAAAAATCACCCGAAATTGATTTAATATGTCAATTGGTAGACTGTATAAGAGAATGAAGGAGTAAACGAAACATTTTCCATTTTGCATTTCATATATATTGATTTTTCCCACACAATTTTTTTTCAGTTTTCTTATAATATTTTCGCGCATACATATGTAGTTATGATGACAAAAAATATAATGTACATCAACATTCTCATTACAACAGTTCTTAAACAATTAAAAATAGAGCGGGCTTCGCCTCGTTCAATTATAAGGACACGCTTTTGCAAAAACGAGAACAAGGTTCATCTCACTAAAATATCTTTATAGGCAGAAATGTGAACATGGAAGATATTAACTTGATTTTATTCAGAACGCGTTTTTCTCTTGGGTAGCATTGAATGACATTACAGATTTAAAAAATGCCGGAAGGATCTTTTTTCCATATTAGATAGTTTCCCTCCTTCGTACGCTGGGAAAATATCTCTATGTTATTCTAATTATTTTTCTTATCCGCTCCTTTACTTTTGCAGACGCAGCGAATTTTTGGGATGTTTATCATTTCCAGTTAGGAATGCTGCTAAAAAGGTAAGAACTGAGTATTGTTATTCTATTATAACACCTCACACTGTTTTCGTAAATTATATAATTGGAAAAATCCGCGTAATATATTTTGTGTTTGGAAGTCAATGGAATCTACACATTCAACCACACATTTATGTTTGAGCATTATATTTTTTTTTGGAGAAAAGTTTTCATATTTGATGCCAAGTTATTGCCAATAGAGAGTACATTAAGAGTTGCAAATGAGTTTCTGGAAGGACGTCTAGAATGTATGTATGTCTGTACATATATGATGAGACCATAGAAAACAACATAAATTCTTGAAAGTTTATTACACAAGTATAAGTTCGATGGTCTACTTTACGAAATGAGCAATTCAATTATTGACGAAGTGGTGGTCTTTGCCTCCATGCAAAGACTGTGGTAAAATTGCAGTGAGAAAATACATGCACTTTTCACCTCCGCTTTCATAGGAAGTGGGTTAAATAATTCATTTTCTTTAAAAATTAAATATATGCTCGACACAACAGGAATTTTTTGCTTAAGTGTAACGTAGTTTTACCAAAAATGTAATGTACATTTCTAATGTGAGGCTGTTTAATTTTTATCATTTCTTCAGAAATGTTTTCTGTCATTATTCTCATGATATTGAATTAATTGTTTTTCAGGCAATTAATGGATCGTACAAGTTGCAATCCCAGTCGTGTTTGACTAATCCGGTGTGTGCTGTCATGGGTGAGAACTCCCAGTCAAGTGTGGACGAGGTGATCAGCCTGGAAGAGTTAGGTGGCGAACATGCTTCCCATACTACAATTGCCTTTAGCAAGAAGGCTCTCCACCAGCGCGATGCTGATGAGAATCTCTTCCTACGCTTCCTGGAATTGGACCCTCCGCAGGATGCAACTGGGGCGAATCGGCGACAGTCCACGACGAAGTCCTCCAATGGTCGAACGCCCTTCACGATCACGAAGAAGCTATCACGAACCGGCGAAAGTCGGGGCTTTGGCTTCTCTATTGTGTGGACTCACCCACCACGAGTGGAGAAGGTTGAATCAGGTCAATGTGCGGAGCGGGCAGGGATTTGGCCGGGCGACTATGTGATCTTTGTCGATAAACACAATGTAGTGACAATGCCGGAAGTAGATATACTCAACCTAATACGCTCCCAGGGTAATAGTTTAACATTAGAGATATTTCGGCGACCTGTTCAGCAACAGCGGACTACAATCGCCGCCACCCACACAACCCCTTCTACGAGCCACCAGACGCCCGTTCACGTACATTCCCAGGCTTCTGATACGCCGTCACACCAACAAAACGGACTACAACTGCACCGCATGTCGTCTGGCACGCAGCTGGCCGGTACTAGGTCCTCCATCGCCTGCTCCAACGCCTCCATTTCCGCAGAGACCACGAAGAGGCGTCTCCACCTGCCCCAAGTCACCTTCAGCAAAGAGGTAGGACAGGGCGTGATTGTTTAGTACGACACTCAAACACTTCCGTCCACTCCTCTTAGTGCACTTTCTGTTACTCAGCGTTTCTCGGGTTTCTCACATACATAAATATATCGGAGATGTGCGGTTGTAAACTATTTTGCACATTCACACAAATGGGAAACATCTATATGGAAAACAATACTATTATATATATATATATTTGATAAAATCCAAAAGCGCTATGAAGCAAATAAACTATTTAATTCTTCAATATACATATATATTTATTTATGTGTTTTTAAGACAATAAGCAATGATTATTCAAAATATGTAATTCGTACATTTTTTTTTAGAAATAAACACTAAAGAAAATATTATCATGATGAATCCGCACATCTCCCATCATTAGAAATACATTCATTGCTATTCTCAGGACATTTTCTTTCTTTCTTTTATACTGTAAAAAATACATTTTATTCAATTTAGGCATAGAATTTATCATGAATCATTCCACTATATCTCCACACTGAAAACACATGTTTACCTGACAATAGTGAAGATTCTTAATTTCTATTGAAGCACAATGAAACAATAACCAGCGAAGGCAATGATATATTTCTCAAAATATACACGTACTGAATTTTGCATACTAAATAGATTTACATACAATTATTTTTAAAATATCCTTTTAAGTTTCAAAGTAATATTGATTATCTGTATATTCATCTTAAAGACGTGTGTACATAAATACATTGTTTTAAAGAATGTAATACTCGGAAAAATACGCTTGTAATTAGGTGAAAAGGTTGTTGCCTCTCATAAGAATATATTTGAAAGAAGTTGCTGTAAAAAGATGTGTGAGAAATGATATACCAAATTTAGTGAAATTGTAGGAAAAATTACGTGAAATGTTGTTTAATTGTTGTGATTAGCATTATTTTATTTAGTTATATGAATTGTAATTTTGTTTCACCTCCCAATAATTAATTTCTCCATAAGCTAATGTGAAAAATACCTCATTATAATTTATTTCCTCTTGTACAGTATAAAATTAACGTGTCTAATTGTAAGGTAACAAGTTTAAGGGAAACGTAACTGAATTAGTCTTGCAATATTCTTAACGTTACGGACTAATTAATGTATACACAGCTATATATATATATGGAAATGAGGAGGGAATAGTAACATAGTAACAAATGAAAGGATAATATGGAGAACAAGGAAACACCCCAAATAGCACCATTTCACACAATCTTGATTTGTTTTATATTTATCCTCCTGAGAGCCATTTCACTATACAATATTTGTGTTATAACTTTTATTATTTTAAATGTTGTGACACGTTTTTTACTTGAGTTATAATTCTTTCATTTTCATTTGTAGCACTAAAAATAAATGAGACAAATTGCTTATCAAAATTTTATGATATAATTGTATTTTTTTGGTTATCCCTATAATTTCTATGTTTGCACATGTACGCACCAGCAAATTAGGTCTGAGACGCTGTTTTTCTTCCTCTAATTCCATAGTCAATTTTACCACAGAGTGGAGACGATCAGAGACGGAGATACTTGTACCAATTGATAAGCAGGGAACAGCATTACGTAAACGCTCTCCAGTTTGGGATGCAGCGCTTTACGTCTCCTCTGAGAGAACGCAAAGACTTAATATCACCCAGCGATCACCGAACTTTATTTCAAAATATCGATGAGGTAAAACTTAAAAAATGTATGATTAGTGCGATTTCTACATTGATAAGATTAATATCTCTGCAGCTGCAACGAATATCTGAGGACATTCTCGAGCAATTAGTGCAGGACGATTTAGAGCCTCAGGTTACCTTTGCCTCCCGTGTCTACATGTCCAAGACTACGGCCATGTGTGTGGCTTACAAGAAGTACTGCAATGGACTGAAGCGGGCAGACTGTGTTCTCGTGAACAAATCACGCCACGCTAATTCGGAGTTTGTCAAGTTCATTACTGAGCCACAAGTGCCACGGAAGCGTCCCGACCTTACCTCCTTCATCCATCGACCCTTGCAGCATTTCCGTGAGGTGCTGAAGTTTATCCAAGTCACTACGTCGCATTGTCGTCTTGACAGTGATGAGTATCGAAACTTCTCTCAAGTTGTCCTGGAGCTACAGGCCGCCTACCGCGAAATAACTGTCGGTGGAGGTCTCATGGAGCCACTGGGTGAAGGTAAACCACTACTAACACTGCAAGACTTGGAATCTCGTCTCGTATTCACGCGTTGTAAACCCTTTGTCCTCGCAACACCGGGTCGCCAGTGGGTTTTCGGTGAGATGATAACTCGTAATCCCTTTAAAAATAGTATATTCAACGTATGTATTTCTAGGTGGCGATTTGTCACGTGTAGAGGGCCGTTCTGTGAAGCCGTACTGGACACTGCTGTTTAGTGATATTCTCCTATTTGCGAAAGTCAGTAGAGATCGAGTCCTATTCATAACTGAAGAACCTCTTCAACTTGTAAATATAACTGACTCCTGTTTCAACATCAGAAAAAAATGTAAGATTCCTTTTTACATTGAAATTTTCAGCACAAATTCCACATTCAAACAATCTGAAGAAGTTTTTTTCGGTTTAAAAAGCAATTGCTGCTAATTCTGAATACAATTTTTTTTTTTAATTCTTGACTTTTAAAATACACTAAAGATACAATAAAACACTTGACAATAAACATTATCATACACATAGTATACATTATTAGTATATGCAACCAACATTTTTTCTTTTTTTTTCATTATCCACAGCCACTGAATTTCGGATAACCATTGATCCTCTGGGGAAGACCGCTGAAAGCCCTACAGCCCATTGCACACCAGATCTCACGAAAACACCACGGAGGAATTCCCGAAGACGCAGTATAATTTTAAGGGCACCGTCATCTGAATTAAAGGCTGTTTGGCAAAACCTTTTGCAACGACAAATGTAAGTGATCTAATTCACTTCGCATTAAATTGTTTTGTATATTACTACTTTTTATTAATCCTGAACAGATTTCTTGTGAACGCCGCTCTGGGATCGACTCCACTGAGTAGTCCACTGGACTCTCCAGACGTAATGCAGAGCCTCATTCCCTTAAGCAGTGACATTGGAGCAGCCACGACTTCAATGGCGTCAATTAAATTGTCATCTGTAGATAGTTTAGCGGTGAAAAACAATCAGCAACAGGTGCGTCCTAATCGCATAGTCTCCTCTTCCTCATGTGCTCCTGCGTCCCCCAAACCCCCTTTCATGAACACCACCGCTCGACCGGAGGCTCCCCCTTCCTCCATTAGTAGCAAGTCCCTGTCAGCCATACCTGAGGTAGTTCTAGAAATGAGTGAACTTGCCAACACGGGTCAATCTGGACTCAGCAAATCTTGTCACGAGACCACTTGTGACAAAAGTACATATTTTACCCGCAAAGCTCCACAAATGCGGAATTTCAGTATGAGTTCCGTTGGTCGTTCTTTTATCGATGAATCGTCTTCCTCAATTCCTGATTCAATTATTCAGACACCAGAGACACCATCCGCCAACATATCACCCTCATCTTCCAATCAGTTCTCAGAGACTTTCTCCAATTTCGAATTCAATCTTCTTCCGTCCACTTCGTGCACCAAGCCCTCGCCGGAGAGAAACTCCTCAAAGCGCACGGAGAGCAGTTTCGCCGGTTCATGGGATCTTCTCGAGCTGGACTTAGATTTCCATCAAGTTAATTTAGACACGTCTTTTGGCGGGGACGTAGAAGAGTGCGTTTTCTTTGGAGACGACCCTTTCGGTGTTTTACCTTGTCGACCCACACCGCCAGATTCGCTGGATCTCTGATGATCTCCCTCTCGCATCGTGTGTATCAAGTACCTTAAAGAATTTCTCTGTAGCTTTCGATATTACCATGTATCAGATGTGAATTTTTAGAAACATTTCACAGTCCCATCTCATTGTCAATGTGCTGATAAGAATTAATTTCACATATTCGTTCCATGTGAACCCCCTATTTAAGAAGTATGTATATACTTCGAATCAACTTATATTCCAGCCTGAACAATTTTACCTTCTCCTCACTTGCCATCATAAACAAATTGTTGCTCAGTGTGCTTCTGGGTGTATGATAGAGAGATATGGACAAAACTAATCAAAGTGAATAAAATTTAGTGTATGCAAGATTTTTTGTGATAAAATGAAGACAGATACATAGAATGATTAACAAATTGGGCCTCAATAAATCTTATTAACTGTTACCACAGAAAACAAATTGATATGTAAAATGTATAATATCTGTTTTATGTTTCTTGTTTTCTCTCTTTTTGAATGAAAATAAATTTGTTTTGAAAGAACGCTTGTGAGTTGTTATTTGGCAGTGGAAGATCTGATAAAATTATATACTTTTCAAATATTCTGCAAAACGCGAATATGGCCAAGTCTATTTAATTCTTATTGTCCACTCTTTGTTGGGTGTGTAAATTCATAAGCGTTTTTTCAGGACAAATTCAGTGAAGTGTATGTGTTGAAAAATAAGAAAAACAGTAAACGTACTAAAAGAAGAACTCACGATTGTGGTTTTCTAAGGAACCCGATAGCACCTCCACTGACACATCAAAGCAACTGGAAGAGTTCATTGACGAAAAGTGTCGACAGATGAACAAATCGGGAACACCACGTGGAGGAGCTTTACACTTGGCACAGTGGATGAAGGGACAACTGGATCAAGCTATTAGCAAGCATGAGAGTGAACGAACAGCCCTGTTGAGTCAATCCGAGCCAATTGAATCCGAGCCAGAAGACGATACCATTGAAGAGTGGACGACTGAGCAAGTGCGAAAGCGATCGCGAGAGTTACAGTTGATCGACGGCAATGGGCGATGCCAAATGCTTAAGATTGATGGGCCTTTAAAGTTCAAGGATGGTGCTAATGGTAGAAATTCTCGAATGGACGATCTCTCTGGTGCAAGTGAGGTGGAAGATGAAAGCAAAAGTGCATCTAGAAGTACAACTTCCGATAGTCAAGTAGGTTTCCGTGCTGGAAAATTATATATAGATTAGTAAAATATATAAATTTTTTACAGATCACTGTCCGTTCGAGTCCAATTGCCCATGCTACAGATACTCTTTCTGTATGTCGACAATGTCACAAAAATTGCTCAAAAGGGAAACTATCACATTCTTCGACTTCAACAAATTCTCTCAAAGTGCAACACACCCAGAGAAATCTTGGTACACAATGTTGCAAAGCCAGTACCACTGCAAGTAGCATCACCAGTGGAACCTCTTTGTCAGCCTCTTCCACGACTATCACTGCCGGCGAAGTGGAATTAAGAACTACAGCCATTCGAAAAACCCACCAAACTCCAATGCCGAATGGTCTTCCAAAAAGACACATTATGTGCAATTGCAAGTGTACTCCCCAAGATTTTCACGGCACCACCATCAGTCCCGATGAAATGACTCAAGAGACATGCAGACTTTTAGACGGTGTGCACGAAATCAAGAGAGTAGGGCAATTGAATCACGCTGGAGGCGTCATAAACCACGCTAGTCCCCTTGGAAAATGCAAATGTGCATGCACGGAGTCATCCAAAAAGGATGACTCAGACGACTGGTCATTAATGCTAATTGGATTATCTCAGATAAATCCAACTTCATCATTGGTACACCAAGATCCTTTCGAGGCAGTCCCCAGCATTTCTGTTGTGCCCCCCACCCCGGACGGAACTAGCGTCAGCAGGGCATCGTAAGTACAACTTAAATTCAACCTTCATACCGTAGAAGCAAATTTCCATTATATTCTCTTAATGAAACATAATTTGCATTTTCAGCGCGCAAACGTGGGATGGTACCAAAGGTAGTAAAATGGTAAAAAATACATCTAAAGACGATGAAAACTCGCCAGAAGACGAATCACCTCACGAGGAGCCACCCTACAAAGTGTTAAATACCAGTTTAAGACGATATGGAACTCTCTCCAGTCTTGAAAAACTCCCAAGTGAAGATGCCGAGACGTACAATTCATCAGATGAAGAGGCAATTGACGATGGAGACATCAAAATTGTTACGAAAGAGGTCTATAATCTTAATGATGCAAACAACCCCTCATTGAGAAATTGGACCGCTAGAGCTGGATCTTATATGGTGGAAAAAATGTCCTTCTTTGAGGAGTCTAGGGCATTTTTCGACAAATACTTGGGACGTTGGGATCGTGATGCTGACCAACAATTAACTTCAGCGGGGATTGATGAGGAGAATTTGGATGAATGTACATCAGGTGGAACTTCAGGTGAAGAAGTTTGGGGCACCCCAACAAGTGGAGGGGAAAATGATGAAATTCAGATGTTCAACTCTGACCACACTCAGTCTGTGAGTTCTGACAAACCAGTTGCGCTATAGGAGTAAATTAAATCTAAAAAAAATCCTCTTCCTTTAGTCTCCTGAGAGATCCTCCTCATCCTTCACTGGAGACGATGATACTGAACTTATGATGGATGAACTTCTGATGGCTCCACCAATGACTGCGAGCGCAGTGCGAGGACTTTTGCCACGGTATATTTTTTGTCACTTTTCATAGTTAAAAAATTGAATTCTTTCAAATATACGTATAACGTATATATTTTTTACATATTAATTCCATTTCTATCTTAGTGAAGTCATGTTAGATTATTTCTGACAATAGTGCCACATAGATTTAGAATAAAAGAAATAATAGTGAAAATTCTTGATACAATAGTAGAACATTTACATAGTTCTAGTTACAATTATTGTAGGAGAAGATTAGAACCATTGTTCGAAGAGGATACCGAGAGTGGGGAGTCCGAAGAGGAAAACATGGCTCTCGGTCGATCGTCCATCAATCAGGTAGGTCTTTCAAATAAATCTTATTGCATTCCCATATAGAGTAACAAAGATATTATAGAATTTAATTAGTTCCTCATTCTCAGTTAATATCTTGTTAATACCCTAATAAATATCAATAGACTTTGTAGATCCTCATAGCTGGCTGTTACTAAAACGAACTCTTAGTGGTAAGTTTAATCTCTTTCCATAAATCGGCAGGGGCAAGTGGCGGAAAGAAACTGGTCAAGAAATGGACCAACTTCAAAAGATTCACCAGAAAGCACCACGTCAGAGACCCTGTCCGAAGCGACGGTCAGCACACCACGAGAACTGGAGTCGACAGTGATTTCGATGCCCACAGAGGTGGCGGACCTGGAGATAGAAGTCGGACTCAGTGTGCCTCCCGCAGTGACGAAGGTGGAGGACGACTGTGGAAGCGTTGCTGACACATGCTCTTCTCCATCTCAAATACCGAAGGATGCAAGCGTATATGCCGCAAGTACCGATCATGTCGAAAAGTTTTCAAATGCTGCGGCACATGTCGGTCTGAGCCCCCGTTTAGAGATGCGCTTAGCTCTCAACCAGGATATTATGGGGGACGAAGATCTTATAAGTTACGACCCTGGACCAGATCTCAGTACAATTCTAGGGTTAGTTCATTGAAAGCATGCGTAGATTTTAAGTAATACTCACTCATGATGTATTTATGTACAATTATATTCTGTAGACACGACCTCTCCACATACCAGCGACTAACTGGACGGGACCTTCTGACCCGCTCAGCCAATCCCAGAGTGGCCATAGTGAAAGAAGCGGGAAGCAACTCGTACTATCAACAAAAAAATTCAAAGATGGACACTCCAACACCAAATCGCAAAAAGCCAAATCCAAATACATGGAACAGTTCTGCATCTGTGGATCAAGGTTGGGAAGAATGGTTGAGATACAATTCAATTATTTTTTAATAAATCACTTTTCTGCAGCCGACGAAAAAAGACTGTCAGACCTCGAACGCCTAGCGAGACGCGAGAAGATGTACTGCATGTCTCAATTGAGGAGTGGTCAACTGGTAGCTCAAACGGATCCTTCGCAGATCAATTCACCGAGCACAACGCCAAGTCGGAGACCAAGTAAAATGTCAGTCAAGTGATTTGAGCAAGGGGAATTCAATGCACTCATCCACGTCCCTCGTCTTTTAGATTCAGCTTCCTCACGCGACGAAATTCAGAAAATCACTTGCCCAAAATATTCCCGAAGGAAATGGGAGATGATTTGAGTGTATCTACGAAAACATGTTCACCACGTCGTGAAAACGTGAGCAAAATTCATTCCATTCAATTCTCTGTTTCTGCGGTACTCTGACCTTTTCTAATCATTCATTATTCCGATGTATGCAGGACAAAGCACTGGAACGACGATTTTGGAAGCAATTGACACGCAGACGTCGTCACTCTGCATCGGAAATTTCGGCCAATTAGAGATGAAATCACGTTACCTTATTGGATTTGCCAAAGAGAAAATTATATAGAGAATTGGTGCTGATAACCTGGAGCGAAGTCCTGCAGCAACACAACTTAAGGGTAGATTGAAGTTCAATCCCACTCAACGAAAATCACCCAATAGCAAAAAAGATTTAGAGCATTATAGACAAATTTTATAGTTAGATCAAATTTCATCATCAAACTCACTCGACAATTCTAAATTTCGATATTTTACCATTAAAGTCACCTTTGAATATTACGATAGTTGAATTACCGATAGAGTTTAGTCTCTTAAAAACTCAAATCAAAGATTATAAAGTGAATTTTGCTAATAGCTAGGCATGTTAATTCGTGAGACAATTTCACTAAAATGTCTTAAAAGAGATTTTTGAATATTCTAGAAACAATTACAGCATCGAATATAATACTGAGAGATTTATGAAGAGAATATTGTGAAGCAACAATTAAATTGTTCTTATAGGCCTATTATACTGAATGCATCAATTCTACCAGAGAAAAAAAGGAAATGAAAAAATTACTCTGAACGAAAATGATTATAATACACATCCAAAACATTAATCTCAAAACATTGAATGAGAGTAGGTACTACTGAAAACCATTGCAGAAATATTTAAACCTTTAGATGTGTCCAGATTATACAATATTTTGCCTTAATTGTAAGTGATTGAAGTAGAGAAAGAACGTGTAACTCTACTAGTTTAGAAATGGTAATAAACAATGATATTGTAAATATTTCTTAGCAAGATATTGAATTACCAGCCAAATTTATTTAAATATACTCAATAAAAATTCTCCAACGAGATTATATTCAGCATTGTAATAATTTCATTCTTGGATTCATCTAGAAACACACAGTCATCATGTTTCATTTGCGTTTCATTTGTGCGTCTTGATGCATTTGAAATGTAGCGGGACTTCCGTGAAACAAATTCGTGTTCGACTTTTCGAAGAAAGTCGTGAATCGGACAAAGGCAGCTGTTGGATGACGTCAGTTTCATTCTGACAATCTGGATTTTGTAAACATATAGTGAAAACTCTGATTTTGACTTTTTGCTACTTACTCTTCAATATTTCTTAGCTGAAATATATTTAGCAATGGGTGAAGATATTCTTGCAACATTTAAGATACTTATTATTGGTGAGAGTGGAGTGGGGAAATCAAGGTAATGAACATTTTTCCAGTCACATTTCTGACTCATTTAACACGTTATTTACAAATTATTTACGCATTAATTTTAGCTTGATGCTCCGATTTGTGGAGGATAATTTTGATGCTGATCAGTCTATAACAATAGGTGTTGATTTTAAGACAAAAATCGTCAACATCGACGGAGTAAACGTGAAGCTGGCTATCTGGGATACAGCCGGACAGGAGAGGTTTCTTATGCATTTTTTATGCGTGAAGCACAGCCTAATCAACTTCTTTATATTGTATAGATTTCGCACATTAACACCCAGTTACTACCGTGACGCTCAAGGAGCCATTCTTGTTTACGATGTGACCAAGAAAAACACCTTCCAGAAACTGGATCTGTGGCTCAATGAGTTGGAAATCTATGGCACTCGTCCGAATATGGCAAAGATGGTAGTTGGTAACAAAATAGACCAGCCCAATAGGGAAATGAGCCGGGATGATGGCTTTAAGTTCGCCAAGAAGCACAGAACTCTGTTCGTGGAGACGTCTGCCAAAACAAGCGAGGGTGTGAGATCGACATTTGAGGAAGTGGTTCGCAAAGTGAGAAATTATAGCGTTTTCCTGTGCATTGGAGGCAAGAACATGATGTGATTAATTTCCCTTGCAGATTATGGAGACGGATGGCCTGTGGGAGAGAAATGTCAGGAGTGATACAGTAAATCTGAGCGATGATAGATCACAGTCATTCTGTTCGAGCTACTGCTCATTGCTATAAGTGTTGTGCTCAGGAAGTACACGGAGAATTGCGTCGAGGAGATGTGTTGACAGTTTTCCCGTGAAAGGAAAAAGGCATTAATATTTCAGCGCTTGTATCACACAAAAGTTGGTGTAATTTTTCAAGGGGGAACATCTTCATTTATTTTATCTCCGTTCCTACATTATTTATGCAATTAGCATGAGATTTTCTGTTATGTATAGTCCAAAAGGTAGGAGAGTCAACACACACATCTGCATAATTAATTCAATAATATTAATTAATTACGGTGTCTCTCAACTATATACCGCTCTACACAAAAAGCTCTATCTGTCTGGAGACAACGTTAGGAGCAGATAAGAGATAATAAGAATAATTGATGTGAATCAAACTTTCATATAATGGAATCTTTCACAAAAATAGCACATATATATAATGATGGAACTATAAATATCTAGAATGGTGTAAATAAATTTTATATTTGAAATGCAACAACATACTATCAACGATTCTCGTACATTATGTACAAAGCATGATTATGTGATTTATGGACATTTATAAATTTGTGTTAAAGCAAAGTAGTCATTTTTACGAAATATGAAAAAATGGTACTTCACTGGCCAATAGAATGGAGAATAAATTTGAGAGGATATTAGAACTTACAAATCATCCCCTTTCGATGAGACCTTCAGACACTGAATTCTAAGAAGAGGCTCATCGAGTTTGAGGGACAAGGCGTCGAAATGTGGTTTCATGTCCATTACTTCTTTAGGAGTACGTGGAGAGCCACTCAGTGAAGAGTCGGAAGTGGGCAGAGGCAACTCATTTATATGAGTTGTTGAAGGTGAAATGATGCGGGATAAAACCAAAGAGACTCACATCTGTGGATAGTGATAAAAAGTTAGTTTTTCGTCTCTCAGATCACGATGCTCTCGACTTTATCTCCACACCCAATTCTTGGGTGTATCTCCCTTTTTATTGCATTTTCCTTGACATTCTCCCCGGGGCGGGTGGATGATGTATAAAGCGCCTGAAGATGCTGGTGGATTCCATTTAGGAGGGATGATGGATCTATTTTATTATGGCGTTTTTTCCTGCGTCTTGTATTTGGATGTCTGTTTTTCCTCTTGCGATGTATCCCCCTTTTTATTGCAGGAACTCGTGAGAAGGTATGCCAAGTGGAGCAGTGTACTATCATCGATTCACAGAAAATATTTTTTTCGTATCTATTTCTTGTGTAGGTATGCCCAGGGCATTTTCCAATTTTCGCAGGCACTCTGCCAAATAATCCTCCTTCATATGACAATTTCCCTTTGATATGTCTCTAGTAGTAGATGTGTAGGTATGAAATATGTCTCGATGAGCAATATAAAGAAAATGCGAAAGAAGCTGGCAATGGGTAAAAGTACCCTTACGGCAATAATCATCTTGATCTAAACTACTCTTCGCACATCTATCCACGGAACTGCTCCCTGATCACGGTTTATTTGTGGCTTGTATACATGACGCTTTACCCTATGGAGTGAGAACTTGGGCGTAGGGCCTGAGCTGGGGGGTATGTAGGATGCTGCAAGAGAGGAGCATGCGAATGGAAAGTAGTGCGCAGGATCCCATTTCTTGTACACACACAGTAAGGCGTCCCCCCACCCCGGGCGGACGTCAGCACCCTCTGGAGAGACGCACTGTGGCGCCTCGGTAAATAATGCTCCCATTATGGAACTCTGAGCTTCGGCTCCTGGCTCACGTCCTCCCAGTACACATCATGAGTCGAGAGTGTTCGGAGGGTCGTTTCAGTGGTGGCTTCCTTGGGAATCGTGACACTTTATGAATATACTGTTTGCTGTGCATTCCTTTGAGTGAAGTGCCACTGTGGTCTATCTCTTCCTCTTCTCTGAAAAATTTTCACACTTTTCACCTCCTTCAGTCCAATAATTGATCAAAGTGAGTATTCCAGATAATTACCTGAAAAATACCGTGCTTTTTTATTATGTATTACTGATTCACACGGACATTCACTCTACAACTCACACTGTGTGCCACAGAACTTTCTGAGTACATTGAAAAACCCAAGAGAAGTGTACCTATGTATGTATCTACTCGGGAAATAGTTGTGTGAAAATAATAGAATTCATTTATTCATTTGGACTCCCAAGCTTGCCTGATGAACATCATCACATATCATACCCACACTCTCATTAAATCGCATCTCTCGTCGTTGTTCCACACCAAAATATTGATTATAGCATTATGCGTGTGAATAAATCTTTAGATTATAATTTTATCACCAAATCCTCTTTAATATTTTGTAATAGTTTCACGCAATTTAAAGTCAACTGGGTGTTAAAACGCCACCCCTTGTCTTTGCACTTAATTTCAATCCACCAGCTTGATTTGCATGCTGTGTGTTGGTGGGTGGAACTCCAAATGATATGGAATGTGTCTCACAGTCTTTCACTCTGAGATGAACTCCCGAGAATGCTGGGATGCTCGTGTTTCACAACTCTCTTTCAGGGAGAAGGGGTGAGCCGATAAGGGCAAAAAAAGCCCCAAACACCCACTCTAAAATGCCTTAAACTTTTTTGTATGTGTGACGTCTCGAAAAACGAAAATGGGACGCTGGGAGGTCGCTCAGAATTCCCAATACTCGACCAAATACGACATGGGGAGATGGTGAATTCCTCGAAAGTTGCGGGGTTTGAGGTATTGCTCCCTTACTGGGGTTCTGCTATCTAGGCGAATGGGCGGATGCTGACATACAGTCTTTTGTACTTTTCGCTATTCCACTCCCGGCACCAGCCGCAGTCCATTCTTAGGATTGCTTAGCACTTTTTGCTATAAACTTATTCACATACTCCCTATGCTATTGTACGATTTCCATGCAACTTTTCATCTCATGGGGTTTTTAACCCGCAGAACAAATTTCACCCCCAGTTTACACAGCTACCCCTCAGCTGAATATATCCAATGATAGTATTAGAAAAAAAAACTTCCAAATAGACTAATAGGATTTTCTAATTAAATTTCTCATTTACATTCTGGTCAACGGCTCATAGTCGAACAAACTAAAGATGCTCATTGCGTACCGAGAGCCAATTCCCTCATGGACGGAGAGACGGAGGCCGAATAATAAATTTTATCCGAGAACGAGAATGATGGCAGGCGGTCTTTCGAAAGAAAAATAATATTACCGATGGGTGGAAAGATTAAGTGGCTTTCCGTATTTTACTTTTTGCATTCGCCCGCTTGTTCTTTATGAGAAATTTGATGTCAGGGGCTGACCAGCACTTTTTCAACTACACTTATGAATCTTAAAAATTTTCCAACCACCTTTCCTATGTGCCATTTGTCATTTCTCGAGTTTTCAGACGTTCTTGGACTAATTAGTCAAAATAGTTTATTATGCCAAATTGTCTAACCAGTGAGTTATGCTATATTACATAGAAAGTGATTTCTTCCCTAGAGTAAAAGAAGTTTCTCAATTGACACATTTTCTTGAAATAATTTTAAATATTTAATAGGTAAATTCAAAGTAATACCAGTATGAAACTTTTACCAATTGACCTTGTTTAGCGAGCAGCCTCTTGTGTGGTTCTTTATCATTATATCAGAAACCTGTGCGCTCGTCTCCGACTTACCTTCTTTTTGCCCATGCTGAAAAAGTATCGTTGTATACTAATATGTACATACTTATAAATAAGAAAAGGAAAATTGAATCTGACTGTAAGATTATGGGCTTTCTGTACCCAAGTTGTTTGCACCCAACGTATTTTCTAAATTTTCTCTTCCGCTGAGTTTTATCGATTTGTGATTGCATTTTGCAATTTTCTCCAGAGTTCCGTTTGGAAATTGCCTTCGAAGGTGCTTCATGTTCAGGTCTTTATGGTTCATCGGGGTGAATTGTTCAGAGTTGGGGAATCAATAAATTATTGCCACTTTTCATATCGCACACCCTCATACCCACACGATCATCTCTAAACATCCGCTCCTTTTCTCGCACCCATCATCAGGCATTCAGCTTAACAAGACAGCCCAGCATTCAAGGCAATCGTACAGCTTTGAGCAACTCTCAAGTCAGCTTTTCCACCCTTCGATTCTCCGCGCGCAAATTCCGCCACAATAAAAATACATGAAAATCCCGTTCAATGAATTTTTATGTATATGTATAACATTTTCCATAACCACCCACGCTAGGGGTACGCACCATGATAAAATATTGTGTCGCTCTTTGGTCTCTCTCTCTCTGTGTCGTTTGTCTGAAAGAGATACACCCCATAAGACATTGGAATTGAATTTAAGTCGTGACACAGAGAAAAAATCAATCACGATTTTTTATTCTCCTCATTCATTTCTTCTCTCTACCACACGCCCTAAATAGTAAGAAAATTGAACCAATTGAGCATCCCACCCCATCAGCAATTTCCAAATATTGTTATATAATGTGTCTTCTGTTCCGCCCAGCAAAACTAGCATAGCGCACGGTACTGTGTATATTTGATGTATACATAAATTGCTTCTGCAAATATTTTCGCGCATAGAATTTCATTAAGAAAGCACTCTTGTGGCGGCTTTTGTTTAATATGCCAGTAGATGGATTGGAAATATCGTGCTGAATTTGTGGAGATTTTTTATTACAGATATTAATAATAATCGAATCAATAAAGCACTTATAACACAAGAACACGATTGGGAATATTTCTCCATCTCTATCCTTGAGACAAGGCGTGAGAAATTTCAATGATTTTCTATACTACACCACTCAACTTTACCGTCAAATTAAAATTAACTAGTTGGATATGCAATCAAATCAGTTATAAGTAGATAATTTAATTTTTTGCCATTTTGAAAACTGTATGAATTTACAAATAAAATTCATAGACAAATACGTAAGAAATAATACATAAATATTACATATTCTCCAAGACCTCTCAAGAGTAATTTTAACATATACAAATGTATATACATGCTTCAGTCAACAATTTTCAAATTTCAGAACGGAAATATTCAATTCTAAAAACACTTTTTTAGATCGTAGCTCTAGAAATTCACAGAAAACATTCCCTTTTGTTTCATCTGTTCCGCTGCCAAGAACTGTTCCAATAAAGCACACATAAACTGTGCACTTAAGAGTAATAATTACACCACTTTTGATTATAATTTTATTTTATAATTAACAGATTTTCTAAATATAAAATAAAATTTGACTTACAAAGATATATAGTTTCTCATTATTATATTTTCAATACAAACATACGTAGGGTACAGAAGTAATTTTAATATATTTCTTAACAACTATAAGACAATTTATTGGATTTAAAATATTATATAGAATTATTAATATTTTAACGATAAATCGTCTTGTGTAAGTTTTCATGTGTTATCAAAAAAAGATACCTCAAGCTACAAGAAATTGTAACAATATCACAAGAGAATTTGTATTCATAGGGCGTTCTCACGTCCATTGTAGGCTCCATGTATTATTGAATCTGAACATAACAATTCAATTTACAGTCAGTTCTAACTCAAGTGATTTTTATTTATTTCATGTTACTCGTTTGCAAATTGCATGTGACGTCCGCAGTGCAGCAGCTTCTGACCTCCTGAATGGTCCCCATAAATTCAGCGAAAAACTGTCAAGCGATAAAACGGATAATTCAAAGAGTGGATTTGTGGAAAATTCTTTTCGGATATTCACTTTTTTTGTCAATGGTTTCAGTATATTGTCCCAGTGAGAGAATATGGGTGCGAATGCGGGTGGAAGGTGTAAAGATTAATGGTTAAATGCGAGCCATTCAACTCTTGATCTTTTCGCTTCCCTGGGGTGCCCGTAGTGGGATTTATATGTTTCTTGCCATGACGGCAATAGAGCATGTGGGGCTACAAATTTTCGGATGGATGATGGAAGGGTGGCTGGTATGAGGAGATAAATAGGCACGGTAGGAAACTTTGTCCGTGAACGGTTCAATGAGTGGAGGATAAAGGGTGATGATTAGAGGAAGCCACCTTTTGAACTTTCATGCCTTTTCACATCAACGCTTTCTCGAAGGAGGGCTCGAAAGGCCCATAAAGAGCGATGAGGCAGCCATCGAGTGTATAAATATTGATTGAATTATTCACACTTTTCCCTCAAATCCGTTTTCATTCGTGGTGCGCCTCTGTCGTACTGAGAAACTCATCAGTATGGTTGAATATTGTCTCTGTTCCTGACATATTATATCTACTTCATAGCATCATTGTTATTCGATGCCTTACACACTCCTCATCCGCACTAAGAGCGATCACAAGACTTGGCAGGGTGAATCTGGTGGTGGAGGAAGGATACCTTTTCCGCTTTTACTCCGTAGTTCCACATTTACGCAGCTATGAGAATTCAGTACACAAAAGTTCCAACAAAACTCCGAGACTTGTGATTCTGGCGACACTGTGTCCAAACTCATTCCCCAATGGATGTAGCGCTCTACCGCTCACAATTCAGTGGGTCGTTTGGCGAATGAAAAATGAATATAGCATCCAACCAAGTTGCTCGCCGAATCTCCGTGAAACTCTTCTCTCACAAGAGTCCATTTAATTGATTTTCTTTCTACATTGAATATATTCTGATGAGAAATTCTGCTCTTACTGAGTCTGTTTCCCGTCAAGAGCATCTCGCGAAACTTTCCCGACACTTTTTTTCGCTTCACATCGTCTATTCTTGCTTCAGCACAGATTATATGCTTCACATAATGAGAGATGCTAAATTATTGTGATTTTTCTATACAGTGACAATAACTCTAGACAGTTAGTACATATGTGGTTATAGTAGGTAAAAAATAAAATTTTATCTGCCTGACAGTATTTTATTTTGACAAATTTTATGTTTAGCGCGTATTCCTCAATTTCTATTATCCTATTTAGTACATATTTATAACCGAGAAACCTATTTAAATATAGGATATATCTAGTATTGAATGTGATCTCTTCCACATTGCAAATCTTCCTGAAAATATCAGAGAATATTTTAAAAAAACAACGAAAAATAATAACAACCGCAAAGTGTAATAATTGCAACAATTCTCGCTCTCCTTTGGGCTTACGGGCTGGAACATGTTACGTATCCTCTCGAATAACCTTTGATATCTTTTAAAGCTTTTCCAGTGCTATGGCAAAAATTGTCCAATTTTGTTTTTCATCATTGGTCTCAGCCGTCTCAGGGTACATTAGTGGCTGTAGCGCTCTTTGGGATATTATTTTAAAAAAGGTCGGCAGCTGGAGAGGAAAAGCACCATGAAAGTCGAAGCTTTCAGAGCCCACCAGCGAAACCACCCACTTCATTTAATATCCCACTTCAGTGGTTCTTTTTCTCTGAACTTATGGACAAGTGCCAGCAATATACGGTGTGAGGTGGAGAGGAGAGTGATGATGAGAAAAAATATGTCCTGCCCCCCACTCTGGCCTTACTCAACATGAGTCCGGCCCACCATGCCCATGAACCATTTCATTGTAGGAGACCCTCACATGCTCTCATTACGCTCATAAATTTTTCCCCCTTATTCGTATTTTCAGAATTTACACGGAATTACACTTCAGTCCTCTACTTTTACGAATAATAAAACAAATATCACCGTGAATCAACATTCCATCAAGTTCAACAAGCTCTGAGAGTATAATGCAGTTTCGCTAGACGGGAGTCAAAAGCTAGGAAGCCGTCATTAATTAAAAACTAAGGAAAAAATACCTAAGAGCTGGTAGCTCAGGATATTTTGCATAATAATTCACGCCTGTCTTCACTCACTCACGTCACATTCCTGCGAGTACTCGTTAGAGCATCTGAAAATTCCCATTATTTGCGCAAATCCCTTCGAAAACCATTTCTTCGAAAGAGCTTCTTCTGAAAATACGAGGAAAGATGACTGAGCGATATGGCGAGGAAGCATCAATACTGTCGGATCAAGATGATGTAATTGGAGTATCATCTTCGGACTTGGAGGAGGAGGACGCTGACGATGAGGATGATTTGGAGCACGAGATTTCTGAGGGCGAAGGAATGCACAGTGCATTCAGCCCACAACTCATGGAGCCAGCATCAATCCACACAGAGATGGAGGAAACCAATCCCGCGTCAGAATTTCGTGGTCTCCATTCCAATCTTAAACTCTTCGGCTACGGAAGTGGTCTCCTCTTGTCCACTTTTGCACTCATCATCCTTTTGCCGCTATACTATGAACAATTAGCCCTGAATGGCGAAAGGTTCAACATCACCGGAGCCATCCTCTTTGTTTCTTTTCTTGTGATGATGGTCTTTGTTAGCGTCTCCATCATCTTCGGAAGTATTAACAAGTGGAAGGTGCCCTTGTACAGATCACCTATACCATTGAAGAGGTAAGATCTCTTGGACAAATTTCTCTTTAATTTAATTTAATAATTTAATACATACATTCAAGAGGGTCGTGTTAACTGTGAAAGACGTGAATATCCTTTCGGGAAGCACCCCGGAAAACTTTATGGGTAGCCAATTTTATGTATCTAGATAATGCTCATTTTACGTGCCTTATGGATGGCTTTATAGGTTGTAAGAAAAATATTCAATATTTGAAAGGGTTTTACAGTTTTTGTCTTCCTTCTTACGAATTTTAAATTTGAGCAGCACATATCAAATTGTATATTATAATATATATATAAAAAAAATAATATATATACATATACATATATACATATACAATATATAATTGGAAATCAAATATTAAGATATTAGTTTCAACCTGTTTAATACTGAACATGAAATGAGTTGTTTTATTACTTCGTATGTTACACCTTTACCCATCAATATTTTAAACCCTTCAAATCTTCCAGATTGCTACCCATCGTTCTATCTTTTGGTGTGAGTGTAATCCTTTTCACTGTCAGCTGCTATCATAGAGTTCCATGCCATCTGCAGGACCCTCTCAAGGGTGGTGCTCTCGTCTTCTCCCTCATCTTTTACTTCTTCTTCTGTCGAAAGGGTGAGTTTAGTAATATTTAATAATTCACAATGAGCCTAAAATTTCATACGATTAAAAAAAAAATTATCTGTCAAAAAAATACCTTTAAAAATGCAGTTCTGTGCTTCCATTCAGGCAAAATCTTGTGCTCCCTAATCAATTTTCTTTGGATACAGTGTACTGCTATATTTCTCCTGAATTATATATGTTTTCTAGATGAGAAAGATTCGTATTTTCAGCAAGCGTATTTAATGAAAGCGAACCACTGTAACGATAATCGTGAATCTTGCCATACGAGATGGTTAATGAATGAATACGTTATTGTACAGAAAATCCTATCCAAAATAAATAGATTGTGATTAATTGAGCAATAAGTGAAAATGTTATTAAGGTTCTATGGTGGGAAATTTCCTTAATCGCTTCTTGCCTAATTGTGTTGCAATTTTCATATTATGTTTAGGAGAAGGTATGAGAGTGAGGTGAGGATGGTAGTGGAATTGGCTTAGTTCGGAATGAATGAGCTCTTTCCCCAATCCGCACACCAAAAAATCTATTATTCTTACTAGAGATCTACGTTCAGAATATTTTCCATTATGCTCGCGCAAATCCCCCTAATCCACCCTATGGTATTACCCACTCTCGGCCTGGAAATGTAAACAATTTCACCATATTCCATCCCTCGCACTTTGCCGCACACGCCTGGACTTTTTTCATCACCCACGCAAAGTGATGGGATTGCAACGAATTTTCTCTGCAACAACCGCCGTTGTTGGTCTCTTTATCTCTGTGGATTATGGACTGTGCGACGAGTTCAGATGTCGTGGGAGTGACCTTACGGTCACACCCGGTGATGAGCCAACCGCTTCCGCTGGCTGGCAAGGACGTGCTGTGTGGACTCTCTTTTACGTGATTGCCATCTTCGTCTGGGCTTTCCATGTTGTACTCCTCGAGGGGTATGTTGTCTCTGTGCCGAAGGTATGTTTTGAATAATTTAAAGTATTAATCAAATTTCAAATATCACTCCTATTTTCCTGTACTGTATTTTTCCTGACCTAATTATGGTATACTAAAAGATTCGTGTCAATTCTATTTAATTCCTCCCTAATTAATATACTCTCTTGTAAGACATTTCACATAAGGGTGTATTTGAGGGAAATTGAATCATTCGGCTATTTACAAGAGAAATAATCTTGATTTCCTATCTTCGCAGAATGGTAAGCCCAACGTCGCGTCAACGACACAGACTCATCTGTTGAGGACAGTGTCAAGAATAGTAGCTAACTCTGAGCCACTGTTGACTTCAACACCAATTAAGAAGCCACCAAGCCGTCAGAGAGTCCATCCACTTCATTTGATTGTTTGGATCCACGTCCTAAGCTTTGTCTTTATTGTGACATTTGGATGGATTGACATTTTTCCAGCCACTGGACGGGTAAGTTGACCCTCACTTTCAAATTTCATCGCAGCATCCCACATCATAGGAAGCATAAGCCATTTGTTATATCTAGAAATATGCGAGGAATCTATTGAAATATCTGTGCACATACTTGCAGTTATAAATCTTTTTGTACGCATATGTATGTATTACATGGAATCCACAAAACTTTTTCTCAAACATGGATTTTTTTTTGTATTCCTCAATAAATTCAATTACTTATATTTCATAATAAACATATGGAAGAGTTTCTTCTTGTAACTTTATTTGGCAATTTCCAATTCCTCTACAAATTCAAAGATTAACAAGAGCTTCAATAATATAATAATAATGCGAATTCTTAAACTTTTGCTACACAAAAAATATTCTTGGCATTATCAATGCAATCGATTTTAAAAATAAATTATTGCATTACTGTGAATATATATTATACATATATGACTAATGTAGAAGTATTTTATAAGTCATCAATAAAACAGCAGGTGCATTAATATGAATGAAATCATTTTCTATATTCACAATATATTTATCAACATAATATATCGCTCTCATTCGTGTTGATAACGAAAATAACATATCATACAACATAGTCTTGATATTTCTTGTAGACAATCTTACCTAATACAGTAAAAACAATCCTGAGAATTTTGTGTGTTCCTTAAAAGCGTGCATTTTTTATACTTACTATTCAGATCGCGCTCTGTTTATTGTCAAACACATGTTGCAGTCTTTTTACATACCTGTGCTACAAAATATACTTGGTGAACCATAATTTAACAAGAACATCTCGAGCTATTTTACAACATTTTCATCATTTGGTGGAAAGCACATACATTTTTTTGACAAGGTTATAAAATATTTAAAAGATAATGCCATAATGTATTCACTCTGGGGATTTCGCAATAATCTTTTTCCCTAAAAAAAAGTGCTTTTGGTTCTTGGCTACTAAAGATATAATCAATTTTGCTCTTCACAGATGTTCTGCATTTCATAGTAGAGCCTGACTTTTTCATATGAATTTTCTTGTCTGAGATTGTATTTTGTACTGAGTTTCCCAAGCTGAATTAGAGCCCGCCCCACAGAGAGATGGAAAACATTATACTCCTCAGAATTTATGAAGTCCATTTCTGCCTTTTTTCAGATCAAATCCTTTAGTCGCCACTTGTCGGACACCGAAAATACTCTGCTGTGCCACCTCAATATATACAATCGAGTACCTGATGTGAGAAGTAACCAGGAAGATGTAGACTTTTTGTCCAATTTAGTTCCGGATAGTCCACAATACAACCAAACCGTCCAAAAGTTGCGCAGGCCGAGAAGTGCAGACGCCACGGCGATTCCTTCTCAAGATCGTGTCAAGCTCAATGAGCCGCGCGGACATGAGATTGATCCTGGAGACTTCCACAAAATCTTCCATGTGCCCACACCCAAGCATGTTGTGGCAGGAATCAACCACACAGCACACAAAATCAACACGGAACGTCACTGGCACAAGGGCAAGTCTGTGCCAGTGAAGAAGAGACATCACGAAAAAGGTAGGAACGGAACCAATGTAAGATCACCCAACATCGTGTTGGAGCTGGAGATCTCAGGAGATTGCGGTCGCTGTCAGCTCTATAGTTTACTCCTTGTCGGCGTATACATCATGTTCACAGTTTGTTTCGTGAACTTCTTATCTGTGGCGGAGTCTGCTGTGTTCACAGTTACTGTCGTCACAGCCACGTTGCCGCTCGTCGGGATCTTTTGGTCAGTGTTCAAGATCTCCAAGACCTCGACAATGGCTCTTCTGATCTGGTCACCCGAGATCTCCGGGGAGTTTATATGTTCCCTCTTGGGAACACCCATTGTTTTTCTGGGATTGGGGCTGCTCTTTCGCGCCTACGTGACAGAGAACTCCCCGGCATCTGTATGTGAGACACCGTCAGTGTCCTCCCTGCGAAATCGTTATACCTCAATGCCATAAGGCAGTGCATCTGAGAATGAACAGAGATATAATTGTAAAGGGCTGACATTATTGCTCATAAGAGCGGAGAATACATTTCCAATGTCAATAAATTTTAGTGTTTTATACACGGGAGAACGAGACGAGCAGAATACAATGTCACTCCTCTGAGGCCTCAAAGTGACTACATAAAAATTTATTACGATGGTGACAGTCAAATGATAAAGGCTTAATCAAAAAGACGTTCTTTTTCTCCACATATGAAGTAGAGAGTGTTAAAAGGACACGATGGATATATTCTTTAATGGTCTAATTGAAAATAAAATAAGATGTACTGAGATTTGTGAAAGCCATTGATAAAATATTCACAAAATCGTGACCGGAATATGTATTTGTGTACATTTCATTTTTTTTCTCACTGTAGCTTTTCAATGTTAACTTTAATTTGTGTTCATGTTCATTGTACCGTTGTTTAGATTATGTTTTAAATATCTCTTAAAATCAATTGTGTGCCAAAGATTTTCAAATAGAAAATGATGAATAAACGTTATGTAATTGTTCATACATTAGTATTTTGAAGCCAACTCTAAATAATAAAAATTACTGTATTATGTTAATATAAATATATAAATTTTAAGTAAAATATCCGACAATTATGTATATTTTGTGAAAACAATTAAGCGATTGTTCTAATGAAAGTACTTGTGAGTTATTTTCAATGCGTAAACACACATTTATTAGTCGCAAAAAATACATTGTACTATTGATGATGTTATTCATTGCTCCAGCTAGTCACAAATTAAATAAAATATTTTTCAATATTCGCCTTTTTTTATTTTACACTTCAGAAATTTTCCCTGAGTGTTCAGAAAATATCTCGTGCGTTATTCTTCCCAACATTCAAATCTTCTTCCACACGCACTTTTGATCGACAATCCGACATCCGCACTTTCCAGATGAGGTTAAGTCTGGCAGTATTTCCAAGGGTTGCCATGTTGGACAGTGAAGTTTTTGACAATTGCACTCCTCAGAAATTTCCTTTTTTCTAAAAAATTGTAATTTGTGATTTTTCTTCACTGCATTCATGAATTTTCTAGTTTATCCATCGTGAGAACCTTTTAGTGGTGCGCGGTGGATACGGTGTGAGTGGTAGAGTGAAGGTCCGACTTCTCTGCGGACAATTTTCAGCAACTCCCTGCCCGGATTAGTTTTCAGTAATTGTGTATTGTTATGGTAAAAACGCGTTGAAAATCGGAAGATAAAGGCTTTTTCAGACGAAAAAACATTACAAAAGTGTTTCAGTGGCATCAAGGATGATATATTGATACTATTCTTTGCCGCGGTAAGTGCAGAAATAGGATAAAATTGCATTTTTCCTCGCGACAACTTCTTCTGAAAACCCCGAGCGAAATAGCACACAAAATAAAAATGTCGATGTATTCTCTCTCGCGAATGGGAGATGCGAGAAATGCGGAGTAAATATGATATTTTGTTGTTTTCTTACGCGTAAATACCGCACAATTGACACAAAATGAGTGCTTTTGCTCAAAAAATTCAATTGAATTGGTGTTATAGGTAAGATTTATGGGGATACATCGTAATGGTGGAAAAGTGCGAGTCTCTTTATGCGCCTTGGAAGAGAGTGGAAAAAGTCTACGGTGGACTTGATGTTGTGAGCAGAGTCGCGCTCGTGATGACGAAAAATCATTAGTGAAAAAGGGGTTGTTGGTAGAAAAGAAACTCTCTTGTGGTCGAAATTAATGGTACAATAATCTCCCAGCGCAACAAATTTCGATGGGAAGATGAAAAAAGAGGCTGGATTTCCTCCTGACAATGAAATGTTCTTTCTCGAGTTAACAATGGTTGGGGTACATATATACATACATATATATGTATGATAAGCACAAACTGGTGTCCGAAATGCACAGTGCGGCACTAATCTTCAATTAAAATTTTCATCTGACTACCTATGCGGATTATGCTTATTAATTATTGCATGGACACAAATGTTAGAAGATTGCAGCTTTGATGTGAGTGTCGGGTATACCATCACAAGTATACCTATAAGTTCATTTATGACTGGTAGAGATAAATAATTTGAGTTCACTCAAATCTGAGTTTGAGACAGAATCATAGTATAGGACGATGCACTTGTAGAACATGAAACAGATATTGAACAAAATCAGGATATTTAGGTTTTAATTAGGTAATGCATAATTGGTTGTAACGACTAAAATTATTATCAGTGGGTATTCGGAAAAATTCTGTAATCAGTTGGTACAATAAACAACTAATAATTGTAACCGGCTGCAAGGGTTAAAAGTGAAGCAATTTTAAAGAGACGGAGTGATCATTGAAATCGTATAAGAATGATATATTTTAAAAATTAAATCAAAATTTATTATTTTCAACATATTTTTGAAGAAATATTTAACCTAAAATATATATTTTCCGTCTGTGTTATATATTTTTTGTGCATACAGAATGTAAAAAGAATATTTAAATGGCAAAGTGGACAGCAGTGAAAAGAAAGATCAAAATTTGAAAGAAAAAAAAAATTGGTAAATGCACCGCTGCAGTGATGAAACTCTACTGCGTGTCCTCAATAATCATTTCATCGTACTCTGAAGAAAACAGTCTTGATGCACACATCTACAGAAAAGCGTCAGCCTCTAAAGAGTATGTGGCTGAAGTTTATAATAATAAAACATACACGGAGAGACTACGCCTCAAGTGAGAGCCAGCCATATTCCTCATGCAAAATGTTCAAATATGCTGCTTCAATCTCTTCCGCCAACTAATATGAGTGTTAGATATAAGAATTGTGTGAGCTAATGCTAAAGCTCAGAATTCTAAAGGAATTATTCGACTATATTAAAATGTCAGTAGGTAATTTAGTAAACTTACCGACACTTATTAATACAAAATGCGGTAAATTTGCATTTCAATACAATTTTAGAAGAAAAATAGGACTGATATGGAACACTATAGACTAATTAGTCCATTATTATGCACAGTCAAGAATATTAGAACTTTTGTATAAGTCCCTCTTTTAGTCCATTTTAATGCATATATGAACGGATTGCGTATTATATATATTTATACATTACTAACTAATTTTTTATCAACGAACATTGTATCCGATAAAAAATACGCGAGATAATTAAAAAAAAAAAAAAACACTCAAAAAAATTTAGAAGAAAAGAAAAGAAATTCATATGAAATGAATTTGTGTTTACTCAATCTTTACATAAAATGGAAACCACAATTTCAATTGATTATAGTTTCAGCATCAATTTTGAAGCATAACTTAATTGAGACAAAGAGGAGTAAAGGGTAAAAATAAATAATTTAGCAACTTAATCTTATCAAACGAGAATACTATTTAAAAGTGAAAAATTGTAGGAAATCCCTACATGCTTTATCATCTCTATATTCATCATCTCTGAACATCGTCATTGACAGTAGTATCACTAGCTTAATTCAAGCACAACAAATCCTGGACTTTTCCATATTTTAGGGAGTTGATACGGGTGTGGGTAACTTTTAAACCACAAATTGTTTTATATCGATCCTTCTCTCTCTCACTCTCATTCTTGGGAGTACTCAAACTCTATTGTGTACTGTTGTGGGACTGGGTACAGAACACCATATACCACCCTCGCCTGAGCATTTCTTTCACCATCATTCCCTCACTCATACCCCGGGTGAAGTGAAGTGGGTGGTGTTCACAGAATGGTGGGCAAGCCATGATGTTGTTTTCTATCTCACCACCACTCAATGGTTTCTGCAGTTGTCTATCTCACTCAAACACGGGTTCTATTATTTTTACACAGAGAGAGGCACAGAACTTACTCTTCAAGTATTTCTCATATTAGATATTGCTATTGTTGGTAAAATTTTCTCCGATTTCTCCCAAACCGCATAGAGATAAATTAAACACACACTTTATATTTTTATGCTATATTATTTGTAATTGGAATCTAATTTCATGCTGTCAAATAAAAGAAGAAAATTCCCTCACATGTTATTAAACAAAAGCTACAGTAAAATTTTATTATGCTAAGGACACTAGCAGATGATGCAATTTGTGGACCTATTTTCCATGTGAAATAAAGATAAACTTGTAGTTTAGGTTAAAAGGTCACCAAAGAGCTAACCATATATAAATAGAATATAATAAACATGTTCATGAGATATTGTTATCTAATTATACATATATACATATACAATTATAATTGTAGATAAATAAGATTCAAATTCTGCATAACAAATTTCAAATAATGCCATGTGAGCAGAAAATTTTGATAATATCTGCACATGCAAAGGTTACTTCATAATTTTTCTAATAGTGTATCTATTATTCAGAGGCAAATATAATATTTATTTTTCAACTTCAATTTAGTATATTTTTTAATAAACTTATTTATATTTTTTGTTATTATAGTAATGATTTGTAAAAGATTTTGTGTCATAATGTGTGTGGAAAATATACAAATTACAGTTTCTACATATATTCAAGCAATTTTTTGTTGCAAAACAAAGGATTGTCTTAAGAAACATTTCTTCTATTAGAATTTTTTAATTATTTAATAATTATAATTCTTTATCCCGGTCGTCCAGTTTACAATTGCTATGCAAAGAGAAAAGTGATAATGAAACAAGTAAAAATTGAGAAGTTGTATTATGTATATAGCTTTTTCAAATATGAAGTACAATTATAGAAACAAGGACTGTTATAAATTGTTTGAAATCAGATTTCAGTCTAATAATTAATTTAGTCTTTTTTTTTGCAATGCACTTATATTCTTTTAAATGGCTCTTTCTCAGAATACAATGGTTCACCGTGTTTCGAGCAAGGATGACATTACTGCAAGTTCATCTGGCACACGTTTACCTAAAGCACGACCGAGGAAAAGGGAAAGCAGAACCGTGACAAAGACTGTGTCGAGTACATCAAATCGGAGCAGCAAAAATACATTAGCAGTTGAGAAGGATGAAAATGGTGGCGAGGGGAAAGATGATTCGGGATGGACAACGAAATCAAGAGGACGAAGCAGCAAGGGATGTGTTCAAGTGTTATTGGAAGAGCCTTCTGCGAGAAGTGTGCCATCAGTGGTGGTGGAGAAAGTGATGCAAAAAGCATCTTCGGAAGGAATGGACAAAGAAAATGAAGAAGAAAATGTAAGGAGTAGTGAAGTTGAAAGTGAATCGAGTGACGAAGAAGATTCCGATGGTGACACCGATGATAATGTGTCAATATCAAATCTAATGAGAAAGCAGAAATGTGATTTAGATGATTGTGTATCTGATGGAGTGGCAAAAGCTTTGCACGTTCGTTGTAGTCTTCCACTCCATCGACTTTCACATGGTGTTGTGGAGACGCTCACAAATGGTGGAAATAGATCCAAGTATTCGGGGGAGCCAAGCAATGGAAATAAATTTCTCTGTCTTTTTTGTGATCGCTCCTTTGTCAGCTACGAAATTCGTTCTAAACATGCTGACAGACTTCACAGATCAGTTGCAGGACGTCGTGCGAGTGCACGTAATGTGATGAATGTTATGCAAACAGAATTTGCGGGTTGTCCTTTCTGCAACAACGCAAAAATCTTTTCTGGTTTCGCCACAGATCTCGTGGGATTCTTTCATCACATGATTGAAAAGCATAGTGATCGATACTTTGGCTGTCGAGAATGTAGTATCCGGTTGTCCACAAGTGAGGCGTTCCAGAAGCACCGAGAAAGTGTTCACAACATTATTCCGGGGGGAGTGCGTGAGACCCCAAATTTAGGTGAGGTTGATTTTGAAGACAGTATTCTCGCAAGTTCCATTTCCAAGCTGCCCGCGCCGAAAACAAGTGTGGACACAGCTGAGAATGGAAGCCATCAAGGACGTAAGATGATGACTCGCCTGTCGAAGATGAATAAAAAGCATCAACTGCTGCGAAATGAAGAACCAATGCTTTCTCGACTCGGTGTAGCACAGAATCGATCACCACGCACACGAATGGGTAGTAAAGGACGTGTACAGATTGATTTACGGAGTGCACCGGAAGCAAGCAGTTGTACATCAGGACGTATTAGTCGCTCGAAAAGTGGACGTACAACTAATACTAGTGGAGGTGGAACCGGTGCAAATGAAAGTGGAGATTTTGGCGCCAATGCCAATGCAAAATCATCTGGAAGCAAGGAGATACTCAGCAGTAACTTTGATGATGACTTTTATGAAACGGTGAGCGTCAATGTGAGGAAAAATCTCAGTTGTTACCTTGATGGAAAAATTGGAAGTGATCCAGAGAATCCGAGTGTCTACACACGGTTTGCTGAAGCAGTTCCTACTGTTCCCAGCACCGTCGTGAGAAGTTCTTACATGACTGATAATGAGATTCATGAGGCCACCTCTCTGAGTGCCATCACGGCGTTTCCCACCCTTCTCACAGCCGAACAATATGGCACAGAGTGTGTGTCTCCCAACAAAAATAAACGCACTATCACAAAAAATTCGTGGAAATGGAAATGGGATTTTGTAAAAAAGTACAAGTATGTGAATGAAGGTGGAAAAATTGTGAAAAAGGTGAAGCAGCAAACGTCAGGATTAAGAGACTTGTCTAAGCTTGACATGTGGACTCAGCTCACGATGCGCACAAAGCATGAAATTGTACAAAGAAGTGGTAGTGATGATAAGGACGAACGTCAAGTGGACACGGGTGATGTGGCACGTGAAGAGAAAAGAAAAATCATTGAGCAACTGAATACAATTCTCGACACTAGACTTCTGCCGCAGATTGTACTAGAACAAAATGACCAAAGACTGATCAAAGTGGAGCCTATGGACAGCTCTGAGGAGCTAACGGATTCAGTAGTACCATCAGTGTCCACGATTAATGAGCGGGTTTTGAATGAGGAGGACAATTTTGTGGCGACACTGAATCTCCAGAGGAGCAACAGTGAGAGCGCGGAGAAAAGTCGTGATGTGATTCTTAGTGGTGAGTGGGCGAGACCACGTTGTTACGTGTGCTTTGGATGTGGTGCGAAATTCGAGACAATCAAGTCCCTGGAAGAACACAAAAACAACCGCCACCCTCACGTGTACTCCACTCATTATGAAATTGTGGGCCGTGAACTCATTGAGGGTGAATTATACAAACACTTCTTCATTCCCACCAAGGCCTTACGACGAAAAACAGAGTTTTTGCGTCAGGTGAGCAGTGACGACAGTGGCACTGTTGAGGACTCCATGGATAGTACAACATCTTGTACTATATCAACTAAATGTGATAGCTTTGACACGGACACAAACTCACGAATGTCCAACAAATTCGCTGAGGTGACAGTGTGCACAAAGTGTAAGAAAGAATGCACAGGAATGATGGATCTCTATCGGCATATGCTCGATTGCGTTGGTGACTATGCATGGCTCATCGCAAAGAGACGCTTGAGACATCGATACTATGGCAATCGCTCGCGACGCCGCAGAGCAAATGCTAAACTTCTCAGATTTGGATGCTTAAGAACACCGAAACCCCCTAAAACGCCTGAAAATCGTGCCATACCCACACAGAGGAAGCAATCCCCGCAGACACCACGTACTCGTCCCAGTGACGGTGAGCTAAATAGTGTCAAATTAATTATAATCACATAATTTGAAATAAAATTCAATTTTCTAGCGGATTCCATTCAGCGAATGCTGGCAAATCTACCGGCCAAACGATCATCACGAAGTGTTCACCCCGCCAAACCCTTACCTATGAGACGAAGGAAATTAATAGCAAGTGCTACTACAACTAAGTTTACAAAACGTAATACCAGAACCTCAATATTGGCAGCAAAGTCCTCAACATTGCTTTTGAGGTGAGTGGAATTTCTAACAATTTCAATTATTCTACTCCTACGACAAAATGTTACGCGGCAACTTTATATGAAATATTCAATTTCCCCTTTTCCATTTGTTCTTTTCCAGGTCAAAGAACAAATCTGAGGGAAGTAAGCCAATTTCCAAACACCGTCAACAATCTGAGAGAGTGACAAGAAGTGGAAATACTAAAGCTACCCTAAGGAAAATTGGTAATCCTAAAAGAGTGACACGATCTTCACATTCTCCCAACACTCATGACGTTCAACTTGAGGGAGTGACAACGCGAAATAAAACAAAACACTTTGCAACACCCGTTCAAAAGGGTGCCAAGACAATTCTAAACAAATTGTCGAAGAAATATTCTAAATCCCAAACAAAGGCACCAACGACAGAGAAAGATACCAGGCGTTCCAAAAATCCTTCAACATCTTTAATATCAAAGAAAAGCAGAAAGGTTGGAGAAAATTATGAGAATGGTCAGAAGAATGGCAAGACAAAAAAGATAAAAGCTAATCCAAAAGCAGACAACAGCAAAAAGAATGTTATACCAACTGAGAAAGAGGAGCCTTTTTTAGAACAAGTCAACACGAGCGACCAAGACGATCTTGTCGAGATAAAGGATATTATGGATTCTATCATAGATCGTGCTTCTGTTGCTTTTGAATCTGAAGACAAGGAAAATGAGAGTATTCCGAGTACAGTCACATCGACTCCGTCGATCTCATTAGAAGTAAAAACTTTTGAAACACCTGTACACCAGAAAACCACAGATCATCATTCATTGGTGTCTCCAACAAGTGCAACACCAGGAAAGAAGAGAATTCGTAAATTGACAGATTGTATCGCTCGTCTCACTGATAAAATCCAAGAGAAGTTTGGAATACCATTTCTGGATAATACTACAAATAATATTCTTGCCAAACCTGCCATAGACACTGAGTGTGCAACAATATCTTCAACCACAGAAGAAGTACAGCTGAATAATAATAAGAAAAGTCAATTGATAGACCCCAAATCAAAAGACGATGATATCGTTCATGACACACAAATTACTCAAGTCTCACAGAAGGATCACAAGTCATTGGAAGAAGAGATTATTATTAAAAGTGATCCAATTGTAGTAGTAAATTGTGCATCCGCTTCTAAGGAGATCAACAAAGTTTTATCTACAGTTACTATAACTCCAGAAATACATCCTGAAGTTGCAAAATCCTATTCATCGGTATCAGTTATACAGCGTGAAGAAGTCACCGACGTGCCATTGAATTTAACAGTGAGGAAGCCCATTGAAGACCCTAAAAACTCACAGCCTATTTGTCTGGTAAAACATCCGGAAATTCTGAAAATCCCTGTAGTGGCTGGTCATATTGGAGGTCGTATTCATCCTGGTGAAATCGATTGTAATGTAGTGATTGACTTGAGTACCAAATCAGCTAGAACGATTTCTCATGGCACATCAAAGAATGCAGAAAAAATTAATCTTCCTCCGCAAATGGAAGTTCTTGCTAATACGCAAGCAAATTCTGACATTATAAGCCATTCACAAAATAATGTAATAACTCAGTGCAGCGAAATATCTATCCAAACAAGGACTAGTGAAATATTGCATCAACCGCGTTGCAGCGATGTTATCAGTCATCCTCGAAGTACCGAGATTTTAAAACAACCACGACCGGAATTAATAGCGAAGCGTGTTAATCCCATCATTCAAATTCCACAAGTACCCTTAAAAAATGTGAAACCTAAACAGAAAAGAAAACCACGTGCTAAGGCAGCAAAAACATCTAAAACAGGAAAGGATTTAAATGTGGACATAAAATCAAGTGAAATATGTGAAAATACAGCGGAAAAGAACAAAAATTATAACAATAATATTCCAAATGTATCACAAGTGAATTCTGCTCCTGCTACGAAAGCTTCAGATTCTGCTTCAATAACGTCAGATGCCAAACTACAATCTCTAATTGTTGCAAAAAGCACGGATTTAATAAGTAGACCAGCAGTTTTAAATGATATAACACCAACAGAAGACAAAATGGCAAGCAGTGGCAACGAAAATTCAGCAGTGGGGGCAATAGACACCGCCGAAAAACAAATCAAGAGTACAGAAAATGATAATTTAAAATCGAATTCTCAAGAGATTTCAGGACAGAAAGAACAATTATCAGATGTATTGGCAAAAGAGGTGGAAGATGCCAATCAAAGTGGTGAGGTGAATATTGCAATTGATGAACAACAAATACTGAAAGGGAAGAAATCTCCTAAAGTAACGAAAGGTGAAAAGTTTGTGTTACTCAACAAGGAACATAAAGAAAAAGCGCAGGATAAGCCGCTAATACAGGTAGAGAAAACCACCTCAAATAAAAGAAAAGTTACAATTCTTCAAAATACTAAAGGAAAGAATAAAGCGAAATCTGTAAAATCTGAAATTTTAAATGAAACGACAGTTGAAAATACAGTTGCAAAGAATGTAACTAAGAACAAACCTAAAGGAAAAATTCTGAAATCTGAGAGTATTAATCAGAAGGAAATTAGATCAACTGCAATTAAAAAACGAAAAAACTTGGGAACAATTGAGATTGTTGATAGCAACATTGAGGACGCCGCTGCAGCCGTGATAAAGACAGGAGATATACAAATTAAGAGGAGGTTAGAGATTGTTATTGAGGACGTTCTTAAAAGCGGCCCCAAGAAAATTCAGAATCCCAATACCAAAGGAAATGTTGAGGTTGCTGTTGAAATAGTTAAATTAGATTTATCACTTGCAGATGATACAAGAAAATCTAATGAAGAATGTAAGAAATTGAGTGATTTCGACAAAATATCTGTAAAGGCAGCAACCAAGAATATTGAAACACTACAAAATGAAGGATTATCTGTAGCAGTGTCTGAAAAATTGACTAATATAAATTCCATGCCTAAAAACGGAGTCAGCGATTTGAAAAACAATGGTCCACAAATCCGTAATGAAGATAAACTGACCGCATCATCCACACCAGATAAAGATATATCTGAAAGAAAGAGACATGAGGAACAAATGGAAGATTCTACAAACACAGACATCCAGAAAGTTCCAATCATGCAGGGAAAAGCTAAAAAAGAGTCAAAAGCAAAAGGAAAACGAAATAAAAATAAAATATGCGATGACATACTTGCGAAAGGATCTCAAAGAGTGGTTGTTTCTGGCGAGAGAGATACAGTTAATAAGCCTATTGTTACAGAAGAACAATTTAAAGAAAGTGATTCACTTAAAGCAGCACATGTATCCAATAAAGGAGAAGAAGTCACAACCAAAACGGCTGCAAAAGGCAGAAACAAGGTTCAACCAAAAATTAAGAAGGTTGAAAAAACAGTCAACATTGTTAAATCAGCACTTGATCATGGAGAAAAATTACAATCGACTGCAAAGCCAAGAAGGAAGGAAAAAATTGAAAAGACTGTATTAGAAACGAAAACCAATGATGATGAATTAGAAGTTTACAATACTGTTGAACCCTCGAATCAGATAAAAACTCTTGCAGATGCTTTTGATACACATCCAGAAGAAGTTAAAGACTTTTCCAACCCCGACAAAGAACATTCTCTAAATACAGGAGAAAAATCCAAACCAGCTCAGAAGCCTAGGAAAAAGAGAAAAAACGAATTGGCAGCAATAATAGCGGATCAACTAATGGAGAGCTTCAAAGAAGTAGATAAATCAAGAATTGATGAGTTGAAGATTCTTCATGATTTAACTTGTGATGCTAATTCAAATGGCGATGAGTTGTTGGTGTCTAATGCGATGGAAATGGTAACAACGACCAAGAGGAAAGTGACTAATAAATCTAACTTCAGTGATTCTATTCCGAATGTTTCTGCCAAGAAGGCTTCTAAGGAAATTGCCACTGAAATTACAACTCCTAAAATTCTAAAGAATGAAATTGCAAGTCAATTTTATACGCCCTCGGGGCCCTCCGTGAATGTAGAAACCCAACAACTTGTAGATGTGCCTGCAAAACCCAAAAAGACGTCCCAAAGTCAGCTTTCAGAACCTTCCAAGATGAAGATAATTTCCAAGGAAAAGAAGGATGCAGTTATGAGCAATTTATTGAAAAAATTAGATGACAACGGCGAAGAAAACACAGAAGATTCATCGAACATATCATCTGCAACTTCTAAGAGTTTTTTGAGTAAAAAGAAGAAAAGTTCATCTATAGGTCAAAAGAAAATTGCATCAACTGATATGGAAATCAATTCTGAAAATGAGATGGCAAAAGCTTCTTTGCAGGAAGTGAATGATCGAGTGGCGGATTCATTAAATCTTCTGGCTGTAATGGACATGAACACCCAGAAAAGTGTTGAGACTCATAATATTGAGAGCGATAAAACTATGAAATCTACAGATTGGGTGAGTCGTGTTGTTTCCCTACCCAAAACGTCAACTGAAAATAACAGTAAAACAGTTCTGTCGACATCTGCGAAACCCAAATTCATTTTAAAACCATCACGTCTTCAAGCACTTAAAACGACTATACCTGATCTTTTTGATGAAGTGAAAAATGACATCGTGAATGAAGATTCAACTCATATAGAGACGGATATTGAGAAAAAAAATGGAGAGAATGTAGAAACAGTGGCAAAACTCGTGGATAAAATTCGAGAATCTACAAATCAATCTGATTCTGATGATGACACCTGCCTGGCTGAAATTGCTAAGAGTCTGAATAACAGAATTCTTACTTCGGATGAATTTACAAATGTGGCTGATACTCTTCCTGTAGCAGAAACTCCGAGTGAAAATCTCAATCATTTAATTAATTTGACTTCCCAGAACAGATTGAATATAGAGTCAAATACCGATGCAGTAGAAGTGGATGTGGAAATGGAAGATGGCATGAGTGTCTTCACATCTGCTTCGATGGATTCTGGAATTACAGCAAGTGGTACAAAAGGGGGACCTCAAAAAATATCTGTTGTCAAAAAAAGAAAAATGCGAAGATCAGTACTTTACAAGTCCAAAAAGCCCAAAGCCAGCAAGAATACCATCACTTCAAATACAGAGCCCATGTCATTCTTCTGTGATATCTGCAAAAAGGACTTTTCACGGCAAGATCGTCTTACCAAGCACAAAATGACAATTACACACATAGCAAAATTGTCAGAACAGGAATTTCTTGATGCCCAGAAAAATCGAATGGCTGAGGAAAAGGAAAATGAGTCACAAAATGTGGAGAACGTTAACAAAACTCCAATCACAGAAGAGAAGAAGGACAATGATGTAGATGAGAAGGTACAAGAAATAGAGGAGAACAAGATTCTTTCTCGAAATCCCGTGCAATATGGAATTGAACCAATTTCTTCGCCTGAATTGGTACAAGTTCCGCCATCGATGGATCGTTATCCATCTCCTGTGCGATCTATCAATCCAGGAACACCACGACTCAATCTCAGTCAGGAGGAGAAGCTCTTCTATGAGTGCTGCAACATGTTGAAGGGCTCAAATAGAATCGGAGCTCAATCTGAAAATAAATCTCTAACACCGAAATCGAATGAGCAGTCAACAAACTGTTTTGGAGGAAGTCATAATGCGGTGTACTGTGTTAAATCTCCGATGTCTCATCGTCGAAGCAGTCCTAAACATGCATATCCCAAGATTGATAATAATCAATTTAGTGATATTTCATCAGATTCCAATCCAATGTTTTCACGACCAACCAAATTCGCTCAATCAAAGGGAGTATTTGAAGATGCTGATTCTGTGAATAATCAACTCTCTGGCTTCTTGGCAACTGCTGAGAAATTCCTCAGTGGCGCTGCCTCGACGTCCAATTCTATCTTCTATAATGACAAGCTCATAGAAAGCACTCCGCCCATAAGTGGAGCCAACCCAAAAGAGCCTAGCCCCACTGGAAGATCATACTCTGAATCTTTCTCCGACATGGGGGATAGTTTTCCCTCGTCTCAAGATGCTAGTGAGAGTGAACATTACGCGCAAACCATTTTAGATCGCTCAGGAAGCAATAAGGCGATGGAGAGCGAAGTATTGGTGAAGGAAGGAAATGATTCATTGGATCGAAGCAGAAAACTTGTCAATGATAAACATTTATCAGAGAGGTAAATTTTAACAAAAAGTTATCTTAATGTTATACAGTCAAATTACAAATTTCCTATTATATCTTTATAGATCTATCGGATCACCTATAAACTCCCGAGCGTCTTCTCAGTGTTCTTCTGTATCTAAAGTCCGCACAAAGGGTGCTATGAAAGGATATGATAGCTTCAAAGTCTCTATACCTACAAATGGTCTTGACTTGCAACAGGCTCTTGTGAGAAATCCTCATGTGAATTCAAAATTGGCCACTCTAGCTGATATTGCACTGAGTACAGATATCCCGGTTATTACTAAAGATGCAGTGTCATCCAAACAGGAGGATTCTATCAAACCCTGTGAGTTTCCTGTCCCTGTTGAAGAGTCTGCGGAAATAGAAAATTTATCGAAAAATGCGAAAGTCAAGAAGACTAAAGATGATGTTGGTAATAGATTGGGATTTAGAGCGAAGAAGAGGACTTCAAATAAGGACTTAAAGGATAAAGTTGACTCTGGAAGGGGTGATAAAGCATTGGAGAAAAACCCCTTAGATGTGTATGAATTTGAAGAATCAAAAGATTCTGTTGATACACCAATTCTCCCACTCTCCAAGAGAACAATCTTCAGGCCAAATACCGAATTAGATTCGACAAAGAATCCCCAAACGGAGAAAGTGTCAGGAGTGGAAAAAAATAAGAACCCGGAGGCAGAAGACAATGCTAGCCAAATGTCATCGACGAGTTTCTCTGATCGAGATGACTTTAACTATAATTCCAATTTGAGTGATAGTGATTCTGAAATTCCTTCCGCATCTCCCAAATTACCAGCAGCACCGGGAGTTGTGAAAAAGACAAAAAAATTACCAGATCCAGCACAAAAGAAATCACTTATTATGGGGAGAATCTTCAGAAATGCCCAGAAGAATCGACCAACAAACGATGTAAAAACCACTTCCTATGAAAGTGAGAATTCGAAAAAACCTTTCCTTCAAAAGCAAGAGTTGGACAAACTCTTTGATAGTCTCAAAAGTGATGTAAATAGTGAAGACAAGGATGAAGCAATTGAAGAGCCACAGAAATTTGAAGAAGAAAATGAATCAAATACAGATAGTGTGGGGCGTTCAAAGAAGTCTTCCACATCGGCAGAAGCTCGTCGATCATCTGCCAATAGAAAATCTCGTGAATTGGCGATGTTTGAAGCTGAATGGGGAATGTCTCTGGAGCAAATTGAAGAGATTATTGGAATTGGAAAGAGAAAGAGTCAGCGAAAGTGTGCTGTTGGAAAACAGAAAATCTTGGCGGAGACGTGGAGCTCAGACGAGTATGAGGAATTTCAGTCTACCAAGGATATAATAGCACTGATCCAGGAGAAAGAATTGAAATCTAGTCAGCGGGCATTGCGTAATCAACGACGACGAGAGAGTCAGAGAAATCAAACTGTGCGTTCTCAGGATAACACAAAAGTGGATCATATTGAGGAATTGGGTGCAGAAACTTGGGATGTTCGTCGTGCACTTGGACTGGAGTATAAGAAGGCTCGTGGGAGTAAAAAAGCTGTCCGAATAGCAGGTGGGAGTGACGTGGAGACCTCACAAAAAACGCAAAATCCACCAGAAAGGCCAGCAAAAATAAAGAAACGTCGTCAGACATTTGCTTTTCATGCAACTGAGCCATCGCCAGAGAGAGATATTCCCATAAGGAATGCTGGTAAACGGAGGGGATCTGCTATTATGCGAGGCTCTACGTCGGACGGAGAGTCTGGTGGGAGGAAGCCAAAAAAGGTGAAATTCCCAGAGTCTTCGAAGGATAAAGATGACGCAACATGGACCCCATCGCGTCCAATGGCGCGTAGCAAGAGAGTGGCCTCCGAGATGCTGTACTATTGGTCGTCATCCAGTGATGACGAATTTGGGCGCATCAACAACAGTCGTGACGACGATGATGACTTATCACAGGACGGAGAGGTTCTGCAGCAGCATGGATGGATTGTTGGAGATTCTCATAAGAAACTTGTGACACTCTTAGCGCACGCAAAGGGTAAGAAGACAGAGGAATGCAGTGTAAAGGAGACCTCAAGTGGAAATAACAAGAAGAAGTCCTAATTTTAGAATCATGCATACTAAAAATACAGTGGCATGCAAGAGTTTCAAAATAATGGTATTTTTGTACGAATGATATGTTATGCGCCGATTTTTTTTTAAATTGCATTTAAGAATGGCCCTACTCTTTCTACCCTACCAATTTCTAGGGAGTATAATGTATAAAACAACGTTTGTGTTCTTATAAAATTACCTTCTAGGACTGATTTCCAATATCATATTATATTCTTTAACATAATTAAATACCATTCCTTTTTAATATATGAACGTACATACACCCAAATAAATTACATGAACCTGCCCTGAACTTTTTAGAGTTCTCTAAATAGTCTGAATTTTTTTTTAATCTGTAACTGCGCAAATAATCCATGTAGAATCTTTCTTTTATTAAGCATATCCAGAATGAAAAATATTCTTGTATAGAACTTTGAAAACAGCGTTTCGATACTCTTGCTAACCACTGTAAAATATATACGGACACATTTCATGAATTAGATTGAATCTTTGAGTAAAGCTAAGTTCAAAATTACAGTAATATTGTAATTGTAAAGAATTTTGATGATCGATAAACACTAAACGTGTTTAACTGTCATTTGTGTAATACACTCTCTGTGTAGGATAATGAAAGTATATAAACATTACTACGTATTGTAATTAATAATGAATACAATGTTAATTTTCATCAATATTAAATAGTAGGGGAAGAATACTTTGAAAAGAACATTGAATAGTAAAAGATATTCTCTATATAGAAATAGATTGAATAAAATGGCCATTTGTAAAAAATAAAACAGCATATGATAGATGTATGTAAAACTAAAATCTTTAATTTGTGATAGTTTTAGGGGAAAGAGTTTTAAAATAAGAGAAAACATTAACAAATGCAAAGTGTGAGTATCGAAGAAAGTAGTTTAAAAGGAAAACTGCCATAATCATGATTTTTAGAAAAATAGAGAAAAAATATAAGAAAATGCACTGAATTATGTATGTATTAAAAAAAATTTTTGTCCTAATCTTGTTTGCAATTATATTTTTGGGGATAAAAAGCAAGATAAGAGGAAAGTCTAAGTGAAGATAAAAGGTACCAATTGAAATATATATATATAAATCATATTTTAGTAGCATTGACATTAGACATTAGATGTTAATTTCTAGGGAAAGAGAAAAAAATGAATATGACGGAAATGTATTTTATTTATGTTTTCCTATCGTTTTTTGTACATAAAGTCTTTCTTGAAAGTATCAATCGCAAGCGCAAGGCTAATATTATTTCACAAGAAATGTAAGTGAAAAAGCTAAACATAAATGGTTATATGTAGTTGAGGTTCAGAAACAATACACCGCCTAAATTTTGTTCAAATTGATAAAAGATCATTGAACAAATATTTATTTGGTGAATATGAGACAAGAAATAGAATTATTGATGCTAGAATAAATGAACATAAAAATATTTCTACCAATTTTACCAAAATAAATTGTATGTTTTGCAATAAATCAAATTATATAATGAGAAATGGAAACACATAACATTGTATGAGTGAATCTATAAAAGAGGAATAAATATGAAAAATCATTGAATTGTGTGTTATCATGGTACCCTAATAAGACTTACTGTGGTGTAGAGAAATTCTCATTTTCTGATCACCGTGGTTCAACAACACTCAATTAACATTTGGTCAACTTCTGATAAAATTTTCCTAAACCGCAAAATGTTCTTAATCGTCATAATACACTTACATCGAATGCCGCGAAATCAAGATATTCACGCCCTAGAAAAAGCGAGGACAAGCATTTCTTTTTGTAAATTTGAATTTGACTTGTTGAAAGCATATGCTTGAAGAAAATTCTCATAATTATTTACAACCAATGAATCGCTGAGAAACTTCACAGCTCAAATAATAAAAGTCAATAGAATTCTTTCCCAAGTCTTTCAACAAGAAAATAAGCATACATGCGTCCTTGAAAGCTTATCATGAGAATTTATTGGATTTATTCAAAACAGAAAATCACTGGTGGGGCTATACAATGGCCACAATTTAGTAGATAAGTTATGGGATGCCGCAAAAGTGACGATAACGGATAAACTTTTATTTGGGCCCCAGCATATTCTCTGGGCGTACCCACTCAGCAAATTGCTGTTCCGTGAGGTATCCCAATTTCAGGGCGCTCGCTTTAAGGGTGGTGCCTTCCTTGTGTGCCGTCTTGGCGATCTTCGCCGCCTTGTCGTAGCCGATGTGTGGATTGAGGGCAGTGACAAGCATCAAAGACTCATTCATGATTTGTGCGATGCGATCCCGATTAGCCTGGATGCCGTTCACGCAATTGGCAGTAAAGGTGCGACTGCCATCGGCCAAGAGGCGAATCGATCTGAGGACGTTGGACGCGATCAGTGGTTTGAAGACATTGAGTTCAAAGTGACCATTGGAACCGCCCACAGTAACAGCCACGCTGTTTCCCATCACCTGTGCGCAGATCATTGTGAGGGACTCACACTGAGTGGGGTTCACCTTGCCGGGCATAATTGAACTTCCAGGCTCATTTTCAGGCAGCATCAGCTCACCGAGACCACAACGTGGACCCGATCCCAGGAAGCGAATGTCGTTGCCAATCTTCATAAGGCTGGTGGCAATAGTGTTCAGACAACCAGAAACCTCGACCATGGCATCACGAGCCGCAAGAGCTTCAAATTTGTTTGGCGCTGAGACGAAGGGCAACTTTGTTAACTCGGCGATTTTGGCTGCAGTCTTCTCGGCAAATCCTACACGCGTATTGAGGCCAGTTCCAACGGCAGTGCCTCCGAGTGCCAGCATGTAAACTCGAGGGAGGACAGCATCGATCCGATCCAGGGCAAAAGTAAGCTGTTGTACGTACCCACTGAACTCCTGGCCAAGAGTTAGAGGAACAGCATCCATCGTATGAGTTCGGCCAATTTTGATGATATCCTTGAATTCTCTGGCTTTTGCTTCGAGAGCGTCGTGGAGAATCTTAAGGCCTGGCTTTAAATTTTCCACGAGTTCACGCGCCACAGCAATGTGGATGGCAGTAGGGAAGGTGTCATTGGAACTCTGAGACTTGTTGACGTGATCGTTGGGGTGAACGGGATCCTTGGAGCCGAGTTTTCCGCCCAGAAGCTCAATGGCTCTGTTGCTGATCACCTCATTCACATTCATGTTGGTCTGCGTGCCCGAACCGGTTTGCCAAATGACCAGCGGAAAGTGGTTTTCTTGGTATAGCCTCCCCGAGATCACATCATCTGCTGCCTGAGAGATGGCATCCGCCACCCGGCCATCTAATCCGTACTCCTTGTTCACAAGTGCCGCCGCCTTCTTGAGAACCCCCATCGCCTTGATGATGGGCTCTGGCATTCGCTCCGTTGGTCCTCCGATGGGAAAGTTCAGCACAGATCGCATCGTCTGTGCCCCATAGTATCGGTCAGCTGGCACTTTCAGCTCCCCGAAAGTGTCCGTCTCGATGCGCACGTCCTCTGTCATCCTACTTGCGGACACACTAAATGCACAATGTTCTAATTTCGCGAACTGAAGAGCAGTCAAGAGACCTCCTCTACGTCGAGCTACTTGCTGAGTTACTAAGCGAAAAGCCATGACTGGATTTACTTTTATCACCAATCCGGTTTTACAATTTTTTCATGAGAAAATTATATAACAACAAATGCAATGCTAAATGTCACGGGAATTAACCGCATACGGCAATCGGAAAGTTTCATGAAACATTCCAATGCGAAATTTACCTATTTACCCGATTGTATCCATTTACCCAAGCATTTACCAGATTTTATGAATAGATCTAGATTTTTTACCAAATGAGCATGACATTTTGTAATATGAACAAATTTTACTTTATTTCAATTTACATTCTTCCTACTCTTTCTATTTTGACGGTGAAAAACTCGTTCTAGTTTTCTTGTTAAGATAGTAATTCAAGTACTTAATGCGTTTCTGCATATTTTTCCACTTCGTAGGACTTACGATGGGATACAGTGAGTTGCAAAGAGTCTTCCTCTTTCTCAGCAGCAGCTGATATTCATTTCCGGATGCACCGCGAATCCAGGCGGGTATAGAATAAAGCACTTTTGTGGGATGTAGGCGGTCATTCCCAAGGATATCAATGTAATCATTTTGCCCCATAACAGCTCTCTTCAGAGAGTAAGGATTCTTTGGTCTGTACTCCGGCATTGGTAGTTTCCGCCCACAATCATATCGAGGAAGAAGGCCTTCCTGGATAATCGGATCGAAGTAGCCATACCTTCGACGGAGAGGCCCCCTAGCCAACTTGTCGGCATGATAACGAAATCTCACAACTTGGATTTGGGGCGTTGTGGGCAATGTGTTCAATACACGAGAGAAGAAATTCCTTATGATTGACATCCTCTATGGTTAGGTTATATTTCCCGGGCGCTGGAGAAAAACAAATAGAGAAAAAATATTATAATATTTAGAAAGACATTCAAAATTGTGACTATTTGAGCGATAGCTGTAATGGTTGTTACCTTGTTTATGCTGGATCCTGAAGAAAAAGCAGAAAAAACCCTAATTTTCCATGCAGGACTGATTGTCTCCGGATAATAAAGAATAAAGTGACATGTGCGATTAATTACGCGTAAATAAAGCAAAGCAGATTTTCAAACTTATCCGGCAGGGAAATTAAGAGATACAATTATTTGGAGGATATACAAAAAATGTTCTCAGTCAATGAAATTCTAAATCTTTATCTTGATTTCTATGCGTTTCATGGGTGTGAATATTTTTTCAAGACTCCAATATGACGCGTATAAAATTAGTTGGATAACACGGATAGTCGGTCTCTTTCTGACATGATATATTCTCGAGAAAATTTCTCCGAACAATCTGTTTGATTTTTGATCATTTTCTTCAATAGAATCGTGGTTGTTGTATAAAAATGTCCACAGTGGAGATGCCTAAACTCTCTGAGAACCAGAAGACGTACGCTGGAATCCCAGAAGCTGTGTTTGTGGTGAGAACAATAACCTAACCTCATTCTGAGATTAGGAAAAATGTGTGGAAATCCGAACCATTTGTCAATTTACCTTTATATTGCTCATTGCATTTCAGGAGGATGTGGACACATTCATGGGCCAAGCTGACAATGATAACAACAGCGACAAAGTCCTCCGGAAGCTGGATGAGCAACATGGCAAGTATAAATTCATGGAGCTCAACATCGCAACGAAACGGCGAAAGTTGAAGCAGCAGATTCCGGACTTGGCCAAATCCCTCGAGATGATTAACATTCTGAGGAACCAGGGGGACGACATGGAGACACAGTTTCTACTGAGCGAGCAGGTCTTCGTGAAAACCACTATTCCACCTACAAAGACCGTCTGTCTGTGGTTGGGAGCTAACGTTATGCTGGAATATCCTCTTGGAGAAGCAGAAGAGCTGCTCAAGCAGAACATGGATTCTGCCATCGTGAACCTCAAATGCCTGGAACACGATCAAGACTTTTTGAGGGATCAGCTCACTACTACCGAGGTGAACATGGCACGTGTCTACAACTGGGATTTAAAGAGGAGACAGGCCGCTAATGCCAAGGCAATCTCCACCACAACACCTGCCAGTTCATAATTCACCACAACATCACACCTTTGGCATCCTTCACGCATCCCGGAGTCATTTCTTGTTGCAAAATTTTGTATTTTAATGCTTCCTGCAGAGATTCTCAATAAAACTTTTATTAATCCGCATAACAAGAGCAAATTAAAGGAAGGAATGCAATTTAAATGTCTCGGATTCTCTTTCAAAACCCACCACTGTTGAATCAGGCTCTAAGAGAACTTAATGACAAAGGTAGGTGCATATAATCGATTTCGTGCTTGTCTCCAATAAGAACTTTTGCGACTTCTGCTGCTTATCGTGTTCTTTATTTCATGGTGTATCCATTAAGTTTATTTCACATTGATCTGAAGGCACAAATTCATTAAATACCAGTGTTTTTGTGCTTTTCCTAGTGAAGGAGAGATACGATAAAGACGAAATGTCACAAATAATTCAATGTCTATTGTACTTCAAAAATTATAATCAATCAAATTTCTAATCATTATATCTATTCACCTAATCAATATTCGACTAGACTTGACTTCATCCAAATATTCTTGTCTTGTCTCTTCTATTTTCTCAAATACACATAGTATTTTGAGACGATTTTGAGTTCATCCTCAACTAGTGTGATCAAAATATTTCAAATTTCATTGTTATTTCTGATATGGAATGCTTTCCATTGTGAGATCACTCACTGAGCAAGATCTGATTTAAAATTGAAAAAAAATGGATATATATTGCTCCTTCGCAATTCATTATTTATCGTCTTCTTAAATGTTATACTTCAGTAGTGAATCAATAAAATACAGACTGCGAAGGAGGAAAGGTCAAAGAAACTTAGAAAACTAAAAGGAAAATAAAGTGGAAAGGGGATAGAAAATTCACATGGCTTCTTAAAAGTAATTCATAAATGGATGGCAAATTTCACCGTTTATGCCTTCTCGGCCTCCGCAGTTTCCTTGGGCGAGGCGGGTAGCTCAATCGTCGAAGCGTCCACTTCCTTCTGTCCCTCTCCCTCAGCTGGTGGACTGGCCGGAGTCTCGTTTAACTCTTTAGCTGAATCAGCAGCGTCAGCCGCTTTAGCGGTATCGGATGTCACTGATGGTGGTTCATCAACAGACGTCTTATCGTCTGGCTCATCAGTTTTAGCTTCAGTAGTCTTTTCACCCTCCGGCTCGTCTCTCTTTTCCTCCTTATTCTCATCCGGACTTTTCTCCTCAACCGCCGGTTCCTCTCGCGGTGACACCGCTTCTTCCACCACTGGTGGCTTTCCTTCCTTCAGATCTCTGATCTGTCGCTTCAAGTCCTCAATCTCCTTACGACTCTCCTCCAACTGGGACCTCAATGATGAGATCAGATCCGTCTCGTAAACGGCGTCCCCCAAGTTCTTCCGGATGAATTCAATGGCATCATCCTGTTTATCGCTCTCGTATTGAAGCATCAGCTTGCACAACACTTTCGTGAGTGTCTCCATCACGCCGTTGCGCTCCAAATATTTGCGATAATCATCGCGACGCGAGTCAATGGGCTGTATAAATAAAATAATAGAAAATCGATATCAAATTTATATGCATAGCATAATTTTCAAGAGCAAATTGCGTCAGAATACGCTCCGGAAAAGGTTAGGTATAGGGAAAATCGATAATCTCTGAATATTCAGCTAAATACTTGACAAACCTACCTTGTATGCCATTGTCGACTCTTGTTAACCACAGAGTATATTCTTGAAGAGACAAGCTAACAAATTTTGCTTGCTAATGGTAAGAAATCTGGGAGTCGCACTGAAAATACGGAACTTGTCTCTACCAGTCACAGCAGTCGCAGTGTTGCCAATTATCATTGTATTGCCCGATGTAACCGAACCGGGAAGTAATCGAATTTCCCGATAGCGCTAAATCCAATTCCATAATGTGAAATATCCGATCAAAATATATGTGATGCCGCGAAAATCCTAGCATAAAGTCAAATTAACATATTTTATGCTTGTTCATAGAATAAATTTATATTTCTTTAATGCTTCTGTATAGAGAAAGTCACAATAATTTAGTTAATTCCTTGTTAAATATCCACGTTTATCAATTACTATGCCGATATCAGTACAACTGTTATACATTTTCCTGTATTTGTAATATATATTACCTCTTCTTCTTTTTTACATTTCATCGGCATTTGTACAAATCTTCTACATCACCATGTAAATTTGCTACAATCAATTGCTTGCAACAGTTTTGAAATACTACACGCGACATAGAAAAAGTTATATTATTTGTATTTTGTCTGTACAAAGTACAGATGTTCCTTGCACAATATGTAATAATGTTTAATATTATAGTGGAAGCAAAGTGTTTTTTTTTCCAGCAATTGATTTTTTTATATCAACAATTAAACTGTAAAATCTGTATGTCCTTCCTAAATACACGCATAAAATATATTTCTACAATCGAGTAATTATTGTATGTAAAATGGAAAATATGGCTAAAGTATGATAATTGTAAGACTTTTTACCTCTCAACCCACTCAAGAAGAATCTTTCTCCAACGGAAAATACTCTATAAATCTAGCAATTAGTTTATTATACATGAATGAATCCACTAGCTCTCTTTCACAAAGTTAAAATTGGAATACAATATTATGTCATTTGGAGTACAATATAATAAAGAAAATAAGTGATGTGACTAAAACGTCCCAAAGAAATTTATATTTTGTACAAAAGAAACTACTATCTATTACACAAAAAATAACATTAATAAACAAATATGCTGGATTAAACCATTTTAACAATATTGGCTATTTCGCGAAATGGCAACAAAAATCAATCAACAAAGGGATATTCCTACCATAAACAATTATTATACATGTGAATGCGACGACTTGTCTCTGGCGCGCCTCTTGGCTAGTTCAGACATTCCCACGGGGCCCACATTTGCCGCCTGTGGAGATGCTATCGCACGAAAAGTAGCATTTACAGCTCTCCTTAATGCTGCCGTTTGATCCTTCGCGGATACACCAGTCACACCCAGATTTTGCTGATGCTGTATATTATGCACCTCTGCCGATTGCCTGCTCAGATCCGGTGGCGGTTGCCATAGCCAAGAATGTCTCAAAATCTGCGCAGCTGTCGGTCTCTTCTGTGGCACGATGTGTAGCATTTGACACAGCAAATCTTTCACATCCTGCGAAACGGATTTCCATCTCTAAAAGATAAGATTAAACTCAATTACTGTTAATATAAGAAATGAATGGAATTTTGTTGTTGAATTGAATGAATTGAATTGAATTGAAAGAAAGTATTTATTATTATAAGAATGTCCAGTGTGATTTTTTTTAACATTCACTATAGATTTTATTAATATAGAAAATACTTTCTACTTCAACCAGAATATTGATTAGTGAGAAATTCTGGGAAAATCACTCACCTCACTATGAATGTCAATATGCCCTGAACCGATTCTATTGAGGATCATATCAGGTGAATCATTAGGTGTGCTGGCGAAGGGGGTTTTCCCATCAAGCATTATGTAGAGGAGCACACCCAATGACCAAATATCACACGCCAAGTCATATCCTTGTCGCTTCAGCACTTCGGGAGCCACAAAATTTGTCGTGTAACAGGGCGTCATGAGAAGACCATTATCAGCGCGAAGTTGCTTAGCAAATCCCAAATCGCACAACTTGAGGGATTCAGGCGTCTGCTGGACTGAAGCGTAGAGCAAATTTGACGGTTTCAAATCCCTACAGAGTGACAAAGGATTATATATCATAGCTGTACATCAAATCTCTTTAGACAAGATAGTAAAAATAAAAGATAATCAACTCACCTGTGAACAACTCCATGCTCATGAAGGTAAGCTACTGCTGAGATGACAGTTCGCAGAACAGCACTCGCTTCCATCTCCGACATCCTCTGTATCGTGAGAATTCTGTCCAGCAGCTCACCACCTTTCAGTAATTCCATGACTAGATACACACATGAGTTGTCCTCGTGCACGCCAAGTAGTGTAACAATGTTTGGGTGATTACCGTAGCGCAGAAGGATTTCAACTTCCTCCCTGCAGTCGTGGTCAGATTTACTGATAATCTTTGCCGCATACTGTTTCCGTGTTGTCTTACTCTCACATAGACGACATACAGAGAAGGTGCCACGCCCAAGTTCTTGCATTAGATTATACTCATCACAGAACACACCAGGTTTCACTCCCGGTATTTCATTGGAGAAGGGTAACTTCGATTGTATTCCCACCGCACCGGCACCTCCATTAGAAATAGGCATTCCCGCATCATCCAGCAATCCAGGAGCCACGAAACTAAACCCGCGGAAGATCTCATGAGCGCTCGCACTAACGGGACCCCCGGGCGAATCTCTCGGTGATTTACTTGTATATTCAGTGTCAAAGTAAAAGGCATCATCGCGTGAAACCGCTGGAATAAAGGGTGGTCGCACTTGTTTTGTCACCAATGCATCCCAATCAATGGTGGCGAAAAATTCATGCTTCTTTATGTCATCAATGCCACCAGGACCAGCTCCAAGGCGATTCTGTGGATTTCGCTTAAACAACACGCGTAGTAGTGACTGTGCCTCTGGACTGAGATTATCCGGCATGCCCAATTTAGTTTTTAGGATCTGATTCATTGTTTCCTGTCGCGTAGCACCATGAAATGGAAGATTTCCCGTCAACATCTCATACATCAGTACGCCAAAGGACCACCAGTCGGCGGCAAAATGATGACCCTTCCTGTTCACTACCTCTGGGGCCATATATTCAACAGTGCCACAGAAACTGTACGTCTTAGATCCATCCAGAGGCTGTTTTGACAATCCGAAATCTGTTAAGGCGATATGGCCATCCTAGAATGTGAAGAGATATTTTAAAATATTGTTATTAGAAGATGATACATTTTTTTTTATCTCAATTAATAATTCAAACTCTCAAATTTTCAAACTGTTCTTCTACAATGTTATCAAAATACGTGAATTACTATCATAATAGGTAATATGAAAAATGATTTTAAATTACATTGATTTAATTGTCGTATCTTGAAAATGAATTAAAATTGCATTAATGTTTTTGTTCAAATGTCTATACTGGATATGATCACCGTCAAATGCTCTAGTCATATAAAATCAATATAAATGCAAAAGGCAGTTTTTTATGATTGAATATTCTTCTTTTCTCTTTTCTTCCCATTCACACGTGTCTTTCATATCCATTTTCCACCCGTCGTATGCCACCATTTCTATTTGTGTGCAAACTGTGAGTGGTATAAGACAGTATTACTATGTTCAAAATACATCAAAGGAAATAAAAACATAAATAGGAAAAAATGCAGGTGGAATTTCAATTTTCGCAAAAATCACACTTTGCTAGGAAAAAATATATTTTCTTTTCCTTTTTTCCACTCTTTTTATCAATGACATATGTCCTCATACTTTAGTTTTTTTCAGCATTGTGTTCCCTGTAATGAAAATTTTCACTAACATCTAATGAAACTTTGATTAGAAAACACATCCACTTATGAGTAATTAAGATTCCACATCACATTCTTTAGTTCTCCAGTCAACATCATACGACTATGTTTACTTGTATTTACTCGTCTATTTATAGTGCCACTCTTGGTAAAGCAGATATCAATAAAAGTAACTCACTTGATCTAGTAGAATATTTTCGGGTTTAAGATCTCTATAAATAATGCCAATACTGTGTAAATGATTAAGTGCCAAAGCCAATTCAGCTAGGTAGAACTTTACATCCTCCTCTGTGAACATCACCTATAAAAAAATACACACATGTATTAGAAACCATGTCTATCAACACATTTCCTCAATTTAGCGAGTGTGTGGAAAACCACGCATATTGAGGAAAATATAGAATAATAATTAAGACTCACTTCTTTGCTCAAACGAGTAAATAAATCTCCGCCACGTAGAAAATCCAATATCAAGTACAATTTTCCTGGTGTTTGGAAAGCATAGTGCAGTTTAACAATGAAAGCATGTCCAACGTCGGCCAAGATGTTCCTTTCATTAGTGCTTCTTACACGGTCTTTCACTTTTAGAGTGGCCTTTTTCAGCACTTTCATTGCATACAGAGTTCCAGCATCTTTACCCACAATCTTTCTCACTAGGAACACTTTGCCGAATGAGCCCTCACCGAGGACTCTCAGCAATTCAAACTGTGAGGGATCGGCCTTCTCATGGCCCTCCTTCACAACGTCTTTCAGTTCTATTTCGCGCTCCTTCATTTGCACGTCTTCACTCGTCACATAGTGATTCTCTTCATTGGGAAGGGGGTCGAAAGCATCATCGACCACCATTTCTACATCTTCTTGAGATACCTGCAAGATTTCACAAAAGCACATTAGTTTTGACATTTACAATAATTGACTATGACTGTAACAAAAATTGTTATAAAGAGTGAATGCTTTATAGATAGTAACTGTGAAAATCAATGCAGTGTCACGTGTAGTAAAGACATACATACATATGTACACCAAATAATAAATTTTAACGATGGTTGTTTCTCTCTAAACATTTACACATACAAATCTCAAGGTCCACAACGGAAAGAACCCGCACTTTTAACATTATAAACGATAACATTATGAACAAATATTAGAGATTTTCTTTCAACAAATAACCATATCTTTTCGTAAAGATTCTTCCCATTAGTAAACCTTACAATTTATGAAGTATGTAAGATTTTATGGGGTTCAAAAACTAAGCACTGAATATTTATTTCCCGCCCTCCTTATTAACACATTCCACAAATCTTTTACAACACTGTATACATACATATGTATGTATAAATCTCATCCCAGATGGGTGCTAAAGAAAAATTATAATAGATTTACATTACAATTTTTTAACAATATCTTAATAATATCCGTAGAAGAAAGCCCATTTTTGTGCAGAAACATAATACTTGTTAAGAATAATATGTTCTGTATAGGAGTTTCCACCACTTATCCAGTCAACAAGTAGTAATGGTTTGTCTACTAGACTCCTTTACATTTTTATTTTCCGCAGTTTCAACACGACATAATATACCAATACAATAAACCCATGAAATGTCAACACCCACTTTTCGAAAATCTGCGCCACAGAAAATTCGATGGAATTTTTTCAACTTTCAACAGTCTACTGCACACATCAAGCAATAAAATAAGCGTCCATCTATCCAGTGATTCATATTTTCATGTTTTTTCCGGGAAGAATATAGAATTATTGAATATGGGTGTTCGTGAGTATTAATGGATGAAATTCATCAAATGATGAAAGATAAAAATAGATTTAAAAGATGTATGGTACCTCCTGACCCATAAATGTATCATAATGAAATTCATCACACTTTATTGCCCAGGCGATGTCTATCACAAAGAAGTCAATACAAAACTCCTTGAATTTTTCCATTTATACGTGTATATTCCTCTTCAGGATGCCACTTGTAAACTCAAATCTTTTCCTCGCACTTTGTAATCCACAATTATCCACTAACATAGATGTAGGGATGAAAATATTATTAAAAATTTACTTTTGCTTCACTTATTACTCAACCACTGACCACAGTGACTACCCTCCATCAGATCTCTGACCATACAGAATGACGCCTGAAACACAGATGCAAACGAACTCTCTGTAGCCTCACATTTTTATCTCCTCTCTCATATGTTGGATTTACTTTATCGGTTTCTCTTCCCATCAAAAGAAAACAGCCCCGTCCTCATGTCAATTTTTGATTACATTTTCGTTCTGTTAGCCCGTTTGATTTTCTGTTAATTCAATATATTCCATCCGTTCCAACCCCTACAAACTATAACACTCATTACGAGTCAAGGATCAGATTTCATTAACAGATTACTAGATTTCATTAGCATTACGTGGAAATTCGCGGCTCATCGATATGTCTCAGAGCCTCAAAGGGTCCTATTCGATTTGGAGTCACTGTATATCATATACTACTCTAAAGAAATTTCACTGTGACATAGACTAAATGGCAAATTTAAATAAATATAGCAGATGTATGCAGAGAAGATAGGATAGGATTCACTCTAATTATACATATCATGAAGTAGAAACATTGGATGTTTTATTTATGATATTGAAAAATTCGCCTGGCGAAGACAGAGGTTTCTTATTCTAAGCAACGAATAAAAAAATAGCTACATAGAAAGTGATATGCAGGGATAAAATAAGTTCATTAAACAAACGCCTTCATTACTCTATTCATGACAAAGTTTTAATGAACTTCCAAGATTCCAATACTCTCCCATGTATTAAAATTCTCATACACTCCAGAAAATTGTCTTCAAAACAAATAGACACTTTTAAAACGTCAATCATTTTAATTTAATCACAAACTCCAATCTGGAGTTCGTAATTGGCACAAGGGATGAAAACTTGGGTGGTTTTCCCACGCTATTAATATCCCCAAATGACAAACAAATGTTAACGACTTTTTGTTTAATTTTCCTTCCACAATTATACCCAACACTTAGCCCAAAGATTTACAATTATATGCCAATTTCGTTCATGGAAATGTTACTAATAAGCATAAAAAGAGAGAAAATCATATTGCAATATGTTTTAACCGTTTGCTCTTTTTGGCAATATTTCACTGCGTCGAAAGGAGAAAATGGCAAGAAAATGTTTTCAATCATGGATTTAATAATATCCCTACCCACGCATACTTCCACCCACGATCGGGGAAAGCTCTAAAATACACAACTGATAAAGTCGAAAGCGAACATGTGACTCAATACATACTTCGAGTAGAACATATCTACATACATGTTCTGATGGTGGAAATCGTTAAATGTGCTTCCTTCTTGTCCCAATCCAATTTCTGAAATATCTATTTGAGCAATTTTTTAACTCAAAATCACATTAGACTTGAACTAATTTGATGCTACATACATATAATGTCATTCCAATTAATTTATTAATATCTCCTATATAGGTATATACACAAAGAAAATTTTCTTTCCATATTACAGATCCATTAGATTACATTCTACTATTCAATCATTCCTTCCCACCAATATTTTTTGATGGATTTGAAATGGGTAATGTAATCCATTATCTATTATCTACATTTAAGTGTTGCAACGATTTATAATTTTAAACCTGTAACTTCAACAAATATCACAATGAAAATATGTATCTATTGATATTGTAAAAAAGAGATATATTCATTAAAAAATTTGTTTTTTTCCTAAAAATAGAGACACCAGGAACTGGTGACAAATAAACGGATATAAAGTTTAATTCATTAATTAGCGTATTAATCTTCAAAAGAAATTTTTACGTTATATATATATATAAATCCTTAACCGCGTTTTAAGGCAGACGCCCCAAGAGGAGAACAAAAGCTGTTCACAATATCAATTTTGTACTTCCAAAAAAATCCACCCAAGAGAATTTTTCATCCGGTGAACGTTCAGCACAAAAAAATTACTGGTGTTGAAAGCGTCCTAAATTAACAAATTCTTTAGCGAGTGACATCGTTCAGGCTTTATCAGTCTTGGGTTACATCACTTAAGGATTAAACACTGAAATCTGTGAGCAATTTATATCACCCGCCTCCTTTATATGTATTTTCGTATCTGAATCACAGCGAAGGAAGGACACTCAATTTTATCAAATATTCACCGCCATTGACAGGAATGTGCGTTGGCGATGAGGTGTCAAGGAGAGACCTTCAATACTCCCTCAAGATGCTTTCTCTCATTACATTCCTCTCTCTAAGCAAATCCATACAATGTAATTTTCGATGATCAGCACTACTACTCTATATACAAATAGGATTTTTTTGTAAATTATTGATATTTTGTATTTCCAATTAGGTTTTATTTTTTTTCCTTTATCAAAGTGAAAAATGTCATTCTCTAAGCAATAACAATATCTTGCAGAATCTACAAATACATCATAACATTTGCCATAATCTTGCAGGTAAATAAAAAGAATTTTCAAGAGCTGTGTATATTTTCTCGTTTTTAACGAGCGAGGCTTTAAAAAATCATATTCCATACATCCACATTTATCAATGTAAAATTAATATGAAATGTACAAAATTGAAATCAATCAATTATGTACACAAAAACGTTTCTCATATTACGCCTAACAATATAACGAAAATTTAACTAAAAAAGAGAATTTCTGTAGAAGCACAAATATGTACGCTGGAAAGGTTAATTGGGTTAATAACATTAAAACCTTATCTAAATATGAGAGTCGCACCAAAAGATATTTCTCACACTGACTTTTCGACATTGTGTTAACGTTATGATGGAGAACATTTTTGTCGAGTACGAGTACTCATAATAATGGTATTATAATTGTTTTCTTATCCATTAATTAATGTAATCCAAAAAAAAACAAAGTGATTCCGATCTGATTTTTTATTCTTTCAACGCATCTATCACTATTTTCTTACGATATTATCTATCATGAGAAACTGTATCTTTTCTGTATACATATAATGTTTATGTAATATGTTACCTGCAAAATTATATAATATTATACAGACGTGGCAGTGTAATAAAGCATAACTTAAGAAATATAACTCGCCGGAAAGCGATAAATGAATGCACGAAGACAATCTTTATAAAATATCTTTCCAACATATTTTTGTAAACAATTAAATATTTATTGATAATGTACGGAAATGAGCAGTAATGGAAATTGTAGATTTATAATTTTAATTATTCTCACAGCTAAATACTACTATAATACTAAACACAATTCACATGGCAAATACGGTGAATATGGATATTGCATTCAGCATGCATTTTTCTTTATACATATAACACCATTAAACACAGAATTTCTAATTGGGTTTTGTGAAAAGCAAAATCTGTGCAAAAAAAGAAGTTGAAGATATGATATGGTATGCACAAAATAATTGAAAGCACACTGTAAAACATCACACGAAACAAAAGGAAACAACTAACAAAAATTTAGATCAATGTTCCAAATACGAATCTAAATTAAAAAATTAAAAAAAGTACAAAGGCCTTAATGTTGTAAATTCAATTATTGAAATTTCTTCCAAAAATGTACGGAAATAATATTATTTTAAAAGATCATCACTCTATGGCCAACAAAGGAAAAATTTTACGTACAGAAACTATCCGTAGACCTGAAATCGAGTTTGATACTCCGTGTGCTGCAATAATTAACCCAAAATATTAATGACATGAGAATGTATTAAGCTGAGTCATGTAAAACTTCTATGATTGCAAAATTACAAAATCATTAAAAAAAATACACACAAATGAACGAAAATATGTCGATAGAAAATATATGAAAGAAAAGAATATATAAAATTTCTTCCTGCATTTCACTACTGAAAAGATTTTATTCCTATTACCCTGATACTAAATATATTCTGAACTGAAATGTTGTTATTACATTTTTGTGTGTCCTTCGCGCTGGATATCTCGCGAGCTATTCTAACAAAAGATAAATTAACGACGGCAGCCATGATCAAGTAACAAACATACATACAAACATTCATATATTTTATGAAAAAAAACACCTAACAAAAAAAATTCACGTGAAATTGGCAAAGTCAATAATGTCTTATAGAAAGCCAAATATGTAGATTAAAATTGCTTTTTTCTTGCATCATTACATCAGTGACTTGTTTGTTATATGACAACCCATATTTTAACCTCATATTGTACAACAAATGTTGGAGACAGCAATTTGATAATAGAAATATTTAATTTATTCTTTTGCAAAAATATATATCAACTTTTTTATAAATAAAACGTCTACTGATATTACAAAGTCTATTGTAATTAGCATGTAAGACCTTTAAATTTTTTTTTTAAATATCTTTTCTTCCTTAATTTTTTATTCACTCTACATCACTTCTTTTCCGATTTATTTGGGAATTGCTAAAAAAAAATGTGCGCTAACAGGAAATTTTTTAATTTATTGGAAGCTTCAATCGTAAACACTTTTACACAATCACCAAATCAATCGAGAAGGGAACTGAGATAGAAAAGTTAGTCAGAAAAGGAGACACACTCTGAGGGTGGATATAGATGATAATGATTTGTAGAGACACTTTAAGAGACTTGCGTGTGGGCGTCACACTCAAAATTATTCTCTTACCACCCCATTCAGATGCTCAGTGGATGGACTGAGAGAGGGAACAGTCTCATCATTCGTCATCGTTTCTACAACCCCTAATGGTTCGTATAAAAAAGAGAAAGAAGATAATAAATGAATGGCGTTTGAAGAAAGCAACAATAATTTAAGTGATTTTTCTAGCCATTTCTTCAACAAGATAGTAAAGTTTATAAAATAAAAAGCAAACCCAATCTTCTAAATCTTAAGAAAGAATATCATCCAAATTTGAGAAAGATTGAGAATTTGAAAATTAATTTCCTTTTTCTCTCATTAGCATATTGACAAGGTCTATGTCTATAATTTTAATTATTTAGCCAAGTGGTTAATTTTTGTTTCTTTTTCCACATTTCCGTGTGACTTTTCTCATTATCTTATCATCACAAATTTTGTCATATCTCAAACGCAAATATACAATCACCATGGTATTTAAGCTTGACTCATTTAACGTCACTTTGGCGTGAAATGGCGGCAAGAGTAATGAAAAAAAGAGATACGCTTTTCATTTTCATCATGTGCTGTAAAGAAAATGTACATTCAAAAATTACACTTGATGTTCTTGGTATGTCTTTCGAGGTGTTGTACTTTTATTTGCTCATTAAGTTTCATTCCGGAGAGAAGACGAAAAGGGATGCACAACAGTCGGAAATGAAGAATCTCCGGACAGTCTTAAGATTCGTCACACTTTCTTCATCATCTCACAATTGTTCTCTGTTTCACACAAAGTGAATATTTCCGCCCTCAATCAGTACTAATGGGCTTCATAGTACTGGAATACTATTAGACCCTTTCCCCTTTCTTTGGCTATTCCTCATGGTTGCGTGCCCACTTTCGCCATCCCTCAGCTAACACTCTAATCCACCCGCAGACGCACTTTTGTAAAAGTATTTCATTTTATATATATATATATATATATATATATATATATATATATATATATATATATATTTTGTAGTTTTTTTTTTTAACCACAATATTACCAATATAATCATTCAGTCATAGACATTCCTTATTTCCAGCTCTTGAGATATATGTATTAATGCCATATAGCAAAAAATGATGCTGATGACTCCATCATACATAGTGTATCTAGACAGGTTAGAAAAATACCGTACTTTGATTCATTTTACGATGGACTTCCTCAGATATATGCTCACTTTACCTGACTAACATAATTCTACATTCCTAACAAACATTATTAGGATATAAGCATTTATTTATACATTAGGATTAATCTTTAAAAATATTAACACATTAACCCAATTTTATGTCAATTTATTTGTTTGAATCAGGTTCAATAATAAATCACATACCACCTCATTGTCAAGATATCGGGAATAAAGTTTAAAATTAAGATTTTATAGTCTATATTTCAGCTTAGTATAACATTTTCATATATTGTATGTCAATAATCTCAATAAATAATAAATAAGGTGATATTTGTTTATGAATAAAAAAATTATGTTCAACTTAACATTGAGTTTGTGAACTAAATTCAACTATAAAAAGGGTACAGTCTAGTTTATTGATTCCTACATATACAAATTATTGGTTCGCAGAAAAAAAAACTTACATCCTGATGTAAGACTATAAAAATTTGAATTATTAAGTACCTAATATTTCAATATTTCTCGCTTTCCTATCTGCATTCAGACATGAAAACAAATTTAATATAAATTGTAATACATAACAGTTAAAAATAACAATATGTAAATTCGATAAATCATAAAACAGAAAATGAGAATAGGTAACACTTTTATTGAATTTTGATTTACGCTCATTGATAAATAAAGAGTAGGTTCATAAGGTATTTCTTGCAGGTAAATTTCACTCTTAGTTTAGCTAACATTTCTGGAACAGTTTTAGGACATTTTTGTTTATTTCCAACTCTGTTATCTCGAAACCAGTCTCACTATAAAAAACTGACTCACTCAATCTTGATCAACTTCGCTGCAAATTAGCAAAGCCCAGTGTACAACTACAATATACATGCTAGATTTTCTGTATGGAAATTCCCTGAATACAATCCTTGAGGATGGTGGATGGATAGAAACAATTGTTGCGCCCTGCCCACACTCACACATCACCATTGAATTTTATTGCGTGTGAAAAAGATGTTTTTTGGAAGTCGTGAATTTGATGGATGATTCAACACCAGCGGACGACAAATTACTTAATTTATATCGTAACGAGAAGACTTTGCAGTTGTGTCTTTACGTAGTCATTTTGTTTTGCCCTAGCACCAATATGTGGAAATGGGAATCCGCAATGTTCGTCCGCCTCCCTCCCCCTCAGACTCGCCATCTATAACATACTTGCTGCACTACGTCATTTAGCTACCACAAACCTCATAAATATGCTCTGAATCAAAGTACTGTACATCCGGAGTGAAATAATCAACCGAACAAACACAAAGTGAAACGAAAACAAATGAAAAAACATACAGAATGCACGAGATTTATGTCAGAAATGCGCTGCTTTCTGGGCGGAAAAGCAGCGCAGATGGAAAAGTATGAAGAAGTCTTACCTCGGTCGCGGCGACTGTATTGTTTTGGACTTTCCATTTCCATGGATCCGACGCTGCAGAATTGGCAAGAGGCATCCTAAAATTTGCACCACACACCAAAGCGTGAATATTTCACATTAATCTCAACCTGAACACATGCAAATTTCACTATTCACGTCACTTTCTCTATACACTGCGATATGCACTGAATTCTTTTCACGAACATGGCATACTTTTCCGGGAAATCGGTAATCGATGAATTTCGCTTGCAGCGCCGGTGGTGCTTCACGGCAAAATTGTCAGTCGTTGAGTTTCGTTAAGTTTTTATGGACAACCCTGTGACCTGTCAAAAAGTGTTTATTTCCACGTGTTTGCAGAAGTGTTTGCTGAAAAATGTCTCTCCTTAGAATTAGGTAAAATTCCCTTAAATTAGTGAAGAGTTCTTTTCAAACGACTTCTACTACCTTTCAGGAAACCCACAACAAGAAAAGGGAAACAAGTTCTTCTCAATCGTGAACCGAAATTGTTGGAAAATGCGAAAAATACACTCATTCTGGAGGGTCGAAAGTGTTCCGGAGACATCAAAGCTGCTCTGAAAGATCTCTACAATCTAAAGAAGCCACTGGCAAAGCGTCTTTCTCGCAGCAATGAAATAACTCCCTTTGAAGATGAAATTCCTCTTCAACAGCTGGCTGAAAAGAATGAGTGCAGCATGTTTATGTTCGGCTCCACATCTAAGAAGCGCCCCAATAATCTTATACTTGGACGTTTATACGAGAAAGAACTTCTTGATATGGTAGAGTTGGGTCTGGTGAAGTACCGGGGTCTTCAAGATTTCAAGAATGAAAAAATCACAGAGAATGTAAAACCCTGTTTGGTGTTCAATGGGCCCAAATGGACGCAATCTGATGAAATACGTCGACTGAAGTGTCTCCTCATTGATGCTTTTCATCGAGAGACTGTGGAAAGTCTGCGTCTCCAGGGAATGGAACATGTGCTCAGCTTTACTCTCACCGAAGATATGACTCTCCTCATGAGATCGTATAAGATTCTATTGAAGAAGTCCGGACAGAAGACACCGCGAATTGAATTAATGGAAATTGGACCGGCCTGTGATTTTGTAATCAGACGCACTAAAATCGCCTCACAGGATTTGTATAAGTTGGCAAGGAAGAGACCGAAGCAGCTGAAGACGTTGAAGAAGAAGAATCTGTCGACAGATGTATTCGGCAACAAGCATGGTCAGGTTCACTTGGGAAAACAAAACATACACAAGATACAGACCAGGAAAGTGAAGGCACTGAAGAAAGTTATGGAAGAAAGGAAAGCAGAGAAGCTGAATGGAAATGAAGCGGACAGTGCAGAAGAGGAATAAATGTTCTATGAAAAAATAATATAATTCGTTTCACATATTTTCACGAACAAATTTTATGATTTATGAAACGTCGAGGAAATACTGGCACAGGGCGTCACATAGTCTGCAAAAAATTAAAGAGTGGAAATATCAAATAAAGTTTCTAATCTTATTTCTGTCTGCGTGGTGTTTTTATTGGCATTGAATATGGAAACTTTACACATGAAAATTTTAGGCACAACAAATGATAAATACAAATAGCGCTAAGCGTTGCTAATGATTTTCTAATTGAGTTTACGTTAGGTCCGCTTATTAAGAGAAAAAATTCCTCCTAACAATACAAATTATCTGCATATGAAAGTAAATAGTAAAATTCTATGATTCATATTTTGTTTTCATTTGTCACTCCAACTACATATTTTTCTACCAAATTATTTCTTAAATAATTTAACAGATTCGCTTAGAAAAATTTCGTTTTAGGACGTGTACATGTATTTGGGTGTGATTGGTATAAGTAAAGATTTGTTTTATTTATACTTTCCTATCATTATGCATTTAGTTCTTAAATTGTGATCGTACTTCCAATTCAATTCAACGTGTAAATGGTGTAAATTGAAAAATTATATTATCACAGAAATTGTTTTGAGCTTTGCACTGGCAGTGATAGAAGCACTTGATACAATTTCCAGAATGAAGTAGTCATGTCAGACATTTAGTATGTGGACACTCTGATTATATATATATATATATATATATATATATATCCCCTATATTGATATGAGTTAATGGCATAATCTGTGAAGATGAGAAACTCAAAATAAAGTATCAACTTTTCAGTACATTCTCGAAAGCCGAACGTCGTACACAAGATATTCTCCAGTGTCATCTTTTGTGGGAACTACTAACATTTGAGTGCAGTTTTATAGCCCTGAAGAAAATAGAAATGAACATATCGGATTCAGAGGAGACGTCTATTGGATTGGAAATGAAGATATCGGAGAGAAAGCGCAAAAAGCAAGGTATGGAATTTATTCTACTAAGTAGCACCCAATCATTACATCATCACACCCATCTCATTCAATGCTCATGTAAAATTTCCATTCATTCCATTTCTTTTACTCCCCGCGGCATTGCTGATAATCTCTCGACCTTAAGAATGTTTCACTTTTCCAAAGCAATTTAACGCTCGTGTCACTCTTCATACAAAAGAAAGTATCTCATATTAACTGTTGGAACTTGAGGCCTCACCCGCAATCTCCGTCCTTCAATTCGGATTTTGGGTGCTATCATGCTGATTTATGTATCTCTCAGATGATGTACGAACACGTGCTTCTTCAACATATTTTTATAGTCATTCTATTGTGAGCAATTGAACATAAAAAGGCTAGGCACAGATGAAGAAAAGAAATATAATCTCTTTTGGCTAGGTGATAACTTTCAACTCGTACTGTTAACATTTTAATTGAAATGAGAAATCAGTAAAAATAAATGGAGGTCGACAAAACTGCTTAAATAAAAGATTAAAATGAAGACAATAAGGAAAGATGTAGAGCAAGTGGAAGGACACGGGAAGTTGAACTTGTAAAAACAGTCTCTGATCTTCATTCTCTGCAGTCCCCAAATAAAATCATTGAACTTTGACTCTGTCAGCTCGTCGGCTTTTTTACTCTCATCTAAATACTACTCATCATCTTGAAAATAAACGTCGAGGTTTATTGCACTTAATGAAAAAGTCATGATAATTAATTGAGAACATTTTGTGCATGGAAATATGTAGTACAGATTTCGTAATGTACAGGGATTCCCCCTGAAATTTAGCTATTTGAACTTTTACAGCTATAAAATTGCATCACAAAAATTCAAACGGCTTAGGTGGGACTAAATTGTGACTCAACGAGAAATACCCAGCTTGTTTCAAGATCAATTATAGCCAAAAAGAGCGCATTTTGAAAAGAAAAATAGCTCTAATCAATACACGAAAGTTCGAATGAGGCACGTGCTTGCATTTACGCATCTCGTATGTACGTCTGAAAGATTTATTTCGTCACGATTTGTGAGAAAGGTGAGGGAACTTGCATTACGTGTGATGAGAAAAATGCTGGTTTTAAATGTAAACAGATTTAATATTATGAGACCTTGTCTGAAAAGCAAGCAAATTTCAGTAATGTTTTTAAAATACTTTGTTCTATATTTTAATTTATTATAAGGAAGGCCACTTAAGAAGTCATAATTTTCTATGTAGGGTTCAAGGAAATGATTTTTATCCCTCTTACATAATGAGACCCATGAACAGACTCTTAGATAAGACTTGAAAACAAAGATTATGCTGATTGTAGCCAAGGAATGCAAGCAGTTATAAAAAGGCGGCTTAGTTATAGACATTCATTGCTCTAATTTTGTTTTTAATAACCTTAAATGTCTTTTGAGAAGGAACCAACTTCATTGTCATTATCTTTTAAACTTAATCTATAAGCTTATGATAACACCTAATATTTCAGGTTCACTTTCTGGGTCTTGCTTATTTTTCCTGGTAAATAATATAAGGTCCAATTTAAACTGCTCATCTCCTGAAAAGAACCTTTTCAATGTGCGTGATTTTAAAGAACATAAATTTTTTTAAACTTCCTACAAGATTATAAAAATCAATATTTCTTACACAAAAACTTAAAGTTTAATTCAGCAGATTTCCAAACATCTTTTTGCGAAATACTCCATCGTTGCAACAGAAATTTTCTTGCCATATATATATATTATCGTCGCAATTCCGCAGAGCAACTAGCGTCTCAACATTCGCTGCATATTGCACAGATGAAGTGCAAATAAACATAACATAATGATGACTAGCAATAACAAAATTATTGTGCGTAAAAGATTTTCCATGGCATGATCAGGAATTTTCCTCTGCAATTTTTACCAGGGGCCCATGGTGGACAATTTTAGCACCCAATTAAATATTTAATAATTTTCTTGGGATTACTCACACTTCTACGGACAGGGTATTTTCCGCGTGCGCATTTTTTTCGCACTCTTCTAATAAAGTGTTTATGGGAGGGATTGTGCAAAAACACTACTATGTGGGATTTTTACCGGTGAAAGATACTGTGAATGGAGTTGGTCTTTTTACTGACGTATTGCGCGGTTTAGCGCTCAGTAGTGCGATGGAAAAACTCTCGGGCGTTGAGCCACGAAACTGAGAGTCTGGGTATAAAATCTCGCGTTCATCCTCTACAGAGTATCACAGCGAATTTAGCAGTCTTCGAGTGCAAAGCACTGCCGCTGGAGAAGCTACCCTTGCATAGTGTTGTGTGCCTTCCAGTGAGAAATACTCGCTCAAATTAATTCCTCAAGTTATTCGACTGTGACACAATTTAGTGAGGAAGTGAATTTAAAAGCTATGCATGTTATAATTAAACAGTGAGAAGCAGTGAGGCATTAATAAAAGAATTATTTGTAATTCATTACTAAAGTGATTTGTGTTGATTGAGAGATTTTTAAAACTTAAAAGCAATTACCATATTTTTATCATACTCAGAAGCGTCAGTAAAAGAGTAAACTAAAAGATAGTGTAGAATATTTTGGAAAGAAATTTTTTGCCGCAAGAAAAGTTTATTCTCGTCCTCAACAGTGAGTTGAATTTGCGCTACAATATAAACTTGCGATTATCGATTTAACACACCACTCACATCATGTATACAACATAGTATAGCTTTGTATCCTTTTTCAAACATCCTCTCCTCCTGCATTCATCATTGCAAATGCACTTTCCACCTTGGGTGACAATCGAACAAGAACTCTTGGAAAGACTTTTCAGGTCATATAGAAGTTCTTAGTGACAAAAAGTGCCCGGTAAATCTATGATGGGAGTTTTAAAGGCACACTTGCCATTACACTCTGCCGTATAATCAAGTATTAAGCTAAATTCGTACCAAGGTCTTTATCATGGTCGTACTTTCTGCCTATTAAATCGACACGCTTTATATTCATGAAATTCCATACACCACCGATAAAGGGCATCAGCGGAAACATACAAATTTTCTCGTAATTTAATAGGAAAGTACATATACAAAATTTTAAAAATACAAAGATGTTATTTTCGTACTCCTTCCTTTATCTAATCTAGCGAGTCAATTGAATACAAAATTCACCCCAAAAATTCCATATGATGGGTACAATTAAAAAAAAAAACACCAGTTTACCAATTTACATTAAGTGAGTAAGGAATATAAGGAAAAATTTGGGTGCTAAAAAGCCACTGGCCTCTACAATTCTTTTCCCATTACTTCTCTTTCAAATGCTAATTCAATAAACAACGCATTAAATATATAAATAAAAAAGTTTAACATTGCTCAATAAACACATGTAATTTTTTCAGTCATACAAGCGTAAATTAATTGTAGTGAATACCAGTGTATCGGATGATTCTCATTGAAAACTCAAAGAAAAAAAGTTCATGTAAATAGATATCAATAGATATAAAAGTAGGCACAAAAACAAAAATTGTCACACCGAAAGTTAGTAGTTTTATTGCTATTTGCGTTAAAATAATATCACATTTGGCTAAAAATCTAAACTTTCAATCTGCTAGTAGCATGTTTTTATAGAATAATTTTTTCACTCTCAACAGTGCCGGCTGATGAAATGAAGAAAACCATAGAAAATGATCCCATTCAGAAATCCATATCAGGATTTGGATGGTGGCAACTCATGGTCTTTGTCACAATTTGCTTGCTGAAATTTCCCGTCGCATGGCACCAGGTAAAATGTAATGGAAAGAGTATATTAATTTTCAAAAATTAAATTGACTTTTTTCACCAGATGAGCATAATCTTTTTGGCCCCACCAATTGACTACCATTGTGTCGAGCCGGAAGGATTTAATGGTACCCTGGGTAGATGTGACACTAAATGTAACGGGCATGTGTTCGATAGATCCGTTTTTCAAGAAACCATTACGACGCAATGGAATCTAATTTGCGCCCAAGATCAACTGGCGAACGCTTCTCAGACTATCTTCATGTTAGGCATCTTAATTGGAAATGTGGTGTTCGGCAGCTTGGCCGATAAGTAAGTGCTAAATCAACACAACTACATATCTATAATATTGCTACAATGCGTATTATTTTCTTTTGTAGATTTGGTCGTCGTGGTCCACTAGTCTTCGCCGTGCTTATACAGTTAGTATCTGGAGTCGCAACAGCCTTTGCTCCATGGTTCTGGCTGTTCTGCCTACTTCGCTTCCTTACAGCTCTAGCCACAGGAGGCACTATGCTCACTAGTTTCGTCCTCATTATGGAGATCATTGGTGTCAAGTGGCGCGAATTACTCTCCGTCATTTATCAGATACCTTTCAATTTGGGCCACTTAACACTCCCAATATTTGCTTACTTCATCCGAGATTGGCGGCATCTGCAGCTAGCTCTCTCTATCCCATCTATCTTGCTCGTTTCCTACTATTGGCTCGTGCCAGAATCTCCACGATGGCTTATAACTGTGGGTCGTGTAGAGGAGGCTTCCAGAATACTTAAGAAAGCCGCTGAAATGAACAAGATGCCTACGGACACTATTAACAAGAATCTTGAGGCTGCTATCAAACTAAAGGGAGCCGACTCTCCCATCTCCCGAGGTAATATCTTGGACTTGGTGAAAACACCTAATATGAGGACCAAGACACTCTGCATGTGCTTCAATTGGTTCGTCTGTGGAATTTCCTTCTTTGGTGTCGCTCAATACATTGGACATATGAGTGGAGATATCTTCCTAAATGTAGCTATTTCGGCTGCTATTACCTTGCCTGGAACCGTCATTGGAATTTACTGCATGAAGTCTTGGGGTCGAAAGTATACACTAATTGCCTCAAACACCGTATGCGGAATCTCGATGTTGGCTATTGCATTTGTGCCTGAGAATCAAGCTCTTGCAGTAGTGGTTCTTGCATCTAGCAGCATGATTGGCATGAGCATATCTTTCCCTACATGCTACTTATACGCTGGCGAGATATTCCCTACTGTCGTGAGAAATATCGGCATGGGAACGTCTAGTATGATTGCCAGGATTGGGAGCATGGTGGCTCCATTCGTCGTTGGAGCTATCAGCTTTGCCCACTGGTTGCCTCCGCTAATTTTTGGAACTGTACCAATCATAGGAGCTTTCCTAACCTTCCTGCTGCCCGAGACCAAAGGTGCTCCTTTGCCAGAAACGATCGAAGATGGAGAGAACTTTGGCAAAAAGTTCCCAACTGCCACTAAAGAGGATATAGAGAGTGGAAAGTAGGGAACTATTTCGTGAAACAGTGATAGATTAGACTACCAAATACAATTGCCTAGGAGGTTTCCACTGAAGAAAATTACAATGTTAAGTGAAATTATACCATGTACAATTTTATATATAGATAGTCCTTCTAGCATAGATCTAAGAAGATTATATAATTTATTTAATTTTGTAACATTTGTAAAACAAATTGAGAAATAAAACAAATTATTTGAATTAATTAGTCGCCGAAGTGTATGCTAAATGGTGATAGTATTCAAAGGGGTTAACAACTCTGCAATGATCATGATTATTACATCATATCAAGACATGAAACCAATTCAAAATCATTCATATTTCAAACTCATTGTTGGAAAAAAAAGAATTCACTCATAAAAAAGTTTTCTAGTTCCATAAGAATTCTTTTCAAATTCAAACGAATAATATACTGAAAGAATTAGTAAAAACCCCAAAAATTACACATCAAATTTTCACCATATCAAATACTAATTCCAATTTATTCGTTTATTGCAAAATAGTGTGAATTTTACTCAAGGTGTATCAATTATTTATTGGTTTACCCCTTTATACATATATACAAATACACAATTTTAAATAAGGAAAAGGGCCAAGAATTCATAACCATTAAACTTCGTAGGTCTAAAATGGGTATACCTAATTGTTGGCACTTAAATTATTCATTCAATGCGCAGATTGCCAAAAATGCGAATGGGTATTTATTGGCCCACACCCCGAACAAGGAAATCATGCATTAATCACGACGGAATACTTGGAAGAAAACACGAGATCTAGAACCGCAAGTTGAATCTTTCAAATTCACTCACGTTCCATGAAAGAACAATATTGAAACATAACTCATTATCGATAGTGTCTGATTCAAATACTAATTAATAAGCTAGAGGCGCCGAGTCAGGTTTTATGTTTCGGCATGAAAATTGTAAAATTATTGCTATGCCAAACATTGCTTGATATTCTCAATAAATACCATACCTCATGCGCGGGTGGAAAGATGTGCTAAACAGACTCCAAATTGATGGTATTCCGAATGTGGAATAAATTGACAGTGATATTTTTTCTGCGGTGTGTGGTTTAAGTGCTCGCAACCACTACACTAGAGGCTCGCACAAAATTTTCAGTGTGTTAACAACTGAAGCGACTCTTCCATAGCAATTGATTAAAAGGCGCGACTTTGTGCACTCATATCTCCAGTTGAACTCGTAAAGAGCGGAAGATAATACGTTGACAATATTCGCGAACGGGAAGTGGATCCCTCGAGAATTTGAAGTGTCTTCTGCAGTTTTTAGCAAAGTATCAGGCAGTGATCATAATTGTGAAATAATCGCAGTATCAATTGAATTTTATTTCTCGTACACAGTCCACCTCGTGTGCGGCTTATCCCATTGATAAGTGCAATTAGCGGCGGATCGTAAGAGTGAGATATTATGATTACTGTGAAAGGTTAATTAGGCGACAAATTGATAGAACCGTAAATTATTGTGAAACTGCGAATGTTCTAATGGTGAAGAACAATATGCTTATCGCTTTTGGTGTGCTCCAATGACGGAGAAATAGTTCATAAAATTTGTTGGAATTTCAGCAGTTAGAAATTTGCTGCTAGTGAGACAATTTCTTGTGGTTTTCATATTGAAGTAACAAAAAACGAATGACTTGTTACATGAGAATATGACATAGGAGCACCTCAAGGCTCTGGGTGCCATTACATGGGTAAAATAGTTGGAAAATCGATGTAAATCGACTGCATTTTGTGGGTGTAACTTAGATCATTCCATCTCCCTGACATTTTGTATGTGACTCGTTTAGCATCAGTTGACAGTGAGGGGAAGAAATATTGACTCGAAATATTGAGTTTTGGTAGTGTAATGTAGTGAATAATATTCAAAATCATTTTCTTGATTGAAGTGTAATATGAAACATACATTTTGACACTTCTTCAGCATTTCTATCAAGTAGTTCAATTCTTTTCAAAGAATGATCTTGATAGAAATTCATTCCCAATTTCCTCTTTGGAGCTACCTCACTAAAAACATAATGCAACATACCCAAGTAAAAAACACTCACGACACTTCCCTCTTGCAACAGTTGCAACAATTCAATCAACTGGGACCTATGCATACTGTCACTTGTTCACTACGGGACGTGGACTTTACTGAAGAGTGTGACGATTATTCAATAAATTTCAGTCAGTTTAGATTAACTCTCTGTAAAAGTCACCACAGGCAACTTTTTTCATTCACTTCTATAACTGCATTATATAAACATCACAATACCACAAGTTTATGGATATATATATATGTATATACATCTAGACAGAGTGATTGTGTCCACAAAACACCTTCGTGCTGGATTTTCATCCATCAACCTTGAACATTGTGCCAATATGGTTGTGGCGAAAGAAATCCTTAATCCCTTTATTTAATTAAACTCCGCTTATAGGCTAAAGTCAATGTGAATAGTTTTGCAATATGACCCGATCGCCCTCAGGGGTTTCCATGGGTCGAGGATAAGGCCACGAATTTAGTCATATAGCATTACAACGAGTGTGTGGAAAGGCAGAGAAAAAAGTTCATGAAACTCTGTCATCATACCAGAGAGATGTGGAAGAATAAATGAGGCAAATAAATTTGCCGCGCGATCCTATTCAGGGCAATTAAAGTGTGACTCGTACATTTTTTTCTTTTCTTATCGTTTATTAAACGCCAGTAGTTACCACCCATAGACTAAATTCGCGTGGTTTTTTTTCAGAACTCACACATCTTCTAGACACCCGTTTCTCACAAACATTGACTAAAGAGGCTCCTGAAGAGGTGGCAAGAGACAAATATAAATATTAAATAAAAAAAAAATGATGAGTGCGTGTGAATATTGCTGTGTATCGTGTATATTAGGCAAAGATAAGTGAAATCATCACTTGGTCAATAATTAATTAAAATAATCGTAAATTTGCCATCTAGCTTAGCTACTGCAAAATATGTATGTAATATATGCGTATTCTGACTTTGCATGAAGGCAACAAATCTTGTTTCACACAATCCCGCTAAAACTAAAAGTGTTTCTCATGTTTACTATCAGTGAAATTAAAATAGCTGAAAATTGAATTTCATGCACAAGTGAATTACTCAAGTTGGGCCACGCGCGCAATATAGACTTAAATATGAAGCAGGAACAAGATTTCGGAAACATGCAGGGGGTAATGGAGACCAACAATGGAGAAATCATTGCACTGCTTCAATATGAAAATTCCGGAATGCCGAGTAGTAGCAGGAACACAAATCATGACGAAGGTAGGAATTACTCATCTGATTAATTATTTATAGATGTCAAAAAATTCGTAATCTAGACTTTATTATATAAAGAAAATGTATATTATACATGATTTAAATAGAACTCGTATATAGAAATAAGCTCAATTAAGAAATTCGTATAGACAGACTGATTGCATGAATATTCTTAGAAATTAAGTTCATTTACTTATTCAAATCGCATGTTTATGACTCCCACTTAAGCCTCTACAACAATCTAGAAGTGATATATGCATATTTTGTGTCGCCTAAGAATTTTATGTCTATGGTAGTCATCAATTGACATTTCAACATCAAGATACACAAATTTCATGTCTTCTGAAGCATATGAGACTGTGAGAAAATACGCGAGAAAATTTTTCTCTTCAATATTGTATTCGATCAAAATTGTTTAGCTTCCAAATCTTGAAACATACGTATTTATTCAAAAACATGTGTATATTTCTAATGAATTTTTGAACCTTTAATTTAGACAATCTCTAAAATAAGTATTGTATTGTGGTTTAACTGACCAGTTTGAGTCATTAAATTAACCTTGAAATATTGACCTATTTTTGCTACACGTGTCACATTTTTGCGACCATTTATACAAACTTTCACGTAAAAACACTAAAGGTACTTTACAAAGAAAATTGAAATATTTTGCACTATATGGCGATATTTATAATTTTCATCAGCCACCTGAATGAGTATTAGTAACTTGTGAAATGCAATGAACTTCGCGACTTAATTCTGTGCAAAATATAATATAAACATAAACAGTCTCGATGTTTGTGGCATGTGATAGATTTCTTCCCTAGTTGTGACTCATCTGTCTACAAGCACTTGTGTAGTGCTAACAAATTAATAAAAAGGTATTTCATTAGCGTCAATAAAGGCATCTCTGTATGGCATTAATGGAAAAAGTAAACACCAGATTTACAAGACGTGATCTTATCTTTACTGTACTTCCACAAATTAGCGAAATTAATGTCATTTGCGGAAATATGTTCAAAGAGGTGGTCCGATATAGTGTGACAGTGACAAATTTGTCCAAACATACAATTCATACGATTACCTGTGTTAGGAATAAAAGAAAAAAATTGTAGATGTAGACAAGATTTTATGACAGTGTCAAATCAGCCGCATAATATTATGGGATAAATGACTAGGAGTTGACTTTCAAACTTCGCTGTGATACAAGACATCCAATTTTTATTTGAACAGATGGAGGGAACATATTTGGAGTAAAGTTCTCTTTTTTATTTGCATATAAAATAAATAGTGTGTAATAAATAGATTAATATTGGATTATTGTGTTGGAATTCTAAATGCGAAAAACGACATTCTTGCGGATCCATTTGTATGCCAGTTGCAAAATCTCTTGGGCTGTAAATTCCTCTTGGTCCACCACATTGGGATCACTATCAGGACCGGAGGTCGCGAGTTCTACTGACGTCAGAGGATGCTCTTCGATGGTCACAATAAATTTCTCTGGCGGAGTTGTTGGTCTCTTTGTGGCAGTAGTCGTGGCTAATCCAGCCTCTTGTTTGGTGGGTCCCTTAACTGGACCTTTCGTTGCCTCTCCTGTGGCTTCCTGGCCAGTGAGATCAGTTTTGTTCGCTTCTGATTCTTTAACATGTCCACTTACGGTGTTTTCTGAGATTTTCTCGGATTCTGGAATCTTATTAGGACGGGTATTCTTTACTCCTTCTTCAACTGGACTATCATCATATTCGTCAGGATACAGAATGTTCGTAACATCGCGACGATCACGTTTCAAGGGTATGTAAATGGAATCTTCAAATGAGAAATCTTCAGTATCAGCGATTCCTCGACCATGATAATCAATAACAGGGGGGTTATTGTAATTTGTGGTATAAGCGTTGGAAGCATAGTTCACCTCTGGAGTTGGTTTCACATGGTCCGTCTCATTTACTTCCTCTACATTTTCAACCGTTTGCTCTTCTTTCTTATCTTCATGCTCCTTATCGTGCTTATGGAATAACTTATGGAGAAACTTCTTGCTTGGAATAGACAAAAGTGTATCGGAGTGGCCATTAGGTTTCTCAATAATCACCGATAATGACATTGGACGCTTATCGCCTATCACATGAGATAGAATCGGTTTGGTTTTCAGATGCTTGATGAAATTACTAAGCTTAGAATGCTCCCAACGATCCAAGATGGGTTGGACGGTGTGATTCATCGATTTTTTAAAACCATCCAGCAGATCTTCCAGATGAAAATGCTCAAGACTTCTATCTAGCATTTTTCCCACATTCACCTGTATGAAAACTGCTCATTGAAAAGGAATATATGATAATATAAATTTGTTAAGTGATGTCTAACCTGAACATTTTCAATCTTTTCCACGGGAAGTTCTTGTGCTTCAACGGCAAGTGGGAGCAAATCATTGGCATCTTTGGAATCCAGGCCTGACAATTTCACAACAGGTCCTCCATTTGTGACGTATGCAAGGCACAATAAAATGAAAAAGTGGAAAATCTGCAATAGATTGAAACACTTGAATTCTCTGTTTTATTAGTATTTTTTCTCTTGCTTTTTCCTTTTGCCAGAATCAAAATCATACAATTCTATCCATTACTATTTTCAATAACACGACAAATCAGATATCGTATGATTTACCCAGCAAGACACTCATCATTAACACAACAGAGTACTATGAGCTGTCGCCAAGAGGAATCAACAACAACTTCAGGAAGATTATCTTATTCAGTGGTGTAAATTATATTAGATAAGTGCAGTGATTGCTTGTTGATCCTGTTAAAAAGCTCTTCAACATTAAATTATTTGATGGGCAACACTTTAATATGCTCATGGTACCTTCGTTGTGACCACAATTTCCAACACACTTACACTCCTCATGATGTGATTTCTTCAAAACTTCCTCTCAGTTGCTATTGAATTATCTGTACGCACTCAAACACTCTGGAATCGCTCTTTTCAGACTACAAGTTACTCGAGTGTTACACTTCGATGGTTCACGCACAAATGACAAGGTGTTGAGGTGGAACAGATGAATTTATTTAACTTCAGAAATCCATTAAATCCTGGAAATTAAATTACAGTTATAGATAAATGGGTCATTGGAAAATGCACGACAATTCTCAACAATCTCATTTCACCCATTTCACTCCACATTTTTTCCGAGAGATCCAAAGGGCCGGGGGCACTTACCTGACGTGACGAGTGAAATAGTATCAATTTCAGTTTTGCTCATATTCAATATGATAATCTAAGATTTCGCATGAACTGTATTATGTAAATAAAAAGGAAAATCTTGAGGTTAACAAAAAGATACTTTTGCAATTCTATCTTAAAAAATATGTGTGTATTGAAAATATGTACTATTATGCTTATGTGTATGTAATAAACATTTAACAGTTTCGCTCTCACTTTTTCTTTCTGAAATGTAAAACATTGGAAATGATTTTAAATTTCATTGCGCATACCTAATATCCCACAGACGTGTGAAATCAATTCCACATATTTTCAGGCGCAGCCAAAAGTCTATAAAAGCTCAAGACAAAATTTAAAGGCAATATCAGTTAAAATTTTCAATGATGTGATGAATTTTATATTTATACGATGAAATTCTACCGCCTTAAGTGATTAATATTAAATTTTCTCGGTCCATTGCATCTTAAATACGATTTTTCAATATATCTAGGCTCACTTAATGTAAGAGAAAATCAACATAAATGTCACGCAAATTTGGAACGAGGAGCGTAAAGAACACTGTCTACAAATTTTTAATACACCATATATACAAAAACCAACACGAGAGACAGACACTATGACAGATTTCTCAGTGGCTCACAATCTCTCCATTGCACCCTCCACCAACATCAAGATGAGAGCATATACTCTCTCTTGCGAGCCTGATTCTAAGGGCTAACTCAGGAGAATGGGTGAAACAGACGAATCCACCCCTCCCCGCAATCTCAACGCTGTATGTGAATCCATCAGTGTCTCTCTGGTTAAAAGTTCGCCAGCAATCGGGGCTCCATTCACTCACTCTCGTCAGAATACATCCGAGAAACAGCAAGCAGACTCGCACGTTTCCCACAGCTTGGATTTGCGGAATCGGAATCACTACGAGTCAGTCACTCTCGCGATACCGTGGCGATATCATGCTTTCCCAATTCCGTCGTGAAATATTCGCTTAAACACATATCACAGTAGAGTTCGTCAGATATACCTGCAATTATACGTTTCGCTTGGAAAAAGTGAGATTTATCGCATAAATATTTGTCTGAAAAGTGTCAATTTACTAAGAATTTTTTTTATCGATGAGAAAATACTTTGTAAAACATTAAATAAATAATATTGTGACTTTCTTCCTTTAAATTTTTTGTCTAGTAAAATAAATGTTTTGGTTAAATTTATCATTTCTCCAGGAAAAGGCAAAAAAATTTCATTTGTAATTTTCAAGAGATTGAAGGGAAGTTAAGAAGGAAAGAGGGAAATCATGTAAATTGTAAAGGAAAAAAAGACGATATTGAATGACAAAAAGAACACGGTGAAGTGAGGCAAAAATGTTTGTGTGAGATAACACTAAAAAAGAGTGGAAGTGATAGAGGAGGACTTTTCTATTTCCTCTAGCCTCTTTCCAACTAAACATTCTCAGCAAGAACTTGTCCTAGGGGATAAAATGTACTTGAAGTGTGGTTTGTAATAGAAAAAGATACCGTAAATACACCAAAGCATCACATTTACCTCTATTTTATACAATATTACTGGAGAAAAATAATTTACGTATTATACAGAGGTGAAGAGACAGTTTAGTAGTACCTACCTAATATAACAAATTTCTGCCATAAACGGAAAGAGTTTCCAGGAGATTCACAGATTGAGTCATCAACGAAAGAGACTGGAAAATAAGGTACACTCTAAGTCAAATGTTATCTTTTTATATCACCCATCCAATGCACCATTAACATCATTCTTTATATAATACACACAGAGTAAGTGCATATAAGTTCGTGAAACAATCTCTGGACAAGATTAAAATTCTTTAAGTCATACACATTCTCTAAAACTTAAAAGCCACGAGCATTGAACAAATTAATTTACATATATACATGTAAACTACATGTATACCAAATCCATTTTATGTTTAATAAAATAAATTGTTATTGTAAAACTACTTTCAATCAGTTTTAAATGCATTCTTTACACGAGGCATGTAGATCAAATAAAGATATTCACATCACATAGTGGACTTATACAAGTTTCTGTAGGTATAAGAATACAAAGTAAGAAAATGTTTACTCTTTTCTCACAAACTTTCTATAACGTTAATTCGTAACTATACAATTTCCTATCGGTCCCCCCACAAGAGTAAGGTGGTAAAGTTTTGGTCAAGATTTTCCCAATTTCCGAATAGGTGTGTACATAAAATACTCTTTCCCACCATCTTTAGCAATAAATGGTTAATTCTGAATGGTGTAAGTTGGATAGAATCAAATTGAATAAAATCACATTGTTTTCCGGAGATAATGAAAAGAGTCGGAGGTGAAAATGAACATGAAATGAGAGGAAAGAGAGAAATCAGCAGAATCCATATAGTTGATTGGGGATGGAATAAGGAGGACACTGATAACTGGACACTGTTCATAATGGGCACTCCGTATTGTGTCGTCGAAGCCTTTTGTTACCACCCCCTTTCCAGTCAGATGTGAGGAATGCGACAGTGAGAAAACAGAGATATATCTTACAGCATCATTGCTTCATCTTTGAACCTACCTCAACTGCTATTCACTCTATCCTCATCCATATCTTCTACCTATCAAATATAAATGTCTCCTTCTTCCTCGTTCGCATTCCATCAATCGGGTGAAGCATAGGAGGGTTTTAGACGCTCAGGGATGAGAACTACACTGTGTCTATTATGTATTTGTTTTATGATTGTGATTATGGCAGCCAAATAACCACCCCCTCGAATCCAGTCAGGAGGGAAATAAAATAGAAGATGACACACTGTACATGAATATACTGGAGTAGAAAAGAATTGATGAGAAAGAAGACAAGATGACACTCAAATTGATAGAATTAAATTTTCTCAGATTTTCTTATACAGTGAGAGCAAAGTACTTTGGGATTCCTTATAAACAAACCCGATATTACTGTCGCCAGCTATTTTAAACAATTGATTTTCTAAACTTTAAGTATCTTTATAGAAGAACTATATTAGATATATGTATGTAAATTATTTTTTTCCTATCAAATGCAATTTACAAAGTCGTCCTGTGATAATATGTTTATATAGTGATTGCAATGTAGAGTAGTGAAATGTACATCTCGCTATTTGCAAGTCAAATAATAATAAACTCTACCGTACATTCCACTTGTTGAAGTAACATATAAAATAAATAAACTATTGAGTTAAGGGGAAAAACTGTATTTCTTCCCAGGTTTCTGAAACTTATCTTCCCAAAGTAATTAAATTGTAGACCACATATGCGGATACTAAAAACATTTTATCAACACCAAGCCCATTGAACGAAGCCATGGCAAAGGCATATAAGAAATATTTTTTTTTATACATTACGTAGATCACTTTTTACATACTATATTATATTTTGTAATTTATACATTATTCAGAAGTTCTGCTTGCATACATGTTTTTTTTTCAATCTATCACCTTACCAAAAGCACTATTCAAAGACTACTGAGAACACATTTATAGAGAATTCAAAAATCCTATTTGGATTGTAGCAGATGAGAAGCGAAAAAATTATTTTTGACCTCCCTGTGCACCGATAAAAATAATCTTTAAGCGAATACCAGGCGCCTCTATTGAACACCAGGCGCCTTCATCTTGTGGTCAAGTGATATATTTATTATTTCGATTCTTCTTCTGCTGTTAGACTACGCAACTTTTAATTATTGATTTAACAATATACCCGATCTCAAAATTGCACGTTATTCTTTCTTGTGATAAAAACTTTTCATCTTTCAGAAGTCCTTCGATAAAGACAATAATGAAAAAGAGCTGTGAATTATTAGTATTTCTAATTCGTGGAGGTGGATAAAAGCGATAATGTGGACATGATCAGTATGTTAGACATGCGCCAACAATTCGGTGTTTTTTCGCATTAAAAGGAGAGGTATGAGGGCGATTGTATTTTGTAAGTGGCGTGGAGGAGGGTGTCAAATAGGCACAAGTGAGCATTTACCAAAGCGTAAACAATAAAAATCTTCTTGGAGATGAGCCAAATCATTCTCTGTTATTCAACACATGATATGTTTGAGGAGACACCGCACAAGTGTGAGAAAAATGAAGAATTGTATGAAAAATTCTTAAAAAAAATCAATTTTCAAAGTATTTTTTCTTCAATATGTTTCTGTTCGTCCTCTTTACACCCGCAACATCTCACTATCTGTGACTCTCATATTCCACCCACTCTAGTCAACAAAACGCGAATTCCTCAGCACAAATCTCAAGTGTGATGCGCCCATGAGAGCAAGAATCCCAAGCATTTCTATCAAATTACATATTAATTAAGTGAATAACAGCTGGAAAAATGCCAATCACGTTATTAAAGGCCAATTTAGCTGGCCTTTGAAATACTATGCTCTCATCAATATTTGATACAGATAATATTCTCGGAAGTGCCAATGATTTTCTTTCACTCATCCATAATTCTCGCCAAGTTAGTTTATCTCCATCATCAATGGAATGCAACTAATCCAGATCTAATCATACATTTTCTTCATATACTTCTTTGTATTGTTGTTTTTATTATAAATATCATTCCTAACATAAGGTACATAGGTATGTGCCTTTACAAGCAATTATAGAACAAAATTATGTAAATACATACCTACTTTGACGTCTTAACTGATCAATGGTAATTTTTCAAGTTACCTGAAATCCTTTTTGGATTATATTGCGTCAATTTATCTGTATCAAAATGCATTTTAATGAAATCCCAAAACCATATGGACATATCATAATCGCTTGATATATCTGAGAAGTCTGAACTTTTATCAAAAATTTGATGGATGTTGACTGAATAAAACGACGATCAGTATCTTGAGAAATACACTGATTGAAGAGAAGAGAGACAGTTTTCGTGATAAAATGCCGTGTCAATCGTCACATGTGTAATGAGTCTATTAACTGTGATGACTCGCGAGGGTAGACACTCATCATCAATACTGACGTTATCTCACAAATTTTCTCTGTAACATTCGTATTTTGCATTTACTATGCGTGCAGGTATGTAAGCAAAATATAACTCACACCAAGGTTTTTCTTCACTGTTTGTCAACCTTTTTATTTATTTCTTATCAAATGTCAAACAATTCATATAATTTACAAAATATCTCCCTATTTTGAGCTCTCATCCCAATTTGCTACAATTATGGCAATTATCATGGTGAAGAGTTCAATTTGATAAATGATAACCTCGTATGTAAAATATGTATCGTCACACATGTTGTCGGTTATCTCTTTGGAATGGCACTGGACAAAATAGAACGCACGCTATGGCAATGTGTAATTATAAAATGTTAATGTTAGTATTTGATGAATTAATCAAAATTGACGATACGAGAAAATATTGTCTTCTTTACTCAATTGTCTAATAGACATCAATAATCAATAAATAATCTCAAGTGACTATAAATTATATGGCTATGCAAACAAACATCGACAACTCGACTATAGTATTATTCTTACATTACTATGCAAGAAAAAAAAACTTTGTACAATCTTATCATATTTTTGTACGAGTAAATTTTTTTTTCTATAATTGCTTTATACTCCTTTGTATCTGTACAAGATTTACGTGACTCTGTCGTCAGATATATGCGCACATGCATACATGGTCACCATTTGATAAATTGCCACCTGCAAGTTTTCCAATAGATGTTCATATATTTATTATTGAATTATATTCCAATAATAACTTAAATGAGAAATAAGAAGATGTAAGTGCAGATTGATTTATTTTCTTCTCTCTACATCGCCTGCAGCCACAATGATCAAATCTAAATCAACAAACCAGACACAATCGGGAACGACTGGAGGAGGTGGAGGTGGTGATGATCTCAATAAAGTATCCAGTAAGAAATGTTCAGACGATGAATGTGACATTATTGGGGAGCTTATTGGAAGCTATGGAAAATGGCAATTCCTCATGACCTTCCTGCTGTCGCTTTTTCAAGTGCCAAACACTTTTCACATATCATCACCTGTTTTTCAGGTAAGTCTCCTCCCAATCAATCACATTCACTACAAAGTCTCTGTTTCGACTATGATTGCTCTTGTGCAAAATCGCGTGCCGAAGAATATAGAGTACAAAAAAGTGCTGCAATGACCTTGTCATATAAAACACACATTAAAAGACGATGCAAGAAGTCTGTGAAAACTATAGGAAAGCCTTGATGGTTGATAGCTTCTTGAGCACTTGACGTAACATGTATTCCCCTCCTCTCACTGTGAAACCATGTAGAAATTTCTCAATAGACCGACAACGAGGCATTAAGATTGTGATGAGTAAAAGAGAGCGTTGGGCACACCGAAAATTCAATTAATCCCGTCCTCAATCTAATTTTCTTCTGCTAGCATCTGATTTAATAATTTAAAAATCATAAATCACAATGTCACATAGACTCTCCACTCACAAAATTTATGGGACTTTTTCACAACACTCTGTTCAGAGCATTTTGGGTTTTCAACACTCTGCCCAAAGACTGGCTCAGACTGAGGGAGGGAAGTTGAATGCTGAAAAATATAATTCTGTCCACTTCAAATCTTCAACGATAAGAGGAACGGGAAGTCAAGTGGATAAGTTGCACAATTGAATTCATCTTGAAAATCTCATACGCGTTATTGCTTTCATCATTCAATTTCTCTTAATAATATTTTACCTACAAAACATGTTGGCATACACCAAAGATATATGTATATGAGTTCGAACATTTTTAAAATTATAACAGATATTTGTAATGCCAATAATATCTCCTAAGAATTTGTATAAATCAAAATTATTCAAATAGCATTAGCGTACGGATTAAATAGGTTGAGAATCAATAAAATATTGTGTGAAAATACAAAATCTACAAAGGCAAAAGTATATGTCTAATGTAAAAATATACACTTTGGTTCAATGAAAGATATTAAATAGAAAATCAACTGTAGATTTATTGACGTCTGCTCTGCTTTTTTGCAGACAGCAAGAGCGCGCGTGTAGGATGACATACTCTGGTTACATCATCATAAATCTCTGGGTAGTTGCCTTAAGAATCAATACAAGGGCTTTTTCCTTCTTTCAGGCTGCTCACAAAAATTACTGGTGTCAACGACCGGTTCAATTAAATCAAACCCCAATAGAGTTATGGCGAAATGTGAGTCAATCAATGGATAATTGCCATAAAATTAATTACAATTGGGATGATATATCATCTGACCAAATAACAGTAAGTGGAATATTACACCATGGTAAGAATTCTAGAGAATCATTATATTGCACATTATAGGTTGACTTCAGACCGCCAAGCAATTCCTCCCAAATCCCTTGCAAAAGTTGGGAGTATGATTGGGATGATAATTTAGGGAACACATGGACGTCACAGTGGGATTTAGTTTGCGAGAAGGAATATCTTAAAAACGTGGCCGAAATGTTTTTTCTCCTCGGAGTTGCTACAGGTGGCATTATTTCAGGATATCTATCTGACAAATTTGGACGAAAAACCATGCTTTTCAATTCAGCTCTCCTACAAACGATTTTCGGTGAGTTATGATAATTTTAAATGACGAAACCATCGAAACGAATAAATAATGATGATATATTTACAGGAATTGCTCTCTATTTTGCCGACTCATTCGAGATCTATCTGGCATTAAGGACACTCCTGGGTCTAGTCTCGGTATCCGTAACATATGCCGGTCTTATTTTGGCTATTGAATACGTGGATGGAAAATGGAGAACTATTGCTGGCATGTACAATTTGTTTCCTCTCCCAATATCATACATGATGATTTCAGGAATAGCCTATCTCACGCAAGACTACAAAGTTCTTCAGCTCTGCATTGGGCTTCCAGGAATCTTTCTTTGTTTTCTCTGGTAAGTATACAAAAAATGCTTACAATGTCTATTTGCAATGAACAAAAGCACAAACTATGTGACTGCCGTTGAGAGGTTTAAGACCAGGCGTCTCCACTACCTCGCGAATTTATGCTTTTGATGAAAGAGTATTTTTGAACACTTTTTATTAACAGCGGCAACCACATTATAATTCTTATGAAAAATACTTATTGAGTCTTAGAAATAATTAGAGTGTAATGAGATAAAATTATTAAACACAGAAAATAACCCAAATTCTTTCTATTCTAAATTTAAATTTACACTGAAAAGAGAAATAAAATTTTATTCCGCGTCAGTATACATTATTTGTATTTGTGTGGGTGACATGCCGTGGGTGACATACGACAGGGAATATATAAAAAAAAATTCATCCCAATAACTCGCCTGATAAATGTAACATCTGACGAGATGTGTGTCCTCAAATAAATATTAAAGTTGAAACTCTTGTCTTCGATGCAATAAATTTTATCAATTATTAAAATTTCTACTCATAAGAGCCACAACATTTTCGAGGATATGTCAAGCGCGCCACATGTATCCACGCCACATGTATATGAAGCATATGTTCTGCGTGACGTAAATTCACTGCGTGGGAAAAAGCTCATCATGATACCAAAATATTTATAGGTAGGAAAACGTGATCTTATGGTATGACTCTGTGATCTGCTCTACAGGTTTGTGGTACCAGAATCACCGCGCTGGCTCCTGTGCAAGGGTCGCACTGCAGAAGTAAAGGAAGTCATCAAGGCTGCTGCAAGATTTAACAAACGGGAGCTTCCTCACAATCTGGACAAGCTACTGAAGCCACCAGATGAGGAACACGCCAACGAAGGATTCATCGATCTCTTCCGTTCAAAATACTTGCGACTCATTACAATCTGTTTCCTGTGCATTTGGTTTACAATGAATCTTGTCTATTATGGCCTCATCCTCAACATGAATACTTTTGGTGGCAACGTGTATTTGAACTCGGTGAGTGGGGATTTACAGTACAGACGTAAATACGTCACACAGGTATCAATTTCGTTTCTAGGTCAAGGTTATGTCGATGTGAATACCTATTTGATTTGGTACACAAATTTCTCTATCCCACTCTCAATTGTAAGCTCACCCATGTGGCAATAGGATGCCCCAGTTCTCCCTTAATTTCTACGATAGCGAGAGTGCGGAACACATGTGGATTGAGTGAAAAAAGAGGCACGTCTCTCACAATACTCACTATTCATTGTGGAGTTTTTCGTGAAACAACCACACATAAGTTACAGTCGAATTCCCCAAATATTTTTGAATTCCTCTTTACATACTTTGATAAATCACTGCTGAGAATAACTTCAGACAGGATTTAGACAGCTTATATCTATACACACGTCCTTCTTTGCCAACATTGAAGAGCGGCGCGCGTGCTTTTTGTTCGTATCACAAATCTTTTACCATCGTGTATAATGTTCATTAACTTCGTTTATTGTAAATATTAAGTGCAGGACGTATTTTAATATTTTAGTATAGTAATTAAATATTTCACTCCACAATTTTATAATGTGTCTTGAAGAGAAGATACACACATGTTGCGTACAAACACGTAAATATATTAATTTTCATTCTCTGTTAATTTTCTGTAGTACGTTATATGTTAAGTACATCTGGGTAGAAACATATATGGATGACGAAAAATCAATGCATAAATTAACAGGTGTTTAATCATAAATTATGTTTAAAAACGCATATTAAAAATGATGACACTTTATTGATTTTGTGACCTATTAAAGGTACCGCATTTGAAGTAGTAATGTTTAGTATCATGTGTAGAAAAATTACTGTTATCTATCGTGCTGTGAATTTCTATAAGCGATCATAACGAAACACTCTCACTGTCTAAAAACAGTGTCACTGAATTGGGATTGATTCCAAAAATTAAATTATATATCTTCTAACAAATTTAAGAATTTTTTGAGGCGTTATATTATTATGATTGAGTTGACAGGAAAGATGAGAAAAATTGGAGAAATGCCAATAAATGATATGAAATGAAGAGATAGAACGTGAGGGCTCATAAAAAGCAATATTTAGTCAAATTACATGTCTTTAAGCACTCAAGCTGACAGGTAAAATGTATACATTAAAATTTATTACCCACTTTGAAGTAAATTATTATCACAATTCCTTCGTTTTATTATTAATAATTATTCCATATTTAGCTTGTTTGAAGTTATTTGCATTTTACAATAATCAATGATTTAGCTCGTTTGGTATGTAAACATACAACTTTATGAGACAAAAAAATAAAATTGAATTATCCTTACAAGCCGGATGACATTTTAAGGGTATAAAAGGAAGAGTTCTAAATAAATATATATCTATGTGAAATTTCCTGGGTCGACAGGAGACACCGTAACATTAATTTTCTTATATTCGCCTCAAGAAAATGCCACCAGCGTCAGCTTCCGGCTGGAAGGCAATATTGTCTCGTAGTATGAGTGACTTGAAAGAAGTAATTTAATTCAATTTGCCTACCTTGTGGCGCATTTTATGTAAAAGTTTATTTTCTTTTGCACTATATGCAACAACTTTTTCAGGCCTTGGCGGGCCTTGTGGAGATGCCAGCAATTGCAATTGCGATGTATATCATTGGTAAAGTTGGCAAAAAGTGGCTCTTCTGTGCAACTCTCTTTTGCACTGGATTGGCATGCCTGTGCGCTGCGATATCGGAGGGAAATGAGGATATACTCTGGCTCAAGATTACATTTGTTATGATTGGTAACAGAAAAAAAACCCTTATATTCTCCTGAACACTGAATGATACACTCTCAACTTACAGGGAAATTTACTATCAGCGCCGGGAACACAATAATGCCAGTTTATACAGCTGAACTTTATCCGACCGCAATTCGAAATGCTGGAGTTGGAGCGTGCAATGTGGCAGCGGGTCTTGCACTCATCCTTACACCCTATTTAGAGATGCTGGTAAATTTTAATGTTTTGCATTTCAACCCCAGTGATTTTTCATTTGAACTTTTGATATATATTTCCAGAACAAAATTGAGAAACATCTTCTTATGACATTGCTCACAGCGTGGACAATTTTCGGTGGAATCGTAGTAATATTCCTACCAGAGTCAAGGAAACAGTCTCCACCCATTGTGAATGATGCGGAAGAAGAGCGGTGAGTAACTTCTTATATTCTTTTGACGAAAAATAAATTTGACCCACCTTTCACAGCAATTAAGAAGAAACGTTGTACAACACAAACCTGCACAAATACGGAAGAAGTGAACAGTCTAGTTAAACGTTTTCAGAGGTCATTTTATCTAAAAGGGCTTATCACATTAAAAGAAATTATCTAGCGAACAAAACAGTTTAATTCAGTAGAAATTCAGCTAATATAATCATACAGTTTTCTGCTGTTTATGTTCGCTGAGTAATATCTCATTTGAAATATAAGTGCATTGTGCAATAAAAGTCGTAGACCGTTAAAGTAAAGGAAAAATTCTCCAATGTGTAATTATCCAGTCACTGCAGAACTTGTAGTATTTCTTATTTACTCTTAGAACCTCAAAAATAAAATGACATCATAAAATTATAGATCTATACTGCTCATTTCCTATTTTATCCATCTAGTGACTAAAATTTAATTGCAAAGAATACAGTTAAGCTCAGAAGAGATGAGATCTTAGAATGTGTTTTATTTTTAACTATCAATTGGAAGTTATACACATTCTAATTTTCCGATCTATTGAATTTCGCATACTTATGTGACAATAATTAGGAAGTAAAATTAAAACTCTACAAGAAGGAGCTGCTATTTTTATCCCCCAAAGCTTAAGTGTTTGGATTCCAGGATACAACAGATAGAAGGTATATGAATGTATGTATGTATGGTGTGGGAATGATGGAGTTGAATCTAAATACACTGCCATCCTATTTAAAATCAATTATTCTATGTTGTAAAACTGTTGTGTCACATGAACAATAAAACATGAACAAGAAGTAGGATCAAACATTTGTCAAGAATAAATAAACTAACAAAAAAATATTTCAGATGACTCTATACAATTTTGACTATTTTCGGAGAATGTATAGTCTCACTTGTCAAATCAAAATTATCAAGAAAAAGATTAATTAAAATGTTAATTATATGAATCCCTCCAAATATCCAAATTGGCATAACAAATTTCGAGTTTTAGTAATTAGTCAATAGAAATATTGTCAATGCAACTCTTCTTAGTCTCGAATATCAGAATACAAAAAAAAATTAAATAGAAGAAGCATAAAAATTATTCTATATCATATAATGTCCTTTGTGTGATTTGGCTGGTCCAAATATATGAAAAGTATTATTGCTATGTTAATAATACATAATCATAGTGAGGAAATAAAGTATAAAAACTAATAGTAAATTTAATAAATAATTAATGTTATAGAGTATTAAATTATTTATCTTAGTCCTTAAAGTACGCTCGATATTAATAATTGTAACAGTGAAATGATAATTGTAACAATATAATTATTATACCACCTCGCGAAATCTCTAAATTTGTCAAAAACTGCGTCAACGTAGAATATATTGGAAATGAGATTAGAATTTTGGTGGCTAAGAAGGCAAGAGAAAAAGCTTTTCATGTGACAAGAACATTATAATAAATTTAAAAAATACTATGACATCGTGAATTAGGAAGTCAATTACAATGTTACTATGTGTGTATTTTTTACTGTATAATTACATTTTTATTAGTTACCGTTGTTGTTAATTATAGCGTAAGAAATATTTATTTATATTGTACTTATAAGTGGCTGATTTAATATTGAGCAGAATTACATGCATATGTAAAAGTGAGTCGATGACATATAAAATTATATTATTTTTGTACTTACCCATTGTAATACTTTTTTTAAATCACATTTAATCCGTAATAATTCTTGTGTTTACATGGAAATAAACTTATAAGTCAATATCATTAAATAATTATATTGTGCACGAAAAGTAAATTTTATGAATAAAGGTGGAAATTGCATCAGTGTTAGTATATATGCTTCATATCACTCTGAAGTACAATGGGAACAATCAATCAGCAATGTTTCCTCAATGAGTTATTGCGTGACAGGTTTTGGAATACCTCCACTCCACATCAATACAGCGTAAGTACACACCATTCTTTTTTCCTCATGACTCTATCTAATGCAACAATATGACGGAATTATGTATGTTACATATGTTGCTAATAGTGAAACAATATCATATTGTGCAATGACTTAATCAAGGCGACGTCTTATTAGAATTACTGAACTATCTTTGAAATTGTCTTTATACTGTTCAATTACAAAATTGCACCTTACAATTATAAGTACAATATACACATGTACTTGTATACTCATGATCGAAAAGACCAGACGTTAAAGTAGACACGTAGACAGTGGCATTAACACCTTTTTACATACAAAATTTGCACATAATTTTTGCTGGAAGTCCATGGTTAATTTCACTGTCACTTTAATTTAATATATCTTTCGCCATTCTCACCAGTTGAAAAAGCATCAATAATCAATACCTCACAATAATTTGTAATGTGAAAAATAAGGAAAACACTAATTAATTTCAAGCCAAACATTCTTTCGCAATGCTTCCTCTACTGCCTCTAATGAGACAAATAGCATTTACAAACTCACTTGACTATTTCGTAAAGCTACTCTTGCCAAAGATTCATTCAGTAATATAAGTTTCGAACAAAATTTGTATCTCAAATTTTTACCAATAAAAGAGACAAAATTAGGAAATTGCATATTTTGCACTATTCACTCTTACAAAGAAATACTCAATTACTGTGATTTTAATATATTTCTAATTTTTTTTAATATAAATCATGTATCATGGAATTCGATAAATACACTATTAAAATGAGCAGTAGAAGAAAAAAAAGTTTTCCAGTTTTGAAGTAAATTTCCTAGAACATATTCCTTTTGGTGAAAATACATTTTGTTTTGAAGATACATTGCGACGAATTTTTTGTCTTTTTCTACGCTGTGCATTTCGTGTATTTCTCCCACGCGTGCTAGCGGAGGAGATAAACGAAATGTTGTATTTTCACCATTACATTTAAACTCATGTGATTTCACTCTCAGTGTTAATAATGACTAGAAAAGGAATAAAACAAACATTGTGCGAAAAATCCCGACATTCATAAGTTTACTATTGTGCAATATGATAAATTATTCGTCACACAGGCACTCATTACGCTTCTTTATTCATAGATTTTCACACTAACATCTGATTAGAATCTTAAATTTGGAGGTTTAACTATGAAAAGATTGATTCTTTTAAGTATTTCTATGTAAATAATATTTTAGAGAAAATCTACATAAAGACAATTTCTTATAGTCCAATTTATAGGAAAACAATGGCCAGTTAGATCATATTTCAAAAATACACCCACATACACATCACATTTACTTGCATATGTATAACTAGTGCAATATTTCAACAATAGTCTACATTTTTCTGGCAACTCTAATCTCAGTCAGTGGATAAAAATCATATCAACTCATAATTATATTGATAATGTTCTCAGTCAATTCCACTACATTAAGTCTCTCTGTGTACCTTCTGAACACTTTTCCATTGTAGTGACCGCCAAAATCCCACTCCAAGTAGCTCTCGACTCGTGCCACTGTACACAGCCATAGACTGGAGGTGTTCTGGATTTCGTGGCATATCAGTTTGTATTGCCAACTCGTGGCGTCCGTTTGGAAAATTTAAAGGCTCTCTAGCTTCAACAGAATCACCAGTACTCCAGAATCTGTATTCAGTGAAAATAAAAGCAAAATTGCTCTGAAAAACCAAAGCCAGTCGATCTCGATTGTACAACGAACGGATCGCGGTAATTGATCTCGAAGTCGGTAGTGAATAATGGTGTTTAAGACGGGAAATCTTCAAGTGGCTAGTGGCAAATCCTCTAGTTCTCTGGCTTATAATGAGCCCAATTGTGAAGATGGCAAGAAAACTGAAAAATATACAACACAGTCAAATGATTCTGCGCAGGAAGACAACAATTCTGATATTGTATCGGAGTTAACTGGACACATTGGGAAATGGCAATTGATGTGGGCATTCTTTCTGTCTCTCTTCCAATTTCCCTCAACTTTTCACCTTTTCGCATTTGTTTTCGAGGTAAATATAATTTTACTCGTCTCTACAAATTATAACCGGAAAATCATTGACAATCATGTCATTGCCCATTAAAGAAAAACACAAAAATATATGGGTATTTTGAAGGAAGAAAAACAATATTGCGGTAGGTAAGTATGATGAAAAACAGTGAAAATTAATTGTATTTCCTTTTTCTGAGAATTTCCAGTAAAAAATTGGAAAATCAACAAATTTATTTCATGAATTGTTCGCAGTAAAATTAATGTGACTCGACAGTGTCCGCAATTCTTGTTTACGTCATTGGTTTATCGCTGAAAATGTCGAATAGAATCTCAATTCAAAAGAAATGCCTCATTAAGAGAAAACAGAGACAATTGCTATGGTGACAATAAATCTTACACTGTAAAAATTTCACATAAGCATATAAAATTACAGAATGGTGATGAATATCATAACTCATTGGTTACTGATACATACATATATGCATTGCAATGAGCATCTCAGAAAGTGAATACATTTTATACATATGCATTTCTTAAGAGCATTTCTGCAGCCCTAACGTCTGCATGAAACTAATAAGTCTAATTTGACAACAAAGCAACACCGCGTTGTTAAAGTTATTAACCAAGAGGCATGTTTACTTGTGTGCTTTCTTTATTAGCGTGTTTGATTTAATCAAAAAAATTTCCTATATGATAGAATTGCGGAAAATAAACAGCTACAATTGAAATTGAAACCACAAAAAATTACTATAATTGCTTTTAATTTGTATCTCAATCATTGGGTGACAATTTCCTATAAACAACGGAAGTCCGAAAATTGTCATGTTAATTTATGATACGTATTTATTATATGGTAATATTTATGGATGATATTTCGGCTAATTAGGGCTTGTGATCATTTTGTGTTCTAATAAAGGATTTCAATAAATTGGCAGGAATATCACATGGCAGAAATTTCATAAAAACACAGCAATTTACAATACTATGCATATACAATATAGAAGTATGAAAGTTGCACAAGAAAAGTGAAATTTTCTTGCATCGGAACTGTTGATTTCCTATGACAAAAAATGCCCTCAATGTAATATCAACTTAATTTGAAAATTCAGTAATAATTAGGCAATAACTTTAAGTGAATTGCAATGTTGTCACAAGAATTTTTCACGCCACTTCTTACGTCAATGTTGCAATGAATGAATTTTACATATATTACACACACATTGTATATGAGCACATTTGTCGCGAAGCGACCTCCTTGGACGTCATATTTAATACGAACCTGAAATATATGTTTAAATTTGAATGAGAATTTCTGTTACTTTAATTACACATCTAATTTGCAATTACTTATAGACAATTTCCTAATGATGCAAGAGTATGGTGAAATTTCAGCACAGGTCCACAATGTAAATGGGGTAGTGCGTAGAAGAACTTCAATTAAAATATCGTACAGTGTTTATGATATCCATACATATCTCTTGTAAGTTGTCTGAGGCGACAATAATCTCGAGAATTTTCCTATTAATAACTATTGCATTTTGATGACAGACAACAGTGGGATTATATTGACACATTAACCATGAGTAAGAGTGATGAATTTCTATGGAAAGTCCTATGGAACACATCCTTGATTCATTCATGAACACATTCATGACCACCATCAATGCTGCTTCCCGCCGACATTAACAGAAATATTTCCAAAATACTTCAAATTTGAATACACAATGTCAGATACGGATCCTATTATGGTCATATTGACCGAAATTGTATGATAAAGTCGATAAAACATTTACTATTTTCTTCTGCATTGCTGAGTCACGGATTTACCAATTTGGATGTTTGTAGTAAGCACTGAAGATATAATGCGAATCATCATCTCGTGATGTATTGTCTCAAAATTGAAGTAACTCGTGATTTCCCAAATAAATTATGCTTTGCACTCTCCGTCATCAATCGGTCATTGGCCATGGCCCAGAAATCTTAGGCTTATGCTATGTATTTCCTTCTTGCACAATGCAATTAAGTCGCACGTTTCCATTCTGCTAAATAGATCAATAAACTCTCCCGCGGTCAACCTTCACTCTCATCCAACTGTCTCATGTGCGCCATGGAGCTTTTACCTGACGGAACAGTACAATCTCTAGTGTCATAAGCGCGCTCGGTATTTTGAACTTGATATTGGAACTTTATGCTGAGAATATTGATGGATATGTAACGTAGACAGTGAAGGTTGTCCACATAAGTAAAGGTTGAAAATATCCATACGATCTTATACACACGATAATTTTAGAATTAGAAAGAAATACGGAAAATACACAATCTCCTCTTATCTCCTCCTTGAGGTGAAAAATACACTTCACATGATAATTGAACAGACATAGCCATTTGTTGCTTTAAACTCTCTCGATAAAAAATAAATAAAATATTTATTCTCTCAAGCTAATTCTCAAAATGATCATTCAGTTGACCAAAGTATCAATTTAGTGTGCTAAATTATGAATTACCTCATTCAATTACAGAGACAATTAAATGTGTTTAAAGAAGCATTATCAAAGCAATTCATACGTGACAAAACATATTTGTTTAGCATATTATCACACATTAATCAATTAACATATTTGCATATTTCTCCAATACACAACTAATACGGAGTACTTATGGTATACTGAAACACAATAATAGTGCCACAATTTTGTTACTTGATCTGTGTCCTTCGACACATAGTTCATGTTAGCATTCTTTTCTAATTGACAATTCAAAAAATATGCAGAAATCGCTTGTCCCTCTTACTATTGCAAGACATGAACAAATAAATAAACTGTATTCAAATGGTAAGAAGCAGAAAAATTTACAACTCTGCAATATTCCCTTCACTAAAGTGTAATCGTTGCAATGCATTTTGTATTATTACACCGTAAAGTACTTGGACTGTTGATCAACAATTGTTGCTTCACGTACATACATATACTAAAAAATTAGTTTCTGATTTTCTTTTCGTTTGATTTCATGTATGAATTTTTTATCCATCAAATATCAGTGATTTTCCAATCCCTAAGGTCGTTTCAACGTAAGTCGTATTATATAGTTAAGGAAAAAGTAAATTAATTATCCGAACTAATGTTTCAAATTATCTGCTTTAAAATATGTCACAAAACAATCTAATACTGATAGTTTGTAAAGGTATGATAAAATAGCAATGTCAAATGTTTTCCTTCAGTAAAATATTTTACAAGTTTCTATATGAAGTGAAAATTCCATAGGATATATCAAAACAACTCACAAATTAAACTACTGTAAAGCAATCAGTTTCTTGCATAATTTCGCTATGTTTTCCACTTTTGTGTTATACAAACTAAATGGTCGGATGTCATGATCTCAAAAATATCTGTATAACTTGAGTTGGAGTATAAATTCTGAGGGATTTACTCCATCTCTTTCATGCCCTTTACTCATGTTCTCATACTATTGAATTGAAATAGCGGAGCTAACAATTCGCGAAAGAATATTTTCCTCCGCCGCAAATTTATCGATTTCCATCCAAGTGAATTTGATATAACAAGAGAATGGATAAATAGGGGTGGAAAAAGGATAAGCCATACCATCCAGAAATCTCATGGTTTTCTTTTTCGAATCAGTAAATCATGCACAGCATATTTTCAATTTTATTGAATGGTGTTGAAATCGATCATGTACAATTTTGCTTCGGTATATTATCGTATTAAGAAGTAATTACCATGATATTAGATTAATTTTTTGAGTAATAGGCGGAACTTTTTATTTTCAGAATGACATTTTCTAATACACATATATTTATATTTACAAATATACATATCTTTAGGGAGCTACAAAGGACTTTTGGTGTGCTGCTCCTGATCACCTCAAATCAATTCCTACGAATATTTGGCGGAATATTACTCAACCTAAAAATAGTTGCAGCATAATCGATGTAAATTTCAATGAAATCTCAGCGGAGAACTTTACAGAAATGCTGAGTAATGCATCCAGCAAGACCTTAGTTGAATGCAAGTCTTTTGAGTATGACATGGACCTGATAGGGAAAACAATTATCTCGGAATGGCAGCTAATCTGTAATAAAGCCACTATGGTGAGCAACGTGGAGATGTGCTTCTTGGCAGGCGCAGCCGTCGGAAGTGTGTGTAGTGGATGGATATCTGATCAGTTTGGCCGAAGATTCACCCTCATGTCTTTTGCCACAGTTCAATGTTGTATTGGTAAGTTATTTTCCATAATATTAATATTAATTAATAATAATTATTTATTTATTTCCATGCAAACAAGTATTTAGTGTTATATTTTTAAATTTAATTTGCAACAATTCGTTTTAGATGAGACTAAATAAATTGAGAAAAAATATATATTTCGCCAAATCACATAGTAAAAGTTGTGCACGATACCACTGGTACGTCGTTTGCTCGAGAGGATAAATATTTACATTGCAAAAGTATTATAAAGGCATACAAAACACTCAGTTATGAATGTGAATAAACTCCACCATAAATAGCTTCAAAGTATTTTACATTCCATCAGAATATTAACATCTTTTCATCTCTCCAAAAATATCTTCATTAGACACACGATCAATTGCTATTCCAGCCTTTTCACCTACTACATCCTACCCGCTCAGCCCTTCTCGTCAAGAAAGAGTTGTATGAAAGACATATCTGTTATATTCTTTTTTTCTGAATGTTGGCCAACATTCAGAAGACGCTATCGCAATGAAATCTTGGGCAGAATAAAGGAAAACTTTTCCTCAGAGATGTTACTCCAATCTAAAAGCTGAGCAAAGGAAACCATACACAGAAACTCATTTCAAAAGTATTTCCATATCGCATGAGAATCTCATCTTTCAAAAATTAATAAAGTTGTTCAAATAAAAGATTTCGTGATTTCTTTGAGAATGAAACAATTCTTATTTATACAAAATATTCAATTTGCGCCTCATCGAGCCTTGATTGCGTAAATCGCTCATAAATTGAATGAATTATACTTTAATCGCCTCTCAACTGATTACACCGCGTTGCTCATTTTCAAAGTGATAGCGTCAAATAAAATATATTGCGCCCATTTATACCCGCAAACTTTACCATGACATTGAACTACATTTTCATTATTGAGTGGCTTTGGTGTTATAAACCCTATGACATGGAAAATCACATATACACGTAATGAATGTAATGAATATTGGGTCGCTATTTTAATCACCTTGACAGTGACAATACGGAGAAAAGTATTAAATTAGGTTTTCATATTCTGCAGAGTGCTCAAAATCGTATTTCTTTTTAGGAACTGATAAGTTGTATCAAGCTATATCCAATTTAATACGCCATTCAATTGATATCAATGAACAATAGCATATGATTTGTCTCCTAAAAAGTGTGTTGTGGACAATCTTTCCGTGTAATTTTTTTTGAAATGTTACACAATATATCTTCATAATTTTACGTAGCATATACTTCAATATCCATATCAATTTCAATGCAATAAATCAATCCGTTCTACATGTATGTACCGAGTTACAAGAAAAAGAAGTCGCGTGGAATCAATCAACAAATGCATGGATGAATATTTCTGTATCGTCCTTTTTCCACGTGGCCCCGCCAACCCACTCACCAATTGAATAAGTGATATGGGAGGTAGGGCGAGCCTTGGAAATAGAAAACTAGAAGATTTGACACTGGATAGTCCCCCTCTCGTTGGTCCTCGAATTCACTCTACCACTATATATATATATATATATATATATATATATATATATATATATATATATATATATATGCTGACTGAGCAGAAAGTGCTTTTCTAACATCATAATAGTCACACAACACAAAATCCACCACGTTCACCTGGTTGATCTGATATGTATAGACGGCACGACATCCAATTGACTTGGATTGGGCGGAAAGCAAAAAAAATTCTTCAACATCCACACTCCTTGTGCTTGTACGTCATACATATCAACCTGTCCCACATATGTATTACACATTTGATGAAGCGCGCAACCCGTTTACAACTATGAGTTATTTCATTTTCGCATCACATTTGCGTAAATTGCATACTGTTAATAACTATTTAATATGTCTATGAGAAAATTCTGATTCATTTAATTTTCTACAATTCTTCTCAATTACTACCCAGAATTGAGGATACGGTGAAGAAAGAATGAATTATTGTAGATTAATTGTATTAAACCTCTCCATAAAAATTGAGGAAAGTATCACCTGCAACCAGTGTGATGAACAAATTTGCGTTAGAAATCAAACTGAATAAAATGCTTAATTCAATCATATTTTGCCTACGTACCGGCGAAATATATTCTTCACGTTGATTCAATAAGTACCCGTCTTCAAAACTTTTACAAGGGGCCAATATTTGTTGAAACGGAAACTGCTAACACAAAAAATGGAAATAAGTACCCATAAAAAACGATAAAACCTTCTTTAAATTCCATAGATATATACCTCTTGCTCGCCACCTTGTTTCTTATTTAAAATTCAGCGTGCTAATTAAATTACAGGGATTTTGCTCGCCTTCGCCTCATCACTGTCCACATTCATGGTTCTGAGGTTTATCAGCGGTGTCGCTTCAATGGGGGTTCTGGTTGTCAGTTTCGTTCTTGTGGTGGAACTAGTGTCCGGCAAGTATCGAACCATCATTGGTATCCTCAACCTCCTGCCGCTGTCCATCTCATACATGGTCATCGCTGGAATCGCATATGCGGCACGTGATTGGAGGACGATCCAACTCATCGGCTCGGTGCCCTGCCTCCTTCTCCTCATAATGTGGTAAGGTGAAATTAGAATTTCTTCTCATTTCTTGTACGCTTTTCAAATTTCAAATCAATGACTGTGAAATTGTTCTCCCGGGGGAATAAAATAGGCTTAATGTACCCGAGTCCCCGCGATGGTTGCTGGCAAGAGGTAAAATGGAAGAGCTCAAAGAGATTATCAATCGAATTGCTGTGAGGAATAGGATCACTCTTCCGGACAACTATGAGAAATTACTAATATCGCCATCCGATGTGAACGATACAGTTTCCATATTGGATCTATTCAAGGGGAAATATCGCAGGACCACTCTCTTAATGATTGTGATTTGGTTTTCACTCGTCCTCCTCTACTTTGGTATCACTCTTCATATGAATAATTTGGGTGGAGATATATACATAAACACCGTGAGTAACCCTGTATCTTTTTCTCCGAAATATTTAAAGTGCCAAAATTCTTTTCTAATTCAATTATTCGTGTTACAGATTATTGCCGGTGCGGTGGAGGGTGTGGCTATCCTATGCAGCATCATCGTCGTTCTCAAATTAGGAATCAGAATTAACTTAGTTATATACATGCTTGTCGCCGGATTAGCTTGTCTCATGGTTAATTTTGTGCCAGATGGCAATTTGTGGATTATAATCACTTTAGTTATGATAGGTAGGTTACATAGTTGCACACGACATGTGTGTTGTTTTCATAAACTTGGTATTCCTGTGAAAACCTTCACAAGGATATGGAGTGAATCCAATATAGAGATAACTCTGTGTTAATGCATTTTGCAGGAAAATGCACAATTGGAGCAACAAATGCCATCATTCAAACCTTCACAGCATACCAGTATCCCACCATGATGAGAAATTTAGGTGTGGGAACGGGAAATTTCGCAGCCGGCGTAGCTTTAATTGTCGTGCCATATCTCTGGCTAATGGTAAGTCAATGGTGACAAAAATTACATATTTATTTAATTCTGATTATAACTCTGTTACTCACTATTATCAGGAGCACATTCAATCTTTTCTGCCAATGACCATTATGGGCGGATTTGGAATTATTGGAGCTGTTGCCCTTATGCTGTTACAAGATAGATCTCCAAAGCCGAAAAGTCATCAAAGGGATCAAACGCAAAGTCCGCCGGCACATTTGAAGATCCGTACTGCATTTGATAATTCTGCATATAAGCATACAGAGACGTGATAACCATCTAATCACAATTTTCGTCTTTCATATAATTTTTTAATGGATATATCTCACTCAATAATATTTAAACATCTACCACTCTAGAAGATCGCCAAAACATTTTTGTCGAATATGTAAAATCATTAAAATGTGTCTTATAACATTACAGCATTTCATTTTTTATCTATGGATATTTTTCATTGCAATAAAAAAGCACCATGTGAAAAACAATTTTTAGATGATTTTGCGGTTTTGTAAATATTCGAAATCAATTTCAAAATACTCTTGCAAATAAATATAAACTCAACATATTTTATAATGAAAGTCCACTCTCTGGTAAGTTAAAAGTCTAAACTCAAACCACTTGAAGATTATAAGACGTTTAACAATTCATTGTTTATTGTATACACAATGTATACTTAAAAAAAAGAGATTCACCTATATAATTAAAATATTTTTATAAGCACTCTTCAATTATATAGCACCTTTATAGCAATTTATTACATTAGCACCTTTATGTGCTTAGCATAGTTCAATCAGCATATTATGTATCTTAAACTTTTTTCTCATATTGCAAATCAGTGTTGAATAATATTAGGAAATACCACAATTAAAACATCTAATCGAATTTTTAGGGAACGCGAAAAGCAAGTTAAAGTTTGAATTTTGGCAAACACTTGAAAAAAAAGATTTCATGAATCCAAGTAATCAAGATATTGTGATTCGAATTTTATTCAGTGTTTATTGCATATACCAACTGTTATTGTGTTATTCAATATCTATTTAATTCTACCACTACAATGTTCGTAGGTTAAAACATGACAAACTTCACGCATTCCATGTAGATACCACAAGACTATAGTGAATTCTATTGTGACGCTGTGTACCAGCAAAACAAGCAAGAAAGTACCATTCTTTCGTTTGTTTGCTCTGTGGGATGATTGAGGAATAAACTAGTCGGAAACGTGATCTTGATAAAGCAAACAAAATCACCCCGAGAAGTAAGTTCAAGTGACAAAATCATTATTAAATTTACCATTCAGCAAAGGATAGGAGAAAAACCGACAATAGGAATGATAATACCATGTAAAGTGGACGTGATTTGACTGGCGATGAAGCGCAATTTTTAGTGGGGAAAAATGTTGTAAGGTGAGACAAGTGGAGTTACAAAGAATCTTCCAATTGAGACTGAAAAACAAGCAACAAAATTCATATGCCAAGTCGCACCGGTTTTGCAGAACATCGAGCCCGACCCACGGTGGGGGCCTCCCGGTAAAAGGCGCCAAATGACTTTACCACATCGCATTACTGAGTTGCACTTCATATCATTCGCTTGGTGCGTTCTTCAGCACAGTACTCGGGCGTTTCTATCTAATAATCTCACTTTTGTAAATTGTTTCTTTTTGCCTCAGGTATTAAAGTAGGTGATTAAGAAAGTTTTGACTGTGTGACAACGTCTATAATGAAATATCTGTCCATTTTGGTAAGACACCCGTTGCCTTTTTAGTGTACTCACCCGATGAAAAATCTCGAGATCATCTCATTAGTTTCAATCGCACCTGGAGTGATTGCAAATACTTTCATCCAGCGATTGAAATGAGAAATTGTGCTACACAGAGTGAATGAAAACGCGTTTTCTACATTGAGAAATTAGAGAAAAAAGCTCCGTTTGCAATTTTTAAGCTTTCGAAATATCTTAATCCACATTCTCTGCCATGCTCTCGTTTTAAGTCTTCAACTAATGGTTTCAAACATGACAAAATATATTACAAATACGAAAATTGTTCACAATATTTAAATAGGCTATGAAAAAGATTTTAGATTGAATTATTCGAAACGCTTTTAATTGAGCTCAATTGAAAATTGTATTACCTTGTAATATGCAAAGTTGAGATGATGGAGAAAAATTAGAGAGTGTCTGTCGTTCATTGATTTTGTGTTCACAAACTGTTTTCTAGAAACTGTAAGGCGAAAGTAAAATAAAATAAAACACTTCATTGCATATTTTCATTCATTTTCATCGAAGTCAACTCCGCAACAAAGACACTCCTGCCCAGACAAGCATTATCTGTGATCGTAATTTATTCGCAGAAACTTTTTCTTGGCCACTCCAAACAGTCAACTCTCGTGAAACAAACTGAAATGTGTTGATCGTGAAATTATATTATTTCACATATATTTTGTGATTAACCTTGATTGGACAATCGCTATTTGATCAATTATTGCTGATTGAACATGAACGTAGTGAATCGAAAATATTTCCTATCTCAAGAACAATATCTGATATCTTGTAAAGCTTAATCAAAAGCCAACTGTACTCTTCCCAAATATACATTCTCTTTTAGTGAGCACGGTTGTTTTTACAAAATCACTACCTCGTACCGAGTCAAGGCTATTAAACTATAACCGAAATGACAGGAAAAACGGTGAAACTATACGTGCATAAAATGTTTCATTTACAATACTTCTTACTTTTCCATTCATTTATCTACAATCAAGAGATATTTTCACATTGTTTGCGCGTAATTTCTTGTCTCATGTCAACCATCGAGGAAGCTGAGGTGTTTTCTAACCATCAATACTCTAAAGTCTAAAGAGAATACACAAACTTATGGAATGTTGAATGAAATATATTAGGAGAAAGAAAGAAAGAAAAATTACACACTTTTTTATAACTCTATGTACTACATGTACTACTATGTATATCATTAAATTATTTCCTTCAATCATCTGCACGGTGAGTTAAAAGTGAAAATTTTCAGTAATTATCTTATACACGTAGATGATGCACCAACTAGAAAATGAAATTTCATTGCACCGTCTCAATATAGGAAAGTTTCTAAAAACACGGGAAATATTTTTGATGTTTTACACAAAAATACTCAATACACAATTTCTTCATTTGCATCTGCCTTAGAAGGCTTTGTGCAAGCTTATTGTAAAGTACACGATCAATGAACGATGGATGGGTTTATTGGTCCTCACATTTTCATTTCAACGCCTCGAAATAAATGAATTATTCACACTTATTTATACTATATTATATACTATAAATGTAGATGACACGGAGTCATTTATATTTATATATGTATTGTGTCCGAGATCGCTTTGCGTGATTTCTTTTCTCTCTTTCCTATTATACATAATACCGACATTGAGGAATAATAAAATAGAGATCACTCAGCACGTGCATTTCACTTTCAAAACAAATTATCTTGGAAATAAAAGAAATTTATAAAATACATAGGAGACTGACTTCACAAAACATTTTAGTTTCACATGATTTAAATACGGACTCGGAGGTAAATTTTACATATCTTTGCTCTCATAACTTCATCAATTTATCTTTCACACATCACAGACAACTCAATCTGTGTTCAATACGAAATTCGCAAGAAGAATTCATTTGTAAAGGGTTAGTAAATCAGTGGTGCTGTAGCAATTGAATAACGTAATTCTGGTGATCGCGAGAATTGATGCTAAACTCACTGACTCTTTGCGCTCTTTGCCCACAAACTCAATCTCTTGATTGTAAATTACACACCTCAGCAACGAGAGTATATTTCATGCGAAGAAATAAGTACATTCTTATTTTTTATTTCTCCCTCCTTCAATTTCCAATTGCATCACATGTATTTTTTCACTTGAAATTGATCTCAAAGTGTACAACGCAAGATCACATTATTTATCCCACCCTAATAAACTCCCCTTTCCATTCATTCGTCGTTTCAATACATACATATTTCTTACTTACTCCCCGAAAACTTGCATTTTGGGCTTTTCTGTAGACCCTTTTGAACTGCATTAATCAATTTTGATCCAACAATTGATCCATGACGAATGTCCGTAAAGTTATTTTTCGATCACCATCATACCACACGTATTTGGCGAATATATAAATTGAAATACACTAATCATACCACGTCTATATGGGCAATAATGTACAATCAGCCTACAAGAGAGTGCCGTAAACACCTTTTAATGCTAAATACCTCAATTTCTCAACAACAACCACTCTGCAAAAGATGTTTGTATAAGCCAATCTCAGGCCTTTCACTCTTGTCTTCTCACATGCTCTCCCGCCTCAACTGCCAGATATCAAATTAAACGTTACGCTGTGTCTCATGTATAGTTGCTCTTTTAGCTGCTTTATTATGTCAACGCACTCCACCAGTGTGTTAAGAAAAGTCATATAATGGGATCAGAAAAAATGCACAACAAAATTATGAGTTATTTTTTGCGGGTGAGACATTCCCCAAATGGAAGACAGTTGTTGCAGCTTTATTTATGTAACAATCACATAGAGATTCAAAAGTCTCATTTCTTTGTCATATATACATGAGGTCCCCATAGATCAGAAAAGAATTGTAATGTAAGCAAATTGCTCATGGAATTTTTGAATGAGAAAACAGAAATGCAAGTTGCATATTTATAAATTTTTCACGCTAGTTCTTACATCATATTACTGTTAGCTATTTAAATATTCTAGTCGCACCCAATTCAATTCTTCATTCATACATATTTACCAATTCCTTATCTCTTTTAGTCCTTCTTTTGTACCAAAAAAAAAAAGTAAGACGTAAACATGAGAAATTTATATTTTGTAACACCCCATCAAATGCAATGATCGAGAATATTAGATGAATTTGAAGTATTCATTGTCTAATAATTCAATATAAAATATATTTTTCGCACGCCATCAACTTGTAATCTTTCTTTCTCTTTTTACAAAATGAGTGCACAGAAATTTATAATAATTGAGAAATTAAGTATTTTCAATTTTACCTTTCGCAAGTTTTATATCACCGGCACCCAGTTGACCTTCACCGAGTAAATCATTTTTGCGCAACTTTCGTTCAGATGAAGTAGCGAAAAAAGCCAACAGGGTATCCAATAAGCGTTTAAAGAAATACTTAGCCATTGACGACAATTACCAAAGCAGCTTTATTAACCTTTAAAGCATGATTCTGGTTACTGTCCATCAGCTTTCACTGATATGTTAGCAGCAATGATGGGAACACGACAGTGAATTGCATAAGCACCCATCGTCTTCCGACCAATGTAAATTTATTGGCCACGATTCCGTGGGTGATGTGCTGTGGGAACTTTCTGATTGAGATTTCTGAGATAATCGAGATAATCTTAAACACCTAGGCACTATCGTATCTCTCATACAACTGTTCTCACTATTATTCTCTTATCGTTGTCACAATGATTTTTTATATGACAAGAAAAATATTAAAACAAATTTAATAACGAACAAATTTAAGAATTTAACAAACAACGGCTAGACATGATTGGTATAACAATTCTCCAAATTTTAAAATTTGGACAGGGATTTATTTTATAAATCTAAATATCAACTCTATGTTTTGTATAAATTACATTATATATGAATAATATATTTTATTGCATGTTGAAATAATTTAGAAAAATTGTCATTTTCATTATTTTGCAAGTCATTTTTAATGTGGTAAATGAGAAAAAAGTCTAACGATAAAAAACAATAATCTTTTACAGCTCTTCCTTGCGACCATCTTCGCGATGGCGTGGGCCAGAGCACAGTACGACAGTCCAGTTCCGCCAAGAATTAACGTGCCCGGTGCCATACCCCTACCTGTATCTCGGCCTAACCACTCGCCCTTCCGCAACGATCGCGTTCTCAACGCTGGTGGCCAGCCTGTTATCCGTGTCAGACGTCCGCTGGGTCCCCCACAAGGACGTCCTCTGTCGCATCTTTCACTTCCTTCCACTCCGCGAAGCTTAGAAGACGCCAAGCCAGTGACAGAAGATCCCGAAGAAGACTCTTTCATTCCCCACATAATTTCAACGTCCTCTCAAGCACCGCAGCAACAGCACTTTTCCTTTTTCGAACCCAACACCATTAATGACGATATCCCACAGCTTGTTGCACGATTCCAACCCCAAGAACGCCCTGCTCCCCTGCAACAGCCTCAACGATTCCTGCAACCTGAGCCACCACGTCCGCAACCACCTAAACCAACCCCAGTACGCCCCAGACCTGTTTTCAAGGAGCAACGTCCGGTGTTCGATGACGAGCCGGTCATCAGACGTACTCCCGAAGTCCGAGCCAATCCTCGACCTCACCACTATGATGAACGCGAAAAGAAACCCGTAGCTCAGATCCTCCGCAAGTATCGTGAGGAGCATGAAGATGGCACAATCACGTGGGGTTTCGAGAACGATGACGGTTCATTTAAAGAGGAGACCATCGGAATCGATTGCATCACTCGGTAAAATGTTTTCAGCACATACCTCTAATTTAATTTTTGTCAATTAATGTATACTTTTTCAGTGGCCGATATGGATACATTGATCCGGATGGAGAGAAACGCGAGTACACTTACGAAACAGGAATTCAGTGTGATCCCAATAAAAGAGACGAAGAAAGCGAAGAAGATGATCTCGGTGGATATGTGGATTACCAAGAGAATAAGGCCGTGCTGCCAAGTGGTGTGAAGATCGATCTAGGTGGCAAGAAACAATCAAAGCGTCCGGGTGGTGGCGGATCTCCGGCAAATTTCTACAGAAACTGACAGACTATCGCGTTTTAGTCACCACATTAGTTCATAGGAATTCGTAAAGTTTAATTTATTCCTTAAGTCGGGTCACTCGTGACACAGGAAAAGACATTCTGGATATTGAGTTACATTAGAATAAAAAAGACAGAGAAGTTATGTGAGAGACATACATGTCTAATATCGCTTCCGCATCGGTGGTGTGATGTTAATGTCCATATAGTCACCAATGCAAAACTTGGCCTGGTGTAGGGTCTTAGAGTCGTCAGCCCCTTTGGCTCCGGAGCAAGTAACCCCAATTTCTCGCATGCGATATTGGCCCCTCTCAGGATAGACAAGGGCAAAATCAAAGTATGTACCTTTCCGACGAGTCTCCGGATTCACGTCTCTCACCAAGGTGGTCAATTCACGTAGTGTTGCATCTTGCCAGGTATAGATCTGCAACTCATTGCTTGGAACGTTTCCATGGGCATACTCAGCAGCAGAATGGTGCCTTCCGGTAGAGCAAAAAACTCTCAGGAGAAGCGGGCATGTCTGATTAAAATAATGTAAGGTTAAGCTCTATGTGTATCTAGCATATTTCTCTGAAACTACCTTTTCTCTGTCTACTACTTTCGTCGGAGATTGTTTTTCCTCCACTATCATTGACTCCACACCAGTCATCATGGGTGTTTGACGCCGAAAGAGAATAAATCAATAAAAAACAGTATATATCGTGCACGAACAACCGAAAACCTTCTTGACAACACCTTACAGCGCCTCTAACGAATAGTACCATAAACACAAATGTGGATGCTGTAGTACTAGAATGCGCAGGGTTCACATCACAGCATCATAATAAAGCATTATTTCCAATCCAATGAAATTCTGGAAAATTCTCTCGAGTTTTTTTTTATTTGGAAAATTGCAATTTCATATTAGATTGTTAGATAAACTAGAGACCAGTAGGTTATTAATCAGAAATAGAAGAAAACAAATTGATGAAATGGCCAAGAAATAGCAGATTCTACAATTAACGAAGAATTAAATCCTCGCTAGATTTAGAAAAAAGGAGAAAGTAGCTCACAATGTAGTTAATTTCTTACAAAAATGTTCCTCTCATGAGAGAAATAACGCCTATGAGAGTTTCTTGGCCTTCTGATAGAGTGTGTCTACAACTTTCCCCATGTGCTGAATAACCTCGAGGGCAGTGTCGTACGTTTTGTCCACGGGGGTTTCTTCAAAAACAATCAGCACCCCGTCACCCTGGTCAAGAATGCCGCTGAACTTTTTGTCCAATATCATCTGCGAAAGTTTTTTCTCCACTTGCGGCATGGGCAACTTGATGCAATCCGCAATGTGTGCTACTTCGACGCGACTGTAGGGTTCGATGATCCGACACAAGTTCTGCTCCAGCATCGTATCGTACAGAGTGCCCAAATGTGCCTTCACAATGACATCGTCCTCCAGTTCCTTCTTGAAGTCTTTCAGTGCCAACTGGAAATCGGCCAGGGAGCGTTTGTGGGATGCCTGAGCCACAGCTTTCATGGCATCAATGTCACGCCCAGAGTACGTAATGGCCAATTTCCCGCTGACTATTTGATTCACATCGTCAGATTGGCCCAACATGATCTTGCAAAGAAGCATGTACTTGAGAGCGGTGAGGGCTCTGTTGGATGCTACGCTGTCATAACCTTCAAAAGCCTCATAGAAGTACGAATAGGCTGTCTTGAAGTCTCGTTCATCTGCAGCATGTAGAATGCCGGACTGTAAGTCCAGAGCGGCCTGCATTTTAGGGGCGCAATAGATCGCATTAGCCGTTGTGCGTGCTGACGTAAGAGCTGCTCGAGCCTGAAGGTGATCAAGAGAGAAACAAAGCATTACAACTTTATGTCATACGACCCGCACGACACAAAAAAAAGACTTCACAAAGGAAAATTCACCTTTGGCAAATTGCTCAAGGCATGGTAAGTCTTGCTCTCCAGCAGTTGAACCTCCACTAGCAGATTCTTGTCGTCGAGCTTCTTTAACTCCTTCAACAATTGCGACCCCAGAGCCAAAGCCTCTGTGTACATGCCAGTGTCAAAGTAGAGGGCGATCAGGCGGGCCTCCAGAGACTGGCGCAAGAATGTGCGCTTCTCCTGTTTCGCCCACTCAATGCATTCCTTGCACAGCTGCACTTCTATGCCCGTACCAGCTTCCAAATCCAGAAATAAGTCCACCAACGAACGCACAAGCTTGGCGGCCTTTGCTTTGCTTATGAGCGATAAGAAGGGGCGGGTGACCTTTATCAGATCCGCCAGCTCCTTCGCCTTGCCCTCCTGCTTATATAGCTCACCCAACTGCAGAATACCCTGCTCCTTGATTCGAATAAGCTCCTCATCGTTTTCAGCAATCTCCTGTTCCCGGACAATCTTGTTGAGAAGGGAAATGCCCTCCTCCCGATTCACGGACGATACCGCTTGCGCCCTCTCAAAAAGTGTAGCACCCGCCATGCCTGTATAACGTACAAGATCACTTAATGCCAAATAATGCCCCTATTACTTGAAATTCCACGAAAAATCACTCCAAGAGTATGAAAAATAATGAAAGCACGGAAAATGCGAGTCATGGACGTCGAAACCAGTGCCTCTAGTGGTGACATGAGGTATTAGAGCGCGTGGAGACTTCGAAAACCCAGCTGAAATTCTTCAAATATTTTTAGTATATCCCTGATTTTAGTTTCTTACGGTATTTCTCAATATTTTTCTCTTCACTGTGCCATTACAATATGCTGTATATTCCAGTACGGTAAGAGACGGAAATCGAATGAACAAACACAATAGCAAACCCAGAGCTCAACTGTTCAGTCGGGTGCACTATTTTCGATATGTCAAATGTGTTTTCTTTTTCTCCACTCTCGTTCTGACTTTTTAACAAACAAAAATCTTACTAATTCGCTTTATTCTCACACATGAAAACTATATTGTGTGATACAAAAGCAACATTGTGATGAGTAGTCGTGATTACTATAAGGTTAGTATGGAAAATAGGTTTTCATTAGCGTTCTCAGTATATGGACAAACAAGCCAGGTTTGTCACCATGGCGAAAAATGCATCGAAGACTGTGATAAATTTTTATGCCCTTGCTTTTGTTTTTTTTCTTGTCTCACACATCCACCCACTAATCGATCAAACATCTTTTCCCCGTTAGTTCAATATCTAGGCAAAGAAGGGCTCAGTTGAAAGTGAATTACAAGGGCCTAATATCTTTCATTGCTTTCATTAATATCTATGACATCCGATCGAAAAGTAAACAAAATTGTGCCGAAAAGAGGCTAAACAAATTAATTTTTTCTCTCCGGCAGTCCATGTCCCGCAGTTCCAGCGAAGGAAGAAAATACAACTCAACTCGACGGGAAAATGACGGTTACAGAAGGTCTCAGAGATCCAGAAGTCGACATCGTTCAAGATCGCGCTCAGAGAGGCGTTACAGGAGCAGATACTCAAGGTCACCATCTCGTCATGATCGTAGGCGCTCCCATTCCAAGAGTCCTTATTCATCTCGCAAGCGACATATTGGAAATCGAGTAAAGTTGATGGTAAACAGACATCTTTAGCTGAATATTAAAAAAACATTTGTTTATAGGATCATCCACAGCAGTCACGATGCCTGGGGGTTTTTGGGCTAAATCTCATAACCACTGAAAGTCAAATCAACCAGATCTTTTCCAAATTTGGTGAGATTAAACGCATTCAGATGGTTACTGATGTTAAGGTGAGAAAATGCTAAGAGAATACCTATCTGGGTTGTCCCCAAGACTTTTCTAATTTCCGAAGAACATAATCGGACAATTGAAAATCTCACTAGTGAGAATGAATCTTGGAAGAAGAAAAAACGGAATTTTTAGAATGAAACCTACACTGTCAATTATTTAACAGTTTTATTGGGTTTTCATTAAAGGCATTCCGGGACATTTACAGATTATCATTTGCCTCACAAACATTAATGCATATGTATATTCTCCAGACTGGCCGATCCCGTGGCTTCTGTTTCGTGTACTTCAACCGCTCGGAAGATGCAAAAGTGGCGAAAGAGAATTGCTCAGGACTGGAGGTGGATGGGAGGAGAATGCGTGTCGATTATTCTATCACTCAGAGAGCTCACACGCCGACGCCTGGAGTGTATATGGGACAACCCACTGGCAGATTCCGCGAACAGAGTCGCAGTCACAGAGATGAGTAAGTACATAGTAATAACTATAAAATACAACTACAATTTGTGATATTTGAATAAGTTGAAATTTAAATCAAAGTGCCAAATTTCTTTCAATTCGTCCATTTTTGGATTGAGCTTAATTATACGAGAATAAACTAAAAGATCATCTATTGAATCAAGCTACTAAAAAGACTGATAATTTTTCTACAAGGAAAAACGAAATAACGAAATTAAAAACTTTACAGTGACGATAAGGAGAGCAGATCTCGATACCTGAACAAACGATCAGCGTCACCGTATCGTCGTAGAAGATACAGAAGCCGATCTCGTTCATATTCACCAAGAATTCGTAAGAATATTTCACAATTAGTTTCAACATTCCAATATTTTTAATTTTTTTTTTTTTTTCATTTTATTTACCAATTCAGGTCGATACCGCTAACGAGTGTTTTCCGCATCTTTAGATTGTAAATTTTTCACCTGGACAGAAGACAGAATTTTTTCTTTCAATAGTTTGTACATCTCTGAAGAATTATTACAAACTAGTGTTAAGTGTCTTAACCGTAATATTCCCACACATTTTCTTGAAATATGGGAGTTTCCTTAATTTATCGAATTATCCCTTTTTGTCATATATAAATTACACACGTAGAAATTTCAGAAAAATATGAAATAATAATGATTGTTTGGAACTCTATATTTTGGTTTTTGAGAAAACTAAATAACATGTATGTAAATGGAAAAATACCTATTTTGTGCTTTATGAAAATGAGCAAAATTTGTTCGAAAACCAGGCAATTTATGAATAAAAATATACATAATGTATTTGTGTACAAAATAACTCGTAACAGCTTTTCAGCAGTTTTTGTGGTGCTTCACTCGTCCTTCTTCGTCGAAGAACCAATCTGGAACTGTATTATCGCCGGACTGAGATACTATAAAAAGAAATGTATTTAGATCGTTAAATAAGAAAATTAGATAAATACATACAGATTTTTCCAAATTTCTTGCTATCCTCTTGGGCCTTTTGTAGTAACTTTTTCTCTTTCTTAGCCTGCTGCTTTCTCATTTTCCTGGCTCTATTTTTCTCGCTCTTAACTCGCTTCTCGTGATTGAGCTTTGATTCAGTCTTTGCCTTCATTCTTTCCTCGTATTTCCCCATAAGGAGTTGTTTTTCATTCCAGATATCCATTTTTCCTGCTCTTCCCCAGTGAGGAAAAGCACATGGCATAACGTTTGCATGCTCATGTATGTAGCATACCTCATGGTCGTCAATAGGTATCCATTCATAGTGCTCAAGAAGAGGTTTTCTCTTAAACTGGACATTATCAAAAAGTTTAGAGAGATGCAAATGGTTGCTGTCAGGAGTTTCAGATCGTCTGCACATGTAGATCATTAACTTCTTGTCATGGATTAACTCGTGGTTCATTAAATAGTCTTGTACGGGAAAATTCTTCATCACACTCAATACTGACCAGAGTCTTTGAAGCAAATCATGAGAAGTAAGTCCATAAAGTCTCTCCAAATCCTTCTCAGTCCTTTTTAATGAAATTTCTTTCATCGAGAGAACCTGTAAAGTTCGTGAATCTATTCGTATTCGAAGAGTTATGCTCTCTGGACTAAATATTTGTAAACTCCATTCGTGAATCAACTCATCAACAGTCATTTCTTCAGCCCCAAACTCACTCTGATACTCAATCTTAGTAGAGAAATTCATCATCTTAGTCATCCCATTACGTAAAACTGAAGCATCCTGATTGACTTTTACAAGAAGTCTGCACGAATCCTTTCCAGAACTTAAAATGCATGCATTAAGTAGGCTGCAATGCATTCGTTTTTGATCAATTGACAATGCATTAACCTCTGATTTGATTTCCGTTGCTTCCTTCTCTTCAGATCTTTTATCTTCGGACTTTTCTTCCAAAAATTCATCTATGATCAATTGTCCTTCATCATCGCTATCACGTTCTGAAAATTCCGCTAAATTGATATTTATATTGTTGTCCGGACTTCCTAGCTTCTCCTCTGATAGCTCAGTAGTGTGCTGTAATACCTTAAGCTTGAAGCAATAATTCAGAATTTCAGAATTTCTTTGCTTCGTATCCATACATATTGGAGGTAGAGGTGATTCTATTATTCCTAGTTTCATTCCAGCACATTCTTTAATTCTGAAGGGAATATTCCATGTCCTGTTAGAACCATTCACCAAAAACTCCAAAGTTTCCAAGGGCAAAATGAAGTCACTCTTAGTCTTCTGAGCGAATTCTTCGTTGATTATTACACATTGGGTTTCTTTACTCGTCATCTCATCACGTAGGTACTTTCTCAATTGATCCGTATTTTGCTGCAGTACAATTATTTCATCCGGCATGAAAGAGGTCATTTTTGGAGCTTCACCTGACCGGTAGAAATGTTCAGGATGTGTTAAATTCACTGCACTCTCTGTTAATTGCTTGTCTATAGACAAAGCCGTCTGTAATTGATAATCCTGCTGTAATCTTTGTTTCACAATTTTTACATCCTGTCTCCATTTTTCAATGAGAACATTCTCCATTTCCACATCTATTTTCAGAAGCCTGTGTCGCAAATAAGTCAGAAAGTGATTTTTCACAAATTCACAAAACTCAACTTTTTCCTGTTGTCTCACAGTTTTGCATGAAAAGTAATTCTTCCAGTCGACATTATTCATTTCAGATTCTTCGCATCCTTGACCTTGCTCGAGATCCTTTAAAACGCGAAGACAACTCTTGTGAATCATATTGTTCATCTTTGACTTGGCTGGAAACTTCTTAAACAACTGTAATACTTTATCATCTTGGTGTTTGTTTTTTATGTGACTTCCTGGACTCATCTGCATAGTCTGCATCGTCTCCATCTGAACATCATGATCTACCTTCCGATTGAAATCTACGTATCCCTGGAATCTATCGTAGAATTCTGGTTCTGTTTCATTCATGTGACAAATGAAAACATCACATTCATCGTCTGAAAATCCATTGGAATAAACATCACGTCTCGTTCTGAGTATTCGGGGGTAGCTTTTTGACCTAAAAGATGTAAATAAAGTGTGTTAAAGTAATAAGGAACGTCTGTATTAGATACAGAATTGATTTAAAAAAAATTACCACTTCAGCTGCATGAATTCGTCCATACTTTGTTTGGTTATGTTTTATACCACTCAGTGGGATCACCACTGAACCCGCCTGACATCTCATGTTGCCAGTAATGCTAGTACTGCATGTAGGAAATAGAACTTTTGGTATCTGGCAGACATCGCAGAAAATGAATTTCTTTTACGAGGCAGAGAGTTACACTATTTTATTGATATAAACTAATATTACCGTAAAACATTTTCTTACATAAAATATTAGTTTAAAGTTTAATTAGTTGACACAGTTGATACGACCATCAAAACATCAACACCGCATTTATGGTAAAAGCGCTGCGAAGGTTCAGCCGGGCAGTCAAATGTCAGTGAGTGTGGTCAAAGTGTCTCTGGGAAATTTTAATAATTTTCGCAAAATAAGTGCATTAACTAACAAAAATGTATCAACACCATATAACCAGAGTGCTCTTGGATATAATGTGATGAAATATTGATTGAAATACTGGTGAGAAACGGTGCAACTTTGGCTCTAAGAAGTCGCCTACACGAATTCTAGAGACAGACAGACCTCCAAGAGAGAATATTGTTATCAGATTGATTGGCCGCCTGCTTTGGACTTTTTGCACGTAGTTTTCTCACATAAATCTGAGCTCCAGAGGTGGTGATTTAGTGGTGAAAGAGGTAACATTCATATTTAATCTCCAATATATCGATTTGTGTGAGGAGCTATGACGAAAACAACGCCTCCTCACAATCTTCGTCTCTCTCAACTCAAATGTGAATTTTTAGTCCAGAGTATCCTTGGACTACCTTGACATATCTTTTCCCCGTGCATTCGGCCTTATATAATTGGAGTCAAGAATTACAATAGTTTATTTTTCCACCTTGTGTGTCATTGGCCACTAATTGGGGGACTGGCAATTGATTTTCGATTGGCAATTGAGTGTAGTCTTGCTCGGCAATTGAGGAAATTGTGGCGCGCCAAGAGCGTCAGAGAGTGTGACGTAAATAGGTTGAGGAGACGTAACACAAGTTAGAGTAATTTTCCTTGTTTTGCAGGAAACCTATCGCGACTGCGAGCACAGGAAACATGGCTCATTCCGAAGAGAACGACAGTCTCTCGCCGGCGGACGAGACAAATATCTTCATTAATGCTGCCGATGGTTTACCAAATCAGCACCCTATTCAGCATATAGACTCAGATGAGGACCATGAGTCTACTGATGCGGACACACTTGACGATCTGCCCACGTCTATCATTGTTACCAACATTCACTCCGAGGTGTTTACAAATGAAGAGCTAAAGACAGATATGGAGAATCTGTTCCGTACTTTCTCCGATTCTGTCACATTTTACTGGCTTAAGAGCTTCAAAAGACTCCGCGTGAACTTCGACTCTGCTTTGGCGGCGGCAAGTGCACGTCTACAGCTGCATCAGTACCAATTTTCAAAATCTGTAATCAGCTGCTACTTCGCCCAGCCTGTGACTCCAGTGTCTCACAAGAATTTGCAGCCGCCGGCTCCGGTGAAACAGTTCCTCATATCTCCTCCTGCCAGTCCACCAGCTGGCTGGGAACCACGCGAGGAGAACGAACCACTCGTCAACCACGACTTGCTTGCCGCCCTAGCCAACCTTACACCTGGCGAGAGCCATGAAGTGCACCCGTCTACTGAGAGTCAACCGGCCATCATTGTTCACACGGCACTCATGGCGGCTGCTGATGTACCGGCAGACGAGACTCCTAAGCTAAAAATCATCCAAACAAAGTGTCCAGAGAGGCAATCGTAAATCAGTAGCCAAGGTTTGTGCATCACATTTTTGTTTTCTTTCTTCTATACACACAGTAATTATATATTGTTTGAGTCGCGTTCTTTTTGGATAAGAGTAGAAAAAAATGAGGAATTTGCAAATTATCTCTACGTGATCCTATTTATTTTCACAATGAATATCACTCTTTATGGTATGGTACATATTCTGAGATTACTTTTCCAGACATCTCTTGAAATTTTTCACGCACCTTCTCTATGTTGAAAAGGTGATTTTTTTGCTCTAAGTTTTGAAGACTTCATCTCGATGCAGTGACATGCAAATATTCATATTACATATGTATATGATACTTTAAGAAAGGCTTGAATAATAATAATAACAAAGCAAATGAAATAGATTTTAATTTTTGAACATTAGACCCAATAGACCAAAAGTTCGCGGAGCACATTAAAGGATTTTATGTCATCCTTAAATTGTTGAAAAAATATACAATTTATACTCTACAAAAAAAGATAATTTCAAAATCAATTTTCTTCAGTTCCATTAAAAAATCTTTCTTTAAAAAAATTCCATTAAATGCATTTCACTAATTACCTACCATTGCAACACGGAAGAAATATATTTTCGTCAAAATTGTTATTGCAAAAAAAATTCATCCCAAATAAGCAAACAATTACTGGTGCCCTAAGGGTCATGACACTGAGTTGTGCATGGACTAGTATAATTGACATGCAAAAAATTGAGAAATACATATATAGAAAATTTATCTGTGGAAAATCACTATGTGGTGTAAAAAAAACTTTCCAATTTCGAAGTACATGTAGTATTGAGATATATTATATATCCCTTCAACTGCCCACCAGCATTCCCATTCTCTGCACAGAAATCACATAATCCCAAAAAGAGGCAGATATTGTGTTGAATGTAATACCTGGTGTTTCCATGTGCGCTCAGTATTAATTAAAGTTTCTGGATGGATGAAGGATATGAGGATGGAAAAAAGAGAAAGTTTAATAACCTATACCTGTACAACTTTTCGATTTCACCCATACAATGTGTGGTTTATTTCACACCAGCGTGAAAGAGTGTACATCACGTTAAAGCTCCTTAAACATTACTATTAGTCCTGCACTAATATGTATGAGTCACTGTCCAAAAGAATTCATATTGGTTATTGAAAGTATTTAATGATTTCTCATTGTCTCATTTCTCTCAAAATTGTATCTGCAATTTCCTTTTTTATCTAATCGATGCACAGAATTTACACAACGTTACTTTTCCTATAGGCAAATAGTGAACATTTGATTGAGAAAAACTCATATATTATAAATTTTATCAATTTATATAAAGAAATGTGGATTGATGTGAAAGAATATGAAAATAAAATTGGCAAAATTCCCTTTTTCACGTTGTTACAACACGAAAGCAAAGAGTTTTTGATTACAACAGAAAACTTTGTACTATTCTTTTTAAATCAATCGCTCAATTACATTGTAAACGTCAATTATCTTGATGTTCTAATAAACAATAGACAGATTACGTGTAAAGACATGAAATACTAAAGAAAATAAAGGATATAATAAGCAAATAACATATCCGTCAACAAATACATAATTACATATGAGTACGGAAGAGAGTGCGAGTAGAAAAGACAAGAAATTCACACTTGTGATATTTCATAGAAAAAAAAGTAAATCAACATACATCATGAAAAATTCTGTGCATCGAACTTCTTATTTTGATGTCCAATTTAATGGGACTCGGTTAAAAGGCCATTAAGAGAGATTTAACTAGATATTCATGCCTGGTGATGCGAACGTAAAAAACCTAAGAAAAAGGGAAGATAGCATTGAATGAGAGGAAAAATCTTGTCTTCCGAAAATTACAATCAGATAATATTAATTTAAATAAAGAGATAATATTAATTTATTTTCCAACACGTTTGAAATATTTTAAATGTTGTTCAAGAGATTGAAAATCAATGTTCTCATTCAAATTGCAAAGTATATTTTACTGATATTAAAAGTTAAATGAGAACATACATTTTTTGTATTGATTTTCGGATGAAACATACCTACTTATGTATTCAGATGGAAAAATATTAACGATGATGGAAAGTGAGGTGTCAAAGTGTAAAAGTAGAATTGAAAAAAAGCGTTTATATTTTCTGATGAAACAGATGATAAGAAAACTTGCTGTTTCTTTTTCTTTTTTAAGATTAGCAAGAAGAAAAAATGTAAATAATCATTCTGATTAATGAAGTTTTAGAGGATCTACATTGCTATTGAATTGAAGATGCTAGAGAAGGTGATGAGAGAGAGAGAGAGAGAGTGGGAGTAAGCATGTAAAAAATAGAATGATCAATCAGCATGGTAGATAGAAAAAGTGACCAATAATTTACTGAACAGCAAGTTAGTGAACAAAAAATAGTCATATAAATTTAGCGAGGGATGGAAGGATTTGTCCAGCAAAAGCCAGGATGATGGTAGAGATTGCTTTACAAGTAGTGTTGATTGACGAATGTTGCCATCAATAATTGTTTGATTGAGCTAAAAAGTTTTCTGTGGCGCACTGTCTGTCTATGGTTTTTTTCTCTTTACTAGCCAGCCAGAGGTTTACCTATTAACAAGAACTTTAGAGCTGGGACCTCTAGTGCTATATATATTCTGGTATAAAATGATGTAGTACTGAACAAATATTTATAACTTCAAAAAATACTATTAATGTCACTGGAAATTCGGTTCCCCTTTCCTCGCAAATGTTCATGATCAATTGACATGAATACTATTTATTCTATGTGTAAATAAGAGTTTTATGATAAAATGTGAGAGCGAAAGTCATGTGCTAATCACCAAGTAATGTGAAGAGAGGGGGTTTTTAAAGGAATGGTCATGTAGAAAATATATATTTTATTCTTCACATCGAATTTCTTAGTATTTGACAGTAGTCGAAAAAGAATATATATATTTAGTCATACCTATTAAAGGTTATTATGCTGGTCTTATTTATTTTAATTTTTGTTGTCCTGTATTAATTTTTACACACACTTACTTTCGACGAAAAATATTTAGGAACATGTTAGTTTTTATATATGTATAAAAATTGATGTTAATTTTTTATTAATCTTCGTTGTACATAAAAAGTAATTATAATAAAATGCAGATGAATGTTGATTATGGAATATTATAATCTCTGATAATAAATAAAAGAAAAAATAGTTCACGTACTATACGTCCACGGATCAAATCATAGAAACATTCAAGTTGTAGAATCAACATTCAAAAGTTTAAATTTTCTTGAGCAATGGTACATTTCTGTTTTCTGGCTAAACTTCAGATTGAAGGTAATTAAAGTAGGGTGACAAATGAATATAATTATGTATAATTTCATTTTTAGAATGAAGAACAGTGATGCCCAAAGATGATGATTTACGGCCAGTAGTAGCTTCTCACTGTATGAAATTGTTAAGTATTTTTGCAAATACTCATTTATCATTGTTCTGAAGAGGTACCATTTGCTCCATGTGTACAGGTTGAACTACATCACGTTTCTTGCGTCCAAGAAATGTTGTGAAGAAAGTATCGCCTTTGCCGAAGGTCTCTCCATCCTGTATGCTTTGCGGCATCGGTTGATTCATTGTTTCGGGAAGGAATAGTGTCCAGAAGCCAGACAACAGAGCTACTACGCCAAAGATAATGGCCGGTACTGTTGGATCAAAGGAGTCTAGAAGAGTGATCAGCGGAGTCAGAGCGCCTGACAAACGTGCAGCCATAGAGCCCAATCCCATGGCCGAATTGCGTACGACGGTGGGAAAGAGTTCAGCTGAGTAATTGTAAATTATGGCAAAAGAGCCAGCAATGAAGAGCTTCCCCATCATCACAATACCAGTAGTTGTTGTAGTGCCTTGAGGCATCTGTGTAGCTGCAATACAGCAAAGTCCGCCAGCCAGCATAAGGAAGCTAGTAAGGAATCGGCGACCCATCTTGTCTAACAGGAGGACCACAACGATATAACTGGGATACTCTACAAGGCCCATAATGAAGAGGATGAGAAAAGGATTCCCGTAAAGTTTTCCAGTGCTTAGTGAGAGACCGTAGTATACCAGGGAATTAGCAAACCAGTTGACACACACGTTGATAGTCTTCATGCGAAGATTCGGGGTTTTGAAGAGATCCAAGACGCCAGCATTTGTCTGAGCATCATCACTCTGCGTCATCGTGGCTTTGGTCTTTCTCTCAAAATACTCCTTGTCCATTGTGATACCGCGCCCATTCATCTTCAGTCCCTTGGCAACAATATCGATGGCTTCACGAGTGCGGCCTTGCATCCAAAGCCATCGGGGGGATTCATCCATGAGCCACCAGTGAGCAAGAAGTAAACATCCATGTAGACCATAAACTACTTGGAGAAGCACGTGGTCCTTTATGAGAGCTCCCCATGCTGCCACGAGCATCACACCAGCAGCAAACGTAGCCTGGAAGGCGATACCGCAGGCAGTCCTTTTGCTGGATCCCACCAACTCCATCGTGAGTACAAAGCCAGTAATATAACTACCAGCGCTGCCAAAAATCCCGTAAAAAAAACGCACTACAAGAAATGAGTAGTACTCAGGAATAAAAGCGACAGCTACTCCAAGAATTAATTGGAGTGTGGCCGACCAGCAGAAGACCGCTTTACGGCCTACTTTGTCAGCTAATCCGCCCAGTACAACTGCACCGGTGAAGACTCCAAACATGTAGACTGTTTGTGAAATAGACGCCATCCAACGCTTGTCGCAGACGAAATCCCAATCAATAGTCTTCGACGTTTCGTAGTACGTGTGATCGTAAACGTAAGAGGAACATGTGGTTGTCTCATTGCCATTGATGAACACTCGACATGAGTCCAACTCTCCACTGGCCTTTACTGGAATGTAGTCTGCTACTTCTGAGCTGTTCCAAGGATATAATGTACCGTTTCTATCCAATTGATCCACGTAACATCTGTGATCTGGTGTAGCCATTACTGTGACCAGTGAAAGCATGTGCAAGCCGGCTGTGAGAGCAGACAAAATGTGCAGAAAAAATTGGAATCCCTGGTATCGGCCAAATTCGCCTACGAAAAGAAAAAAAATGGGTTAGCGTGAATCGTCCAGTTAAATAGTGATAAAATTGTTTATGGTTTGCTTAGACAACGCGAAAAAATTGACCTCGTCAATTTCATCTAATTCAAATGAATGATTTATTTTCTTCTAACAAACGCAATCCTCTCTTGGCAACTCCATCACTCTGTCTCGCAGTGATTGCCATGAAGAGCACTATTGATATCAATGACAAATAAGAGGATATGTAGCGAGAAAAATATTCTTTCAAATTTTTTTTATCCACACAAATTCCTGCTTAATTAATTGTTCTCTAAAAATATGGGTTTACCGTCACTCTTTTTCTATAAGAACATATTCTATTCTATAACATATTGTTACTAAGCAGAATGTGTTTCAGTTCAAAATGTGTCATATAAAAGATGAGATTTAATTTGTTCGGTTTCCAGTACTTTTCGCAAGTATAAATTTAGGCTTTCAATTTTAAGAATTATTAGGTATATTTGATTCATCATAACATTTTTTAACCAATTTCAAATTTCTATTAAAAACACGAAGGTATTTGTACACATAGTGACCTAAATTGGAGCTATTGAAACACGTGGTTCATTTGATTTACGAGCTTGGAATTTGCGAGAGAACTCAAGTTCAATGATAAGATCAATATGTACGCGAATTGATGAATCAATTTGAAACAGAATATCATTCGACAACATTTATCAAGTCTATTTTTGGCTAATTAAAAATCTTTGTCAATCTTTTACGCACAAATATACAGTTGTCTTTTCTTATGTATGAAATCATATTTTTCTTTGCTATTACAATTCGCGTCTAAAATTATGAGAAAGAATTTATTCTTGGAAATGCTATAGTGCGATCATATGTAACAGTTCGTTTACAAAACACACAGCCAATGTTAAGCACTCTCTCGCATTTTTATTAAATATTTTGTTGCGCTCAACATCAAAAAAAAACAACACAATTCTTTTATTGCTCAGCAATGCCGCCAACCAATTTTCCGGCAATAGAGCCACTGAGACCCACTGTGGGTTGAGGTCAAGATCAAACCGAAATGATTGTGCAATCTTCTCTCTACTTTTTGTCACGCGTTGTGATTTGCAGAGTTTTTCTCGACCACTTAAAAAGATTCACTCTCAAATGGGGAAGATGTTATGAAATCATGCGAGTCGAGCGCGTGCCTGAGCTCTTCGCATGATTTATACCACGCTGATTTCTCATAAAGTCATAGTATATGATTATCGTCATGGTAAATAAGGTGTCACCGCATGCAAATTCAACCATTATAATTGCCTTTTTTGCATCGCACAATTTTTATGTGCTGTTAAATGAGGTGGAAAATAAGTCTAAATACCCCACATGTTCCTCGTCAATTTACATGTTGCTTTAGCAATGTGTTTATTCATTACAACAAAAACTGTTATATATAGAAAAGATCATTGGAGTATATTGCTGTAATTCAAATTCTTATGTATTACATAAAGTCTCAGCCGAATTCCTCCCGTCAAGATATTTTTTTTATAATTTCTGCGCGTCTAAAATTGATCAACAGCGGCTTTTTTCCCCGTCACCAGAAAACTTGTTTCTTCGTCCACCAAAACACACCATTGTCTTACAGTGATATGGTTCAGTGAACTGTGACCAGCAGACAGACATAAACCTGTGCAAAAATAACTCGCGAAAGGATTTTTCCATTCACGATCAAATCTCGTGGTGTCCAAAACCGCAGACAACTAAAGGTGTCTTTCTTTGAGTAAATGATATTTCAAAATTAAAAGGCTGTGAATAATTTCACTTTATAATCAATCTGTTACCTAATGTGAGCGATAATTGTCGAGTGTTTGGGTACAAAAAAATTGTACTTATAATCACGTGCCGGCAACCATATAATAAGATTGAATTTTACTTTAAACAAAAAAAAATTCAAGCTATTGGATATGGAAAAATCTTGCGATTACGTGGACTTTCCATTGTTTGTGTGAATTTCACATGGAGTCTGTGTGGTGCTTACTCGCGAGAATGGCATTTTTTAAATTCTATTTGATGGAATTGCAAAGGTGTTAATTATCAATTTTGTGTAGAAGTGGGAAGAAGGCACACAACCAATCAATTAAAAGCAATTTCCCAATAAACATCCACTCAATTGGGATTTGAGATCAAGTTCAACCTTCAATTGTTATTTTATAGCTCTTCTTTGACCGTCTTTCTATCGAAATCACCGCGCTCTATGGGAAATAGAACAATTTTTCCACATATAAAATGAAATAATTTCATTACAGATAATTATCTGTAAAGAAAATCGACTAGAGTAAATCCCAAAGTGATGACAAATGTAAATTAAAATTATTACAATATTATCTAAAACAAATTATCGAAATTATCCTGCACAATTTTAAATGAGTTTTTTAGTGTGATTTGGAATATTGAGATATAGTAAACAACGTACCAAGCATGGCCATCATCTCCTCCAGTGTGTGATCAACAGCCATTTTTGTGGGATTTCTGGTAAAACAATATCAAATCACTGACACTGTACGATGATTTGTACACGATCTTCCTCACAAAATCGTTTAATTGCAGGCACCAAAAAAGTGATTTACTTTATTCTCACAATCACTCGATATCACATATTATCAATGGTTTTTTATATACCGCCCATGCATTTGCTTCAAATAATCACAAAGAACGTGAAGTGAAAAAGCTCATCAAACGATACAGACTGTCACAAAGCCGACCAAGTGGAGACAGTGAAAATTCTGGTGTGATCTAGATGATAATTCCCTATATGCTCTTGGCAACTGATCCACTCTGTCGCCTTGCCCGACAAGAGCTATGGCCTGGACTGCGCCAAAATATGATCCTCACTAGGTGAATATCGCTTCACGAATGACAGACACTGCTTCTGGAGTGCCTCACTGAGGCCATGAAATAGAAAATGTCTACATATCAGCATTTCCAAACTGTACAATTTTTTCGTACTGAAAATTCCAACACATTCAAGACAGACGAATGTGTGACGATAAAATAATGGGGATTTGGATGGAGGGGTAAGAAATTGAGTTTTCAACTCATTCTCCAATATTTACAAATGAATTATATACTCCGTGTACTCTAAATGGTAAACCAGACGTGGATATTTGTGTGAAATGATAATTGCAAGAGGCACATTATTGTGGAAACGTTAAACCTTTTGCAAATCGTAAGCATTGATTGTCACATACTAGCGTGATAATTATAATTTTATTTATTAAAGATCAATTCAAGCATGGTCCTAGTTAATTTTCTTGAAATTTTACTACTAGTAAAGTTGGAAATTCCCGGCATAATTTGAAAAGCGAATAGCAAAGGTCTATTTATAATCGTGTAAACTTTCCACTAACACGACTCATTGTGATATCATTAATCAGCAAAGTTCAATATTTGTGCAAATAAAAGGCGACATAATTAAATAACAGACATTTATTTTTCAGCTTCTCCATAGTTTACATAATATGTCAACAGCTAAGAGAGGTTATCTTATACTGATTATATATCTTAAAATATATAGTACATGCTGATCATCAATAGTCTAAATGTTTATTTGTATTAATCATCTTAAATTGATTCCACGCGCGCACTCTATACTATTATATTCGGTTCTATAACCGAACGCAGTTTTGAATTTTACTTTGTAGCGACTTGTGCTGCCATCGAGTGTTTGTTCACCACAGTCTCGAAATACTAGGCGGCTCCATTGGATAGGCGCTTTTATTCAAATATTCTAAATTCAAACTAAACTTACTTACATTTCTCTTCCTTACATCTAGTGATAAGTGATATCTGTGAAGTACACTATATATGACATAAAAGATGCCTCAACATCCTCAGACAATTTTTCGCTTACATCTGTAATTTGCAACACAATAAATGTACAGCATTGAATCTATAATGCCAGTATATATTTAAGTCTAGTCAGTGCATCTCTCTTAAACACTAATTAGTGTTAATGTTCAAGTATTGATGACGTCATTCAATGATTCTGGAAGATAAAAATGCAATGATAATTTTAATGATCATACTGTTAATGCAGTAGAAACAACATCTATCTACAGAGAACAATAAGCAATCTCTGCCAAAATAAAGTATAAATGGCACTGAAAGAGCGATTTTTGCTAATATAAAGTGATTTTTATTAAGCTTCTATATCACAGTGGTTGTGTGATTTTTCTTTAAGCAAAAAGAGCTACACAGCATAAAAATCGTGCATGATTTTGCAATAAAGCTTAGTATACAGAATATTTATATTGGCGCTTTTGAACATAAAACGAATTACTTGGTAATGTGTAATCATCAGAAGCATAAATTGAACATTCGCCGCCACAAAGTAAGGGAGTTTTAGTACCTGCACTTGCGAGTGATGCCTTCCTCTCTAATGTATGTGGCACTCGGCCATTGCAGAATTTCTTGTCGTCAAACGGTCGTTCTTAAAAAAAGAGAAACAATAATATATCAACAAAATATAATCAGCGAGCAGTTAGGGTATTATACCTTCGTCCCATGCACTCTTTGCCAAAGGATGTTGAACTGAATCTTTGTCGTGCATTTCCGTTCCAACAACCTCATCTTTTACACACCGAATAAGGAACATTGTGGTAGCACCGACCAGCGGTGGTATCCCCGCCAAGATAAATGGCAGTGTGTAAGAGCCAGTGTGATCGTACAGCATGCCTGCAATGGGCGGTCCCAGAGTAAGCGGGAAAGAGCACAGCCCGAGAAGGAAACCAATGGCCTGGGAAGCTCCTTTCGGACCACATATATCAAAAGAGATCGGCCCAATTAATGAGATGAAACATCCATCGAAGAGTCCCATTGCAAGAACAAACAGAAGTAATAATGAATATGTACTCGTGATGGGCAGGAACATAGTCATAACGCCGATGAAGCAGAAGGACACCTGCTGTAGCAGAATCCTGTTGATTCTCGGCAAATCGGCGATGACACCGAACGTCAGACGTCCCACACCTGATGCGATGCCTAAGCACATAACGGGCAAATTGATATCTTTCCCAGTGAAGGCAACCGTGATGAATTTGGACATGTGAACGTATGGCACGAAATAACCAAAGAGTGCCACTGGGATGGAGAGTGCCCAGATGACGTAGCGCTTCTTCTTCCAGTTGTCTACGTTTACGAGAGTCTGAATTGTCTTCCTTGTGGGTGACTGATCTGTACGCATCTGCTGCTGTGGCTGTTTTGAAACCAATGGAGCATAGAGGAGCGCACAGATGATGATTAGACTCGAAATACCCGCTTCTACGCGAAGCGCTGTACTGAGGCCGTACGAGGTGATAAGCCAGTTGATGAGGAAAGGCATAATAGCGGTGAAGACGCTAGAGCCCGCCGTCACAAAGCCATTCACCTTGCCTAGGTAGCGTCTGAAGTAGTGGCCAAGGATTGAGAGGGACGGTGTGTATGTGAGAGCAGCACCGAAGCCATACATGATTCCGTACGTGAGGTACAAAGCATTGATGTTGTGAGTGACGAAAGAGGAAAAGAGGAGGCCGCTGGAAGTGAGGATGCCTCCCAAGATTGCTGTTTGTCGGAGTCCGATCTTATCCGTGAGGATTCCCGCCACTGGAGAAAGTAGGAATGTGGCGCCTATTGTAAGAGATCCCACGAGAGCTGAAATGGTAAAAAAAAAATGGTATAAATAGTGCGTTACTCACTTTAAAGATATACAGAGTGTATATTTTACACCTTAAAAAATTGCCAATCATTCCGTGACAAGATGTACAACCTAATGTGAAAAATCTACGCAAATTTATTCTCATACAATTCTTATTATTAAATCGAGACACACGTATTTTTTTTTATTATAAGTAATATTATTAGAATTTGGATTTGAAAACATCTGTTTAAGAAAAAAACCAACTCATGAGTAATTTTCAACGCTCATTAATCAGGAAAGAGTCAACAAATGTAGTTGAAATACACAGCTATCCTGAATTTTAATAATCCAAATGTAATTGTTTCTCCTAACATAGTGATTTTTGTTTTCAGGCAACAGGGATTCAATGATCGGAATTACAATTACTCCAAATTACATAGAATTCTAAAATTATGTTACACTATTTTTCTTATCACATCTCCAAATTACAAAAGTGTGAAATGATACGCGTAATATTTTATCACTGCCCCATGCTCATGTCTTAAGAGTTCTCTCGCGGTTCGCACAAAATGCTAAATTTACACATCAACAATTCCAACATGCGAGTTACTATTTTTATGTGGATTTTCATCTCACTATCAACGCTTTTATTAGAATGAGAGACTGAGAAATAGGAGACGCATGGTGTAATAGAAAAGGAGCTTCAACTCAGTTAAATTTATCCACGGAAATGTAAATTTACACACTTTCACATTGTGCACTCCTCATCGGTTCATTAAATAAAAGCGACAATAATTCATTGCAAACACGGCATATATATAGTGAGCTTTTAACCTAGATTTTTTATACTATTCAAACATTTCTGAACTGAAGTTTCTATCTGTATTTTTCAATGAATCAATAGTGATATTAGACTTTACACAAAAATTGTACGACTTCATTGAATTAGGAGAGTCATATTTCTGTCGATGTTACAGTCGAATTAGAGTACACAAAAATATATTTTCAACTTATTCATAGTTATATAGGTATTCCTGATTACTTAACAAAAAGGCCTAACCGAAGATAATTGTGATCTATTAGGAATCCATCATATGTGCATCAACCTGGGAGAAGGCAAAAATCAATACCAATATCAAAAAACTCTTTATATGCGACCAAGTCTTCTAATCAACTTTGAGGCGAATTTGTTTGTACGAAAGGTTGGAAACGATATTTCCCGGATAGAGTGATATTGGAAATATAATTGTTGTTAATGAAATATATCATTTCTTCAATATACGAAGATACTTGTGAACAGGAAAAATAGAATAGGAAAATTATTGAAAATTACCAAAATACTAAAAGTTTATTCTGAACCAAAGACAATGTGTGTATTACACACATATTTCTATTCGATGTTTTGAGACATAAATACCTATGAGGATATTATTATATCAAATATACATATATTGCATCACCATAAATAGGCATTTGCGTGTTTTCTACTACTTCATATACAATATAGAAGGGCTATTAAGCTGAGAGCATCCATAAAACCATCTGTTTTGGGGTTGGAAAGATCACCAAGAAAGATGGTGTGATTAGTAAATTAGGATAGAATTTTATGAGTTCATGGGGTCAAAAATATCCACTTAGAGAAATTGATAAAGGAATACGAAAAAAGGCTTTTCAATTTATATGGGTGTAAACACCTCTTACAAAAGTGTAATGAACATTATTCACTTTTAATGTTTTTCTCAAATAATTCAAAAAAAACATCATCTTTAAATTTATGTACACAGTAAAATTTTTTTGTCATTTATGTACAGTAATAAAATTTTTAATCATTTTGCAGTTACTATTTTTTCTACTATTGTAATATGCTCTCTGTCTCTATCATAATTTAATAGCAATTTTCAAAAATTATCACTAAGCAACACTCATTAAGAGTGCTTGACCTATAATCCATTATCAGGGAGACTGGAAAAAATAGGAAAGAGAGAAAGATCAAAGCAATGGAAGTGATGTAAAAGTCGATTGGAAATTCAGGTCGATTGACAACAATTTATTAAACGAGAAAAACATACACAAGAAGAAAATGCATTATATGTATGTATGTGTAGTGATAAATGCGGACATCAAACTATTGTAATTTCAGTTCACACTTGCAACAATGACCCGACATTTTCAACAAAGCCCACGCTTTTATCAGAATTTTAAAATCCCGCTTTCCTTGGCCATTAATACCCTCCAAGTGCACGGAATGATTACAATGAAGAGACGTGGTAATTAAAATGACGAAAAAACGATCAATTTGTGACCTTCCCTGTGTGTTTGTCCACGCAACAGAGAAGCACTTCAGATCGCATTTCAAGAGCAACATTAATGTGATACTGTTTACTGTTTTCACACCGTACCACTATTAAATCAGATATTGCTGATTGACTATATGCTAAAGGAAAAGTAACATATTGGGTACTTCTGCAAAAATGAATTGCCCTGTGATAGATTAGATTCAGTTCTTTGTTTCTGTAGTGCAAATGAATAACATTTCGTACTTTGAAAATCCAGAACGCAGTGTTATATTCTACGCAATTTTACTATACAAAGAGTTTCAACCCGCATTTGGTTGTATTTTTAGCATGATTTTGTATACAAGAGTGTGAATAAAAAAGCCTATTTATAGTCCACAAGAATCATACAAAACATTAATTCAGTTCATCGTAACAAATCAAGGATTTCCTCACACATTCATTTCTCTATTCGATCCCTTCCTTTTATCACTCCTATCATTTGGAATGGTGCGAAGAAACAATAATTATTGCAATTGAATGACATTTTCTTAAAAATTCAAATTTTGTATTTAAAAATGTATTATGGTGTTCTATAAACTATATATATATATAATATATATATATATATAATATATATATATATATATATATATATATATATATATATATATATATATTAAAATTGTATGAAATAAAATATGACCCCAAAAAAGTAATAAAAAACAACATTGACCATGACAGTGTTAAAAAACATCAGTGAGAGCAAAAAAATTGTGAAGTTTTCATTGCCTCAAAATATTTACCTGTGTCCTGTGAAATATTGCATAACATTTCATTTTAGTGTCAGATTTGATTGATAAACTCACCGGATTTACTGCTTGCCTCGGGGTCCCCTCGCATTTTGAGCTCCTCTTGAAGACGCAGGTAAATTACACTGTAGGTATTAATCACGCCAAAGATGATGCCGTTGCAGAAGAAAGAGCTGATCACGATGAGCCAAGCACGTGTTCCACCATCCGGAGGCTCTCTCATCTCCAACGATACCGGCCGATCTCTCGACCCACACGCACCAGCAGCCACCACCTTCGCCTGCTTGTTGTGCTTGTCGTTGCCCAGGGAACCATTGGAAAGTCTGACTTCGCCGTTCCCAAAAGTCGTGCCATTCTCCTGCAGAAGTTCCCCTTCAGTCATTCTGGCGGGCTCTTTGCTTTTTTTTTTAACCAGAAACACACACTACCTACTACACGAATGTGTCTTTAAGAGATATTATTCTTTGATTGTATTGAGGCTCTCTCTAGCTTAACACTGGCTGCGACTTTGTCCAATTATCAAGTGAAGAACCAATTAATTAAAACCTTATCGGTGAATAGCACTGTATCATTTTAGTCAAGCAACACAGAATTACTAGATATACAAATCAATTTTAATCTAAAAATTGGTGTACGTTTTACTAAATGCTTTCACCAATTTCAAAATCTCTATTCAATATAAAATTCACTCCCAATGTAAGTAGACTCTAGTCAAATTCTTGTAACTCGCTTTACTCGAGAGAGTGATTTTCGCACATCTACACCGAACACAGAGTTTCGAAGGCGTAGAATGTAAGAGTTCGAGAACACTGTGCGAGAAAAAGCTTGTTGAGAGACCAACAAACTCCATATGAATGAATGAGTTTACTTTGTGAGAGGCCCTATATATGATATTCTCGGAATATTAAATGCTCGAACACTCAAAGTGAACCACACTGTCCAAACTCTCGAGCACAACTAGCCAGAGACACATTCAACTGCCGCCTGTTGGTTGCTATTGGGATTCTCTCGGCATTTCGTTTCCCGCGCAGACTTATGAAGTAAAACGCGTTATTTAACACGAAGCCACACAACACATTTTCCGATCGGTGCGGTGTTTGAATGAGATCTCAATAGGGAGAGTGAGAGATGCGCGTTGTGGAGCACGAAAAAGAAGTGTAACCACTTCCCGTGGAATTCGCGCGTCAACAACATAAATTCTCTCTTCTATATAGTGGATACAATATTCTTTTACCACACATTTTCAATTGAAAAATATATATACTGAAATGTGCCAAGGTGTTGATGAGTGACATCATTTGTAAACCAAAGGCACAGTCGAATGCAGCACGAGAGATATGGTAAATTGGGAAATATGAGATAGGCTACATTGTACGTCTTAAAAAAAGCAAAAAATAACGCCTTTCACATCCAGACTTTCAATCTTGGCGTAATTCTCTGATAAGGGCTGTGATATATGCGCGATAGTTTTCCACGCGACGTTGAATCATTATCATTTTACGAACTGATAAGGGAAATAATATTGAAGTCATCGCACAACAAAGCAAAATGCTTTAACCGAATGTCACACACTGCGATACCTTTTTCGGTTATTTCTCAATCCCTGCCAATTGAAATCGTTTATCTTCAATAGATGTTACTATATCTTCCAAAGAAGCCAATTCACTTACACACTCTTTCACACTCTAGTAGACTTTGGATCTCAGATCGCACTCAATCTATTTGACGCAAAAGTCACCCAAGTTAATTGTGCTGGTCAAAAAGTTTCCACCTTTTTTCCATTAAAGTACACACATTGGAATGTCGAGTCAGGGCAATTTCTCTGTTTGCTGCCAAGCCATAATTTATTGCGGGCGGGCAAAATTGCCACGATGCTAATTAAATTTTATACGACACATAGTCCAGCAATTGACGTGTTCTTGAACCTGACAGAGCAAACAGAGATTACATAAATAGATCGCACCGGCTTATATTTCCAATAGATTGTATTAGAGAGAGAGTCGAGAGAGAAAGAAATAGGCACCGCTACTGTAATATATATATACCAATTCACACAATTTAACACAACAATTGCGAGAAAATAGAGAAATTCTTTTTATTGGAAGGCTCACGATACCACAAATTGCAACATGATGGCTTTGGAAGAAACGAGAGAGAGATAGCAAAAGCAGATGCTCTTTGCAGAATACTGTCCTTGGAATAATCCGATCAAATTAGATTATTTTAAACATTGAGTGCGATCATGATCAAAAGTAAGAATAATTGTTTATGCGCAACATAAGCAAGCTCATTCAGAATGTATTTAGATGAATAAAAAAATACTGCAAATTATATGTATATAAAGTTACAGATCCAATTGCGTACTCCACTCTCCTATTGTGAGAGTGTGAAAAAAGTTCTTTAATGTATCATATTCATAGTGTGTAAACTTGGGTGAAACTTTCATCAGAATTTACTGCGGAATTACTCAACGCTAAATTAGCCAGAATAGTAGCAATTTAACTTATTGTCATGAAATCATTCTGAGTGATTTTTTTTGATAATGATTTACACTGTTCGATACAGTCATATTTTGTGATTGTATCGAATTTCGCGCGACATCAATCAATTTCTCTTCGATAGTCACACCTCTATCATGATGGGATAAAAATAGACCAGAATTCTAATGCATATTTTATAATAAAACGTGGAATTCGCATTGAAAACTACATGGAAAGGGATTAAACAGAAAATATATATCGTTACCGCATATTATTCATTTGTCGACAATGTAGTCTTCTTGAAAGAGGACGCCAAATCCTTTACGGCCGGTGTCAAGTCCTCAAGCTGACAAAGCATTTCCGATTTCGCTTCAACATCTCCCTCAGGCGCAGTCAAGACCTTCAACACGAGATCGTGATATTTCATAAGAAGTTGAGCCTGTTCAGTTTGCAATTGTGGTTGTAAAAAGGTCAGAATGGTTGCCACATGGCGCCCCGAAGCGTGTAGCATACACTGCGTAGAGATAGTAAAGATGACGAGACACGTCAAGTGAAGAACAAGTGCAGGATCAGAGCAATTGCCCAGTTGCTCAAGAAGACCGTACTTGTGTGCTAAGATGACTGATCTGCAGTTTGTGAAATATTAGAAGAAAATTGACGGGATGTAATTGATCTGTCCGCAATCAATCTATTATAGCCAATTTGTGATCTAGTTCACTTACCGATCTTTCTTCTTGTCGACTTTCTTCAGAATCATACTACACTCTTGCAATGCATTTTCAGACACCATAAGAAAATCATCTACAGATTGTCCGCCAAGACTTTTGTTAAGAGACGCCAGAGCGGACTTGTACTCCTGACCACATTCCTGTATAATGCTACTTCTCTGATCTGGCATGAGAGAAGATGAGCTAAAATTGAGACTACACTCCATGGCTACATAAAAGAAAAGCTCATTGCAGATTTCCGTGCCGAGAGTCTTTAGCAGATACTTGATCAATTGCTGTTGGTCGTCAGAGGGGAAGAGCTGCAAAAGAAGGCAACCTTGATAGGAATCACATATTGCAGATCAAGTAAGGCAGTATACTCACCTTCAGTCCCTTCTCGTACAGACGCACATCAGTGAGAAGATTATTTAACTTCTCTTGTAGTGACGCATGTGTTTGACGACGATTCTGCGTGGAATTCTGCAAACTCGCCTCATATACTTGATTTGCCTTCTGGAGTGCCTCCTTACTATATTGCCTATAACATGAAAGATTTATAATTTCTCATAAAATTTATAATAATAATAATAATAATTTTTACTCACGGATAGAAATGAAGCGCTATATCTTTTGCAAGGTAGCACAATTCTTCACAGTTCAAAGATGACTCAACAACTTGAATTATTTCCTTCAAAGTAATCAAATCCATGTTTGTTGACTTTTTCTTTGAAGTTCTGTTATTATGGTTATTATCATCAGAATCCGAGTTAAATCCTCCTTTATCACCCCCTCCACCTCTGTAATGTTTTTTCGTGGACTTGGTCTTGGTCTCACGACCTTGTGTACCCCCACCACCTTTCCCAACTGCAGCTTTTCGACGTCTCTCTTCTCGTCGATCTGCCTTTGCATCACCTGTTCCTTCTTGATACCCAATCTGTCGACTCGAAGATAATTTCTCCACCAAGTATTGTTGATATATACCACTTTCGACCGCCTTCTTCACATTATCTTCAATGATCTGCTTTACGGGCGCTACGAGACGATCTAGGAAGGCATTGGTGAAAATGGTTGTGTCTAGTACCAGAATACTCCTTGACGTTGTGGGCTTTATAGCGGTTTCTAGCAATTTGTCAATGTCCTCCTGTGTCAAATCGGTTGGGAGGATAGTCGTGACATCCAAATACGACCCACTAGATACACATTCCTCAATGGCAGCTTCCAGTTGCTCAACAAATCTCTTGCCTACAGTACACTTTTTCAAGTGTACCAAGTTTTCATTAGGCAGCTGTCGCTGAATAAACACCTTAATATCAGATATTCCAAAATGTGAGAGAGTATCATGTTGCACATATCCGTTTTGCTTAAATAAGGATGTCACCCATTCATTCTGGGCCTTCTTATACACATTGGGAATGTACTGAGCGCCAGACATCTTCGATGTCACGCTCCCATCAAATGAGATCTCGTCAACAAGGGAGTAGAATATTTTTTCTTTTATCTTGCATTGACCCAAGATCGACGAAATGGGCGTTGGACGCGACAGTGCAGATAGAGCACCTCGAATTTTGGCCTTACATCGTGAAATGTAGGTTTGCGTGAAAAAGACTTTAGGATCCGATGAATCTCTCTTTCCCAGGATTGTTTTACCGACATTCGGTTCAATAATCTTCTGCAAAATAAAATCAGATGGCAAATCGTACTGTTCGGCCAGAGCAGCAGCCGATATTTCACCACTTTGAATGAGTTTTTCATTGATCTCCAAAGCCAGCCGCTGAATATAATCCTCGTTGATTAATTGTCCCAAAATTAAGTGAACACTCTTGTTCCGTTGAGTTATCTTATTAGCGATCCCCGTTATCTGTACAGAGAAGAAAATAAATCAGAATCATCATTATAGTTGATTCAATGAGAGTAAAAGTTTTGTTATCGCGGTTATCGCCAAGTTATCACCTTATTCAGATCCACGTTCAAAGTATTTGAGACTTCCGTCAAGTTGACGCGGCCTCCATTCACATATAATTCATCTTGAATCTCCGTAGACAATTGATCCGGTGTAAGATATTCTTTGCCATCGTTCGTGTAGATTATTTCAAGAAGCCCCTTCTCCAACAGTAATGAAACAACCTCAATACAGTTCCTTTCTGAAAGCCTGATCGAATATTCCCACGTAATTACATTGTCAATATCAAAATCTTCAAAATTTAGTGCAATTTCTCACCTTTGTAGCGTTGAAGAGAGCTGGACTTTTTGGAAATCAGCTGCCAAACGCTTTATTTCATCCCAATCAGTCGACATTTCTGCACTTTTATGGATAGGAAATTCAATTTTTACTTCGATTTGCACAAAAGAAATTCTCCTTGCTTTTGCAAATGACAATTTTGACAATCAAATTGACACGTGAACGAAGTGGGCATTGACAGCTAGGTGGCAAATGTACATTTTCCGGAATAACCTTGGGAATGAATCGACACCTTTTCAAATTTTCAGACTCTTTTATTTGTAGACAAAAATAACAAGTATGGGAAAATGAAAAATATTTCTAGTGCTTCTAGTATACGGATAAAATTATACTTTTATTATTATTATACCCTCAATATTGCTTGTTGATTCATTTTGGAATATTTGTAACAGTGCCTTAGTGTTCGCACTAGGTTCTGCAAATTCTGCGCCCAATAATCAAATTTCAGTTCTAGGATTTGAGGAACTAGTACTTGGACGAAGTACGACTAGCACGATTAGTATAAATAAACTCCAAAAACTGTTACTATACAGTAAAGGCTTGTGTTTGTAAAAACATCAGACACTTGGCTATCACATTCTGCATCCCAACGACAGCGTGCGATATATTTACTAAAAATAAATGCAATTTTTATCTCTTATTGAACACATCATTTTTTTCTTCTTACCATCCGGCCCCCAGTTGTTGCCCTAATGCCACCTGAACCACATGCTTGTATCGTTTCATTTTCAGCTCTATTATTTGATTGCCCACATCCTGAGCGATCTGTTTTGTCCACGACGCGACATCATCTTTCGAGTAAGTTTTATCTATAATATTCTTTTGGAAATGAAATTGTCTATCAAAAGATATTGTCATGCATTTCCTTACCCGTGAGAATTCTGGCTAAGCAAGCCTTGATTATCTCTTTGACTTGAAATGTCTGAAAGGAATTCTCCAAGGTTGGCCTTATTTGAAATGTATTTCCATCATCTATAGCTTTGTCGGGGAAAGAATGTGATCCAGACCCACTTATCTCAGCCACTTGTTCCATAATACCGACCAAAATTGTGAAATCTATGCGAAAACTTCAACTTAGATGTTTTGGATGCGTAATCGATATTTCTATCCAGCGTCTCCTAGCAATATCAATTCCGAAATATCGTTCCGGAAAATAATTCACCGGCTATCAAGCGTCAAGGGAGCGTTGAAAATCTCTCCAGTGAGAAGTACGTTTTTAGTGGAAAAATGACCGAAGTAGCATTCAAGAACACGAATTCCATAGAGCTTACTATCCACGAAGCGGAACTCTATGACAGACAGATCCGTCTGTGGGGCTTGGAGTCTCAAAAGAGGTGAGAATCAAATGTTTTAATTACCTAACCTTAAAACTAATTCTAAAAAATATATTCAGAATTCGGGCTGCTCGTATTTTGATTTGTGGCCTCAATGGACTGGGAGCTGAAATCTCTAAAAATGTCATTTTGGCTGGAGTGAAATCTGTGACTTTCCTGGATCACAATGTCGTGTCTGAGGCGGACAGATGTTCTCAATTCCTGGTGCCCGTTACTACTCTAGGGCAAAATCGAGCTGAAGCCTCTCTAGCTCGAGCTCAAGCTCTTAATCCGATGGTAGAGCTAAAGGCTGATCAAGATATATTGAGTGCAAAACCGGACAACTTCTTCACAAGCTTCGACGTTGTAATCGTGATTGGAGCGCCTCGCCGAGAGATGATCCGCATTAACAATGCTTGTCGCATGAAGGGGGTGAAGTTCTTCGCAACAGACGTGTGGGGTTTGTTTGGCTACTGTTTTGCTGACCTGCAGGAGCATAATTTCATCGAGGATGTGTTCAAGCACAAGATTATTTCGAAAGAGAACGATAAAGTGAAGACGGAGCTTGTGGCTGTACCTACGAAGAAGACTCTCCTTTTCCCACCTCTTCAGGATGTATTTGAGTTCGACTGTTGCAAGTATGATTACATCAAGGCAGTGAAACGCAAGGGATTTGCCCTGGTGATGTTTCTGATTTTGCACCGCTTTCGCGAGGAACAAAATCGTGATCCATGTTTTAAAGAAACATCTGAAGATCACGCAATTCTGCTGCAATATCGCGATGAAGTAGTCCCTGGAATAATTCCTGACTCTGCTTTCACTCATCTCTATGCTCAAATCTCGCCAGCAGCAGCAATTGTAGGTGGTGTGGTGGGTCAAGAGGTGATTAAAAGTATCTCCCAAAAAGAAGCTCCGCACCACAACCTCTTCTTCTTCGATCCGGAAAGGGGCGATGGCTATATCGAAACAATTGGGATTTAAGCTTTTCCTTTAATTCTACCACAAATCTAAAGTATTTTTCTTATATTCAATACACTTTGTGAATTATTCTTTTATATTTTTCATAAATAATAAATTTTTTGTGTCATGAGATTTAATGTAAATTAAAACTCCTGATGAATAAAATTATTTTGTCCTTTCTCTTCGAATTACAAAAAATTTTTAGTTTTATTTATTAAAATTGTGTGTATTTACTCAGATTAGAGTGAAAATCAATGTTTTTCGCTATAATAAATGCAAGGAAAAATTAAAGAAAAAGATTAAAATTGATTATTATAAAACAATAATAGCAAAAATAATATTTTGCCATCCCTATATTTAGATTTACAGAGAAAGGAAATTATGTTCAATGTTACATAATGTTCTTTAGATCCCATTTATCTATTCAAACAACTTGTTAAGGAATAATTAACTCGCATTAAATTAGAAAATTTCTTCTTTTCTGTTTCTACAAGTTGCAGTCACAGCTTTTACGCGGCACGCAAATTTCTTTATTACACTATTATAATGTTAAGATATTAAATCATTTTTTCACATTATTATAATAATAAAAATATACGTAAAGGATATTTCAATTTAAAATTAAAAGATACACAGAAGAAAACAAACTGAAAATAAACTTCGATGATTTTTGTACTGAAAGAGAAAATCGCTGGAAGAATTTCCGCCGAATTGATTTTTGTTTTTCATTTTAAATCTCCTTTTTGCACACGGAAGAATACACATGTGTTCCATGTGTTCTATCTTGTTCTTCTTTTTAATTTAAAATATAGATCGCGTTTATCACAGTCGTTTGCATATTATAGATTTTTTATCTTACTTAATCCATTTTAAAATCTTTTTTTTGTTTTTTTTTGTGGATTTAAGAAAATAAGCCTTGTTCTGCATTGGTATTCTCAAGGATATTCTTTTTATCATGCAATCTGAAACTGAGTGTGTTCTTAGAAACAGTCCCTTGGCTCACTGTTTTTTTTATATTATTTTAGCATTGTATTTTTTTGTATCTATGCTTTTCGTGCAATTAAGTCTTAAAAACCGGCTGCAACTGCAACGAATTCAGGACAAATATGGGCTATTTTGGGATTTAGCATTCAATTGTCCAAAAAGAAGAATTTGGCGTAAGTAAAATTGCTTTCGCTCTTTCACACTGTTATTTTTATTATTTTATCTTTCATAATTGGGACAGCATAAAACAAGGTAAGACATAAGTCGAAAATTACGTAAATCCGTTCTTAAAATATTTAAGGTGTGGGGCTAATTTGTGGACGAGTGGCTAATTTCACAAATCAACCGACTGACCTTTCTCTTTTGTAATTGTTCGTCTAATTTCTCAGAGTCCGTCTTTTACACAATAAATTCGAAAGATTTTACACACCAACAAAATTTTAAATGTTATTATTACATAATTTATTTCCATTTATAATATTCTATTTCTTTTCTAATCTTACCTTCCTTCAATAGTTCATATAGAGAAATTACTTTGTTTCAACAGTTAATTTAATATACCATTTTCTTCACTCTTTATCGTTAAATTTATTTCTTTTAACTATGTGTTCCTATGTGTTACCTCTATTTTTCGCAATATTTCTTAGTTTTTATGCATCTTCATTCATCAATATATCTTTGCAATAAATAAGTGTAGTAAAATTGAAAATATGAGGGACTCAAGAGGGAGAATTTTAGTTTACAATTTTTCAATTTTAGTATTTAGTTTATTGGAGCTCTTTTGCGGTGAATTTTTTTATTACAATAATTTCCCTTTTTTCATTTCTAGATAGCACAGTTGTATTTTATATTTCTTGTTTTACACATGACAGAAAAACGTTAATTGTAGTAGGTATACTTAAAGTGAATGAGGGAGTAAATAAAGAGATTTTTCTCAGTTGCATTAAAATTGTAATTTTTTCCTATCTCCCTCTCTCTTCATTCTTCTCTGGGCATTTATACAGCCCTTGCGGCATTCGGCGATATTTACTCATTCCACCAGTCGGGACCGGAATTGTTAGAATATGAGTTTCCATAGCTTCCACCGTAATTTCCCCCGCCGCCTCCACCTCCTCCATTGCCATAATAGTTGCCTGAAAATCGTAAATAATGATTACATTATGTAACTACTGACAAAAAAACATTTAAAATGCGATAATATAAGATAAAAATACGATCAGAAAAGATTAAGCCAGTATGCAAACATCATTTGTTCTTGCATAGTTATTTATCATCATTTCTGTAAAAACGCAATGTATACACAAAACAAGAAAGTCTACTGTAAACGTACCGTATCCACCGTGTGGTCCACGAGATCCTCCGGCACTCCGATTAGGCGGTCCACGATTGCCACCGCCAGATTGGGTGCGAAAATCGCGTGATGTGAAGGAATTTCCTCCATAACGACGACCTCCGCCGCCACCTCCGCCACCGCCACGACGACCGCCTGAACGCTCCTGGGTTAGAATTTCCTCAAGAAACTCGGGTACATCCTGCTTAGTTTCCACCAGCAACTCCACTAGATCACCGCAAATATTGCGATTCTTGTCATTGAAGAAGCTCGTTGCAACTCCCAAATTCCCCATACGTCCTGTACGTCCAATTCGATGAACATATTCCTCCACATCGGATGGCAAATCAAAGTTAATGACGTGCTTTACATGTGGAATGTCCAGACCACGTGCAGCCACAGCTGTTGCCACTAGAATAGGACAAGTGCCAGACCGAAAGTACTTAAGGGCATCCTCGCGCTCACGCTGTGTACGATCACCATGAATACTTGTCACTGGATGATCATAACGATGTAGAAAATCCTCAAGAGCGTCGGCACCTTTTTTCGTCTCAACAAAGATAAGTGTGAGACAGTCCTTGGAGTATTCAGGACCATCTTTGAAGGAGCTTAGCAAGTCCAGTAGATAAGACCTCTTGTCGGACTCATTAACCCACAGAATTGACTGTGTGATATTCTCAGAAGTGGAACCCACACGTCCCACGGCCAAAAAGATGTAATTGTGCAGAAAATCACTGGCCAACTCTTGAATAGCCTTGGGGAAAGTGGCTGAGAACATCAGCGTCTGTCGCTCTCCGGTCGGTGGCATATTACTCTGCTCCACAATGCGACGAATCTGTGGCTCAAAACCCATATCGAGCATTCTGTCAGCCTCATCAAGGACCAGGAAACGTATATTATCCAAGCCCACTTTACCACGCGTTATCATGTCTTCCAATCGACCAGGTGTGGCCACAATCAGATGGCATCCACGGTCCAATTCTTGCATTTGCTCACTAGTGTTGTTACCACCATAGAGCACGGCGGGACGCATACGAGCGCGATATGAGAACTTTTTGGCCTCCTCGAAAATCTGAGTAGCCAGCTCACGTGTAGGAGCCAAAACAAGTCCCAGTGGATAGTGCTTTCGTCGATAGTATGAGCGACTGCTGCCACCACTTGGTGGGGTTCCTAAGCCACGCTCATACATTTGATTTAGGATCGGCACCAGAAAGGCCGCCGTTTTGCCCGAACCTGCAATATATATATATATATATATTTATACAAGAAAAGATTGTAAACCTAAGAGATATAAAATTATTCGCGTAAATTACTCTGCTCTAATTGAAAACAATCTCTAGGTTAAAACTTTCACACTTTCACTCCCCATTTTTATCTGAGAAACTAATGGCTTAGGAATTCAAGTATAATATCACGTATATATAAAAATTTTACAAAAGAAAAATAATTTTAACTAGACCAATTGAAGTCAGTGAATTAGAAGTCCATACATAGAAACTTTTGCACTAAAATATCCTTGAATTTCAACATATTTTCATGTAATACTTGTTATCTTATTACGGAAAATCTTTTATCAGAGTATCCGAAAATCATAAAATGCGATATATATAATATATATATATATATATATATATATATATATATATATATATATATATATATATAATATATATATATTTATCAATTTAGAGCAAAGTAATTATATGTACTTATTACTATTACGGAATATTAACATGGTGAGTTTGAATATACATACGCAGAAAAGATAAAACCAAATATGCAAACATAGTATTCTTTCATAAAAGTGTCATTATTGGGATATTCTCTCAAATCAAATCAAATCAAATCAACTCAAAGCAAATCATCTCACCGGTTTGGGCACAAGCCATCAAATCACGACCGCCCAATATAATCGGAATGGCATATTTCTGCACTGGTGTTGGTTTGTCATAGCGTGCCAAATTTATACTATTCCTTATAATCTCTGTCAGCTTGATGTCATCAAAGGATGTGATATGTGGCGGCACATGGCTGCCCGTCGCCTCCACGGGTATGTCTTCGTATTTGTTAAAATTAATACCGGTGTTTGCCGTGCCGAACAACTCCTGTTCGAGATGCTCATCTTTTGGCAGGGGAATGGTGCAATCAACATCGTGGCCGGAGCGTCCACCATTGTCGCCCCCACGCCACTTCCCACCGTATCCTGGACCTCCTCCTTCGCGTGCTGGTGGAGCATCCGGCCAGCGATTGTTGCTGCGTATGGAAGCATCACGCGGTCCTCCACGGACACTGCGCCCCCAATCATCGCTTCTACGGTCGTAAAACTTGGCACCGCCGTTCTGAAAGTTATCTGGCGGTGGAAAATCAGGGCGACGTTTAAAGTTGCCAAAATCCCTGTCACGATCACCACCACGACCGCCAAGTCTACGATTTGCGCCTCCTCCAGACGAACTGAAAGTGGAGAGAAATATTACTTAATATACACTATTTTAGGTGCCCTTTCTTTAATCTATAATTAGTATATGAATGCTTTTCCAGGCTACCCAGATAAATTCCAAATTTTTATCAACAATGTGTCTTGAAAACACTCCAGACAACAATATCAAATTTGTTTTATGAATAGTATGAATAGCCGGAATAGTCCCATCATTCGTCACTATTGTATGCCATCGAGTGAGTCATTTTCTCTAAGGTAATCAACTGTGACACATCTCATATTTCGCTATGTATAAGTTACTGTAAAATGAGGAAAATGAATTCAACGACAATTTAGATATATCGGAGAAATTTTCATCTCCACCGTTTTTCACAGAAGGCACTGTTCCGGAAGAGTACCTAATCAAATTAGTCACACTTACTTCTTATAATCCCGTGGATCGTTACGATATTCCCGCGAATCTGGACCACCGCGAAAGTCACGATCTCTCTCGTATCGATCACGTTGGTCGTAGTGTTGAGAACTACCTCGATCGTAGTCTCCAGAATTAGAGCTTGGATTCTTCTCTCTCAAGTGAGGAATTACATAGATGTCAGGCTTCGGCCCCGAAGGTCCCCGACTTTCATTCAAGTCCAGACCAGCAATCTGTAAGTGGAGGGAGGAAAAAAAGATTATTTGCATTTTGTTTGAAGACATATTAAAAACATAAATGGAATTTCGACATTTAGTTTCTGAGGTAATATCGTTTAAATTACATAATATTATTCTATTGTAAAAAAAATGCAACATTTTACAATCTCAATAAAGAGAAATGTAACGTTAAGTCTGAATAGCTCAAGTAAATTCACAACGCTAATCGCCGATTGAAGTAGATCGCTCACACAAAAGAGAGCACACCAGAAATTCAATGCCCTTTTCACACAATGAGCTTGTATGAATCCGGCAGCCATTTTGATTCTCAAATTCCGTCAAATGCAGACCAATTTAACACGTTCTTTTTGGTTAAATCTCGCGATAATGTGACACTAAAAGCACCACCAACGCACTTGCAAAGTCCTATTTTCTCCTATGTCATCAATTTTACCACATACAAGGCATCGCTTAAAAGAGAAAAATGCGATCGAAGAATGTGGTTCAATGTCATACCTGCTGTTCTAGACTCGTTCCATTTTGGTTAATCGCATTACTCATATTAAAATCACTTCCAATCAGGTCGTTGTGTTGTGAACTTCTTCAAATTGAAAGTTCCACACGATTCTACTGCAAGCCACAAACACGAATGAGTTTCTTTCAATAAATTAAACACAAAGTCAATTTTTTCAGCAGTCCCCAATTTTCGCGATTTTTCACAGAAAGTTCACGATGAGCACTGGGTGATACGTAATTGTGTCCACTAGAGGGCAGTTTGTAGCGACGTCACGCTGACGTGGCCGCCATTTTTCTTGCACCCCACCTAGATTTTCTAGCACTGCGTAAAAGTTGCCAAAACACGTGTGTAATTTTATATATTCCGCCGGATTCTGGGAATTTCAATCAATTAAGGCCAGAGAGGGGACCAATTTAATTTAAAATCATGGTGCAAGTTGAACGAGAGAAAGTCCTCCCTATTGGAAAAGTCTTAAATGACAAGAGTCGTCCTTTAAAAGAGCGTTTTAGGGCACTCTTCACGCTGAGAAATATTGGGGGGCCAGATGCTATTGAATGCATCAATCTGTGTTTCCAGGATGACTCTGCCTTGCTGAAACATGAGTTAGCTTATTGTCTTGGACAGATGCAGGATAAAGCGGCTATTCCGATTCTTGTAAAAGTATTGGAAGATAAGCACCAAGAGCCAATGGTTCGTCACGAAGCAGGTATGAATATCTACAATTCCAATTTTAAAAGGGAATGAAACAATCTTTTGTATGTACTTTCAGCTGAAGCTCTGGGTGCAATAGGGTGCCCGAATGTGATACCAATTTTGGAGAAATACCTCAATGATCCAGTAATTGAAGTAGCAGAGACATGCGAAATAGCATTAGGACGAGTGAAATGGATAGGGCAAAAAGAAGATTTAACAGACGACAATCCTTTTTCATCAGTGGATCCTACTCCCCCATTAGCATCAAAGAACGTGGCTGAACTAAAATCAATTTTATTGGATGAATCATCATCGCTCTTCAACAGATATCGTGCAATGTTCAGTTTGCGAAACCTCCGAACTGAAGAGAGCATCTTGGCTCTCTCAGCAGGTCTGAAAGGAAACAGTGCTCTGTTCAGACATGAGATAGCCTTTGTTCTTGGACAACTCCAAGAGCCATGCAGTATTCCCTTCCTGGCGGAAAACCTCCGAGATACTGTTGAGAATGAGATGGTGAGGCACGAATGTGCTGAAGCTCTTGGAGCAATTGCCACTGAAGATTGTATTGGAATCCTGAAGGAATATCTGATGGACGAAAAGATAGTTGTCAAGGAGAGCTGCGAAGTGGCCCTGGATCTCTGTGAATATGAGAACAGCCCAGAATTTCAGTATGCAAATTTTCTTAAAAACTAAATGAGGAGAGTCTATTAATGTATGTAATGTGTTTAATATGAACATATTTCAATTATATTACATTATTATTAAAATCTACCGATTATATCCAATGCAATTTTTCTTGCTGTTTTTTCTCACCTTATCAAGGCTATTTACAGTGTAGCAACGAGTGTTTCGTGAATTCGGCGTTAATCGGTCCGGAAACTTCACATTGATCACAGCGACTCTGGTGGAAATAAAAATATATTTACATTGACATTTCGTATTCCAAGAAAAATAATTTTAGTGATTTTTTTTAGATTTTAGTAAGTGATTAATTAGTGAATCGTCTATAAATAGAAGAAGGTGAATTGTCTACAGTTAATGAAAGTAAAATTGCACGGATACCCATCACAGCACCGCAGCAGTCCCATAATTTTCCACTGTCTTGGTCGCCATTTTGTCTGGCCGGCTGAGAAAAGTTGGAAAATTTTCCTATATTTTGTCCAATATCAGCCGATTCAGTGTGGCGGAAGTGTATATTGTATATGTTTCGGGCAGCTATGGTTGTTGTATTGCCAAGAACAATAATTTGATAGTAAAACCAATAATTTTCATGGGAAAAAAGACTTTATAGATCATCAGTGACATTTGGGCGCTGTTCGATTCTTTTGCGTCTCGATATCTTATTCACTCGTCAGCTGGACGAACGCCTTTGTTTCTCTTCCGTTCGCCATTTCACCACCCTCAACGCACAATTCAGCAAATTTTTGTGCAATTCAGATCCGTTCCATTATTCCCATGGACTAGGTAACTCGATCAGTGTCAAGTGCGATGCGCCCCAGTGCGCCCCAAGATCTTGATGCACGTTGGAACCGGTTGTAATGGGAGTCACAATGATTGCGGGAAGGAACAGGAGATGTAATGTTATGTCACTTAATTGGCTTTAGGGGGAGTAAAGGATTGATAGGAAAGTGCCCAAATATTATTTCGTGCTTTTATTATAGAATGTAAAAAGGTTTGCCACAGTAAGGGACTATTATTCATATCATTCAACATGACATTCTTATATTTTCCTAATAATTCGCAAAATATCAATCACTTTCCGGAAACCCTGGTGAACTATAGGCAGCAAGTCTACAGGAAGAACTGCAGAACATATTCCTTTAAGATAAAATTACATTATATAACATATTCTTGAACATATTGGATGTTTTTGTTTATGAGCCTTTTCGTATACATTTTTAACCCCTCTTACTAGTTTGTGATGAAATAATAGATATTAATGGAAGATTTACTCTCTTCTACAGCAATTTGTAAGTCGATGTGTTGGTATAATGTGAAGGTGGAGTTTCAAATCAAAGCGAGGCAAAACCCGTAGATATACTGGAAATACATCAAATAGGAGTACGGAAGGATAGATCGCAAGGAATCAAAAGTTGAAGACGAAAACTTCTGATAGTGTTGGCGTGAGAGAGTGAGAAGGACGAAAAAGTGCTTTGGCGAAGAGGAGTGAGGTGAAGAAAGCTTTTGAAAATTAGCTGGCTGAAGAAAACCGAAATGACGTATGATACTCGCGGAAGAACATCGGATCAGCAACAATCTCATCCGGCACAGGTAGATGGGGGAAGCAGTACGCAGGGTGGTTCGACGGGGGCCACGGAGCAAGGTCCTCAACAGACAATGAGTGCCCCAAACAGCGAAACGGATACATTGACGCCAGAAGAGTTAATCGCGTCATTCCCGCTAGCGAAACTCAACTCCTTGACCACGAAGATTTCTAGCGCGAGATGGGTGGTTCCAGTTTTACCTGAGCAGGAATTAGAGTGTCTTTTGAACGCTGCCATAGCACTTACGAACGTTGGGGTTGACCACGACTGTGAACCATGCATGAGATTCTACAAAGATGGCCTCACTACATCCTTCATGAAGATTCTTACAGACGAAGCAGTGAACTCATGGAAATACAACATTCACTATTGTATACTCATGTCATGTGGAAAGCTTTTGCAGCTCACAGCACTGCACATGAAACGAGACAATCCGTATTTGCTAGATCTTCTGGCCGTAGTACTCGATCCGGACAACAAATTCAATACTTTCAACTCATCACGTCAGCAAGAGATTTACATGCCTGGACCTAACATGACAGGTCTCCAATCTACAACTTGGGGCAACATGGAGGAAGTATTTGCTACATCACCCCCAGAACCGAGGAATCCAAGAGGATGGCTTGTCGATTTACTCAATAGGTGAGTAGTTGAATCAATGAATATATCTTTATTTTGATTTTAATTGTCAACTATAATAATTTTCTTGTAGGTTTGGCCAATTGGGTGGCTTTGATAATTTGTTGGACAGGTTCAATACTGGGATAGCACTGCTGAAGAAGCCTGCCTCATCCGAGGATATGCATATGTCATCGGGCGGCAATACATCTTCATTGAGTCTGAGTGATGATTCGACAAAAATGAAAACGTCTACGGTGTCATCAAGTGGAACTAATAGCACGAGTACGAGTCTCGTTCTGGAGGATAACAACAAAATCACTCTGCCCTTGATTCATGCTTTAGTCCGACCCTTCGGACAATGCTACGAGCTCCTGACAATTCCAACTATTGAGAAGTATTTCATGCCAATTTGGGGTGTTGTACTTGAACTGCTCGATGGTTTGACGGATGATGAGTTGAAGAAGGAAGCAAAACCAGAGGGGCGAAGTGACTCCATAAATGGAATTGTTAGGGCAGCGCGTTGTCTGGCCAGCAGATTGCCCAATCAGGAGAATTTGATTAAGGAACTCGAGATGTTTCGTCTGAAAATGATCTTGAGATTGTTGCAAGTGTCCAGCTTCAACGGCAAGATGAACGCACTGAATGAAATCAATAAGGTTCTCAGCACCGTGGCTTACTATCCGCACAGAAATCAAGGTCCACACTTGCAGCAAGATGATGAAATGGATTGGCTGACGGCAGAAAAAATGGCTGTGAGTATTATTTATCGATAGCATCAACTTCATAATATGCATACATAATTTCCAGAAAGTGTTACTTCAAAATTATAATTGAAACAATATTTCATTTCAGAAATGGATCAAGGACACCGATGTATTAGGCATAGTGTTGAAAGATTCACTTCATCAACCACAGTATGTAGAGAAACTGGAGAAGATACTTCGCTTTCTTATCAAGGAGAAATCTCTTACATTGGAGGATCTCAATGCTATGTGGCGTGCTCAGGCGGGAAAACATGAGGCTATTGTGAAAAATCTACATGATTTATTAGCTAAATTAGCCTGGGACTTCAATGCTGAACAACTTGACTATCTCTTTGATTGCTTTCAGGTAAAATTAACTTTCTATTCCTACTTGAAAAAAATATTAGATTGATATTGATTGGTGTTACAGGCAAGCATGACGACTGCCAATAAGAAACAACGAGAACGACTTCTTGAGCTCATCCGACGTTTAGCAGAAGATGACAAAAACGGTGTAATGGCGAACAAAGTGCTGAAACTGTTCTGGACACTGGCTCACAGCGCTGAAGTGCCACCAGAAGTGCTTGATCAGGCATTAGCGTCTCATGTGAAAATTTTGGACTATAGTTGCTCGCAGGAAAGAGATGCTCAGAAGCAAGTGTGGCTAGCAAAATGTGTGGAAGAGTTAAAATCATCAGAGAATTGGGCATTGCCTGCATTGCGATTGATCCGTGAGATTTGCTGTCTATATGAAGCCACTGCTAATCATCAGCCCCGTCAACAACAGTGTTTGAATAGGCAACATGTGATTGAGAGACTTCAGAATGAGCACACACTCGTTATACTGGTCACCCACAGTTTGACCACTTACATGGATCGCGTGAGAACATTGGCAAAAGAGAATGTTGACTTGGATCCAACAACGCTTATTCTAGATGGAAGGTATCCACACCCACAACAATTGCAGGAGCGCCTTGATTTCCTCAAGTTTCTACTGAAGGATGGCCAATTATGGCTGTGTGCTGATCAGGCGGAGCAAATATGGAATTGCTTGGCGGTGAATGCAGCATTTCCAAGTGACCGAGAGGAATGCTTTCGCTGGTTTGGCAAGTTGATGGGTGATGAGCCTGATCTAGATCCAGGCATCAATAAGGATTTCTTTGAGAAGAATCTTCTCCAACTCGATCCACAATTCCTCACAGAGAGTGGCATAAAGTGTTTTGAGCGTTTTTTCAAGGCGGTTAATTCCAAAGAACTGAAACTGCAAGCCAAATACCGTGGCTATGTACTCGATGACGAGGATCTTATTGGTAAGGATTACCTATGGCGTGTTATTACGACTGGTGGTGAGGACATTGCGTGCAAAGCAATTGAGTTATTAAAAGAGGTGTCTACAGCCTTAGGGCCTCGGCTGCAGGCCATGGTTGCTATTTTCCATGAAAATTTCATTGACGAGTGCTGTGATCGACTGCGATCTCATTATGACAATGTGTTGCAAGTGAATAAGATCATTGAAGATGTGGTGAAACAAAACGAAGACTGCAATGATATTAAAGCAATGAGGATGTGTGAGGCGGACAAGATGTGTCGGGTGATTCGAGTACTACAGGAGTACATCAAAGAGTGCGATCGGTCGTTTAATGGTGATCGATACTATTTGCCACTGAGCCGAGCTTGTCGCGGGAAATACTTGAATCTATACATTAGATTCCAAAACCCTGGGCGGCAAATTGATGATATGGAGATAATAACGCATAGCAATGAGACTGTAGCTGCGTTTAAAAGGAATTTATTGAAAAGGATCAAAGGTACATCCCTAACCAGTATCAAGGTGGACCTCTACTACAGCAGTGGTGAACTGATTGAGGTGGCTGATGATCGTAGTCCATTATCGCATTTTATGTTGGTGGAAAAGACTATGCTAACAGCCAAGCTCACACCAATGGGTGTTGGTATGGCAAGTTCACCTGACAGTTCGAGTGATAGTAGCACAGGATCACCACCAAGACCATGTCCTGATATGACACGACTTGAGTCAGAGGCATCACTGCCTGGTGTGATAATATCACAAAAGCTGCAGTACATGGTCTTCTTTCTCAAATTGTATCAGCTGGGCAGTGATATGGAGCACAACATGCTGCGTGAGTGTAGCCTTCTGCTTCACCTACTACCCTTGGATAGATTCACCATGCAGCAACTCGAGACAATGTGTAACATTCGCATTGAAGCAATCATCAGCAGCAACAGTGGCGATCAGCAGAGTATCAACAGTGAACTCTCAGTGGCTGAAGAACAACCGACCCTTGAGTCAATGTTTTTACACGCAACACCCGCTCAAGTACTATATAATCTAGAAGTACTCCATGCTATGCTTATTCCTGCATTGGAACCCCTTAGTGAAGTGACACTTCGTCTTCAGTCAATGTGGCTTCACTCTGGTGTGGCACACTTCATATTGGAACTGCTAACGAAGAACAACTTCCTTCCCAACACTGATATGAACACGAAGCGAGCAGCATTTCAATGTGTATTGCGGTTGGCAAAGCTCTTTCTCTACATTGTAGGCTGTGTTCTTAGTCGAGTTGGTGATGAACCAGTTACGACTACACATGTTGATGGCGCTCGCAGTCAGGTGGAAATTCTCAAGCAACTGCTGACCACCATCTCGGGAAACTCAGAGCAGACTCTGAAGACAATTGCTGCCAAGTTGGCCCACAGTCTAGCTGAAGAGATGCTTTCGGCTGGTCAACAGGGTGATATATGCCGTCGTCTCTTCGGTTCGGCACTTCAATGGTCCCTTCCTGATATGGCAACCATCAAGGCTATTGTTCATCTTGCCTGGGCAGCATCGTGTGGATGCCTCAATAAACTTAACGTGTCGTCGTCATTTACACCCGAGAGCACAATGCCTGAATCTATGGACTTCACCGTATGCAAGGAAGCACTGGAAGTGCTTACAATTTCACTGGTCCTTAATCCTAATGCAACAGAGGCCCTCAATCACCACGATATGGCGTGGCCAAAATTCATCACGAGTTTGGTGCTCATGAACCCGTCGCGTCACGTCCGGAAGGTTGCGTCTGAGAAGCTTTTCTTAATATGCACATATTGTGCAACAGACAGGCGACCATTCAGCAACATGGTGATACTTCTCGTGGGATCCATTCACTCGGTCGTGCCACAGTATTCATCTACATGTGCTGAATTTTTTCAACTCCTGTGCCGCATTCTTAACTACGGATGCCTCTACAGTTGGCCATTGCCTGTGAGTGATGTCCTCTTCTCGCAAGAGATCACTTGGCTGCGCTCCATTCGCACAACCGTAAAGCAAACGGGTGAAACACAAGTGCATGAGGATCTGTTAGAGGGTCATTTGAATCTGGCCAAGGAACTTATGTTTTACTTATCGTCAGAATCAAAATCACGCCTAAATTCGCTTATACAGGAGCTTGTGGATGACTTCCTATTTCCTGCCTCGCGACAGTACCTTGCAATGAGACGTAATGAGCTCATCCCCGAATACAGTGGTCCACCTCCCGTCTGTCGAAGTTCACATACAATCGCTGCCGCATGTGAACTCCTTGTGGCTTTGTGCCAGAATTCCGTACCCAACATGAAGCTCCTGGTCAACACGCTTATGGACATGTTTTGTTCCGATACAGAACCCTTGCGCGAATGGGAGTACTTGCCACCGGTAGGACCACGATCCACGAAGGGATTTTGTGGTCTGAAAAATGCTGGCGCGACGTGCTATATGAATTCAGTTTTGCAGCAACTTTACATGGTGCCATCAATTCGACTTGGTATCCTCTCAGCTGATGGCGCATGCACAGATCCCAATGAAGATTTCAGTGGTGACACTGATTCTGCTGAAATTGTCACGGATGACGAGAACAATAGACGAAACTATCACATTGGAATACTTAAACATGTTCAGGCAATTTTTGCCCATCTGGGACACAGTGCTCTCCAATTCTACGTTCCACGTGGTCTGTGGACACATTTCAAGTAAGTATCACACGAGATATCATAGCTGTAAATGCATTTGTTTAATACTTTATTTCTTTCCTCAGATTGCAAGGTGAACCAGTAAATTTGCGCGAGCAACAGGATGCTGTTGAGTTTTTCATGTCACTCTTTGAAAGCCTTGATGAAGGTTTAAAAGCTTTGGGACATCCACAATTAATGGGCGCTACATTGGGTGGATGTTTCAGTGATCAGAAAATATGTCAAGAATGTCCACATCGATACTCCAAGGAGGAACCATTCAGTGTCTTCAGTGTTGACATAAGAAACCACAGTTCTCTCACTGATTCATTGGAACAGTACGTGAAGGGGGAATTACTCGAAGGTGCAGATGCTTATCATTGTGATAAATGTGATAAAAAGGTATTTATTTGGAAGGCAAAATCAAATGTTATATAAAATATTTTTAATCCGCTTGATTTCTTACAGGTGGTAACAGTTAAAAGACTTTGTGTTCGCAAATTGCCACCAGTGTTAGCGATTCAACTAAAAAGATTTGAATACGATTATGAGCGTGTATGTGCGATAAAATTCAATGATTACTTTGAATTTTCGCGAACACTTGACATGGAGCCTTATACAGGTGAGTGAAAATACTTATACATAGCTAACTGATCATTCTGCCATAAATATAAACGTTATAAAAAATTCCTAATAGTGTCTGGACTGGCTAAAATCGAGGGGGAAGTGATTGAAGTTGATGACCACGCCGATGATCAGCCGGTAACGACAAAATATCAGTTGACGGGAATCGTTGTGCACAGTGGACAAGCATCAGGAGGTCACTATTTCAGCTATATTTTGCATCGCGATCCAGCAACGGGCAAGGAGAAGTGGTATAAATTCGACGATGGGGAAGTGAGTGAATGTAAAATGCACGAAGATGAAGAGATGAAAACGCAATGCTTCGGTGGCGACTATATGGGCGAAGTGTACGATAACAACTTGAAAAGGATGCAGTACCGTCGGCAAAAGCGGTGGTGGAATGCATACATGCTTTTCTACACACGCTGCGATCAAGCACCCATCGAGCAAAAGGCAAGCATTGAACAACTGTCCTTATCAGACAGTCGAAACTGCGTCCTACCAATGCCAGACCCAATCGAGAAAAGTGTTAGGTAATTGACTCACCTTATTAATTACCTTATTATCCCCTATATATAATTTGATGACTTTCTCCTAGGTCACAAAACATAAGATTTCTTCACACCAGGAGTTTCTTTTCACCCGAATTCTTCAACTTCATCCTCAAGCTGGTGAATTGTAGTGTGCCATCGCCGAGATCAGAAAAAATAGTAGGTTGATTGTTTGGTATCAAATTGTGCAACTCTCAAAATCATTTTTTATTCTTTTTTATAGACGCCACATGCGGAAGAACTTTTGCTGCTTGGTGTTCAATTAGCGTCTCAATTTCTATTCCACTCTGGTTTTCGTACGAAAAAAACACTACGTGGTGCTGCTATTGATTGGTATGAAGAATTAAAAATACCCGTGTCCATATGGTAGGCTTTTCTCATCTTTCGTTACTTTTATTTCTTATATATCTATTTTTGCGATTGGGAATTTGCTGCAAATTGAATTGTTCTATGTTAGTTTCTTTAGGAAAACTCTAATTTTCTTAAATTACCATTTTGATTTGTTCTTTTAATCAATTATAATTTCGGGTGTATTTAATGTTAAATTCATTTGCTAATTCATAATCGCATATAATCATCCATCTCATTTGCGTAAAATCAATTGTTGATGGGAATACAAGGGATCATAATTCAATGTTTTATTTATTTTTTGTATTATAGGTATGATTCTCTGTGTCAACATGTGCGCCATTCGACAGTTGTGAGGACTTGGTTTGCTCAGAATGCCCTCCTGAATCCTCCAACGCGACTTGCTGAGTACATTTTGATCGCTCCATCGCCAGAAGTAAGAGCAGTTTTTGTGAAGTTGGTCGTCTTCTTCTGCCATTTCGCCATCAACGACGAGCCGATTCCGGGTTTTGAGGGCTCAAATTTATGTGAACAAGTACTCATAAATGTGCTGTCCCTCCTAAAAGGTGAAGTGGCTGAGCACGGGAAACATCTTCCACATTACTTCAGTCTGTTTTGCATGTATGCGGGTTTAGGCCAGCAAGAGAAGCATCAATTACTAAAGGTAATTATCTACTTTTGATATATTTCTGTAATATGTAACCAATATTCAAATCTTATAATTTTTTACAGCTGAATGTTCCGGCAATTTTTATGCAAGTGGCTCTGGATGATGGACCTGGACCTCCAATTAAGTACCAATACCCAGAATGGAGCAAACTTCATCAGGTAGTGTCACACCTGGTGCGATGTAGTGATGTCTCCAGTCGTTGTACAAGTTCTAAAAATGAAAGTGGCGTTCGTCCCCAGCCGAATCCTTATCTGGAGCCAAATATTCCGTCAGAGAATCTAGTGCCACTCTCTCAGGATGCGTGTGAATATTTGTTTGGACGAACGACATATGTGAAGAAGGTGATTGAGGACACAAATGTGGGCGAGGAGGGACTGAAACTACTGCAGTATTGTAGTTGGGAGAATCCCCATTTTTCTCGCACCGTCCTCTCAGAATTGATGTGGCAATGCGGATTTGCCTATTGGCACGATATGCGTCATCATACAGAGCTCTTGCTTAATATACTTTTAATGGAAGACTCTTGGCAACACCATCGAATTCACAACGCGCTTATGGGTGTGACGGAAGAACGTGAAGGGTTGTTAGACACTATAATGCGATCGAAGATTCACTACCAGAAGAGAGCATATCAGATCATAAAGTGCTTAGTGCAACTTTTCAGACGTAGTTCAGTAGCTCATAATATGTTGAGCAGCAATGCAAAGTTGACCCGACAGTGGACGGACGCTGTAGAATGGCTACAAGACGAACTAGAAAGAACACGTAGTGGAGGTGGCCAATACAACTACAGCTCTTGGTCACCACCGGCTCAGAGCAACGACAGTACTAATGGCTATATGCTAGAACGATCTCAATCTGCGAAGAATGTTCTCCAGACAGCAGTTGAACTCTTTCCAGAAGAGGTGAGTGAGGTGTGTATATGTATATTTAATTTTATTAGTAATTATAATGCATGCAAAATGAAATATTTAGGTATAATAATTTTTAATATGGTGTTCTATTTATTTCGAACTATTACGTAAATATAACTCTTAGTCTCTATTATCACAGAAATGATTATACCTCTGATGTATAAAATGTTATTCGCTTGTGGCTCATCATGCCTTTACACATTGTTTTTATTTATATTGTACTTCTTTGTCTTAAATCTATAATTATGAAATTACTCATGTTATTTACATTTCAGGAGCAAGATGAACCGATTATTGTCCAAGGAGGGGATGCAGATGTAGGACCACTCGACGAGATGAATAAGACAAACGTTGTGCCAGTTTCAGAAGTGTCTGATCCACTGCGAAAGGACGATGAGGCGACGACTCCCGCTACGGGGGTGGTACTATCTTCGGTGACTGTAAGCAAAACTAATTCAACATCTACCACCACGGCTTCGACTGTCATGGTGAAGACAGACACTGTAAAGACGGAGATGAATGATAGTGAAACAGACGTATCAGTAATCCTGAGTCAAGGCATAAATCAAATGCGCGTCTCCTCTAATCAGGTGAGTGAGACACTTAAGGAAATCCAGGGACATTTGACTCTAATTAGTGACTTCTTCCCACCGCGGTTTCAGTCGCAGAGTGGAATTGAAGGTAGCGAGTCAACAACCAGTGGTGGTCAAAAAGTTCTCAGTCCCTTCGGACAAATGCTGCAGAATGCAATGCCCTCCACACCAAGTGGAAGCTCCACGATCACTACTGTCACTACAAGTTCAGGCGTAAATGCGTCAAAACAAAAGTTTGAGCAGACATAAAAATGAAATAATAATGACGTTAGAACGGAGTCATAAAATAGTTGAAGATCCTTTTCCAATGAAGAAAAATTATAATAATATAATTATGATGAGTGTGACAGAATAGAAGGAAAAGCGCTTGTGTATTAGCTTTTTGAACTGGATCATTTGTTTGTTTAATTTTCTTTGTTCACAATGGCATAACTGAAATTATTATTTTCTCATTATCTGATTTTGAAAAACCATGAAATAACCATTAATGTTTTTATATAAAAATGAATATGCCTAAAATATGATTGCAAAAGTTTTCTCTTTGCATATTTTCTTTATTGTGTCTTTTCCCGAAATAATTTTTGCTAAAAAACAAAATATAAGAGATGATCAAAATTATGTTTTGCTTTTATTAATTTGTAAGTGAGAGAGAAATAAGAGTGCAAAAGATCTCCTCTATTTTAACATGTTAAGTAGGAAAATGAAATACATATTGTGGCATTACTCACGATACTACAAAAATAGTAAATAATTCAAATATCTTTGAGAAAACATCCTTCATAACAAGATAAAAAAAAATTTCTATATGAATTCTTACAGTTCTGATTTTTTCAATTGTTGAAGTTTTGATTTATTAATAAATAGAAGAAAGACAAATCGATATATTCGCTGGTTGAAGGGAAACGTATCTTGAGGCTAGAAATGAAAATTTTCCTTTACATATTTTCTTTATGTTTTGTCATAATAATTGAATTAAATTTTCATTTGTAATAAATTATATCTAAAGAGATCCTTTGGTAAACATATTCTGTGAGCAATGCAGCAATTAAATTACATTTGCTGCATACAATTATATACACAAATATATATTTATAATTGAAGTAGTATTACGATGAACAACAGCACTTATAGCTTATGTTGTTATTTCTTCTTTTCATTTCCCGTCTTTAGTGAGTAAAACAGTTGAAATAATTCAAGGTTCTGTCGTATAAAATGGAGATATAGGACAAAGATAAAGAATACTTCATTGAAGTTATGTATAACATTAAAGATTAATTTAATAAATTAACAATTAATGCTACTAACATAATTGAAAGCCAAAAACAATAGTTCTGTACATATATTTGATAGAAAAAGATGCAAAGGGATTTACCTAAATCACCGGATAAATATTAAAGCAATCAAAGAGCATAACTTACTCACTTAAGCTCGCATGACTGCTATAAAGGATAAAAATGATGGGGACATTGGAATGACAATGTTTGTTTTAATTTCTTTAGATATTTATTGTTTACCTCAAGAGTCGTGTAGTCAAGAAGAAGAACAAGGGAAGAGCGATAAAATTAAAGGAACAAGTATATTGATGTGATTTTAAGTTTTTTCGCGCATTTAAACTTTTATAACAATGATGATAAAATTTATATATAGAAAATTTACATACATATATGAATTATTTAATCAACAAGAAACGAGAGAGAAGTACTAAAATATAAATTGGTATGTAAACTCATTTTTATATAAATGAATTAAAAATGCTATATGAATGCTATGGAGAAGTAAAGTATTTTTTAATGAAAACTGATGTATAGACAGAGAGTAAAGTTTTACAAGAACAACATTTTGTGTGTATCATCTCGGCATGAAAGAAGAAAGTAATTATAAAAATGAAATTATTCGGGTGGCAAAAATTGAGAATAGAAACGAAGTAAACTAATCTTACATAAATTGTTTTATATGATAACGCAAGTAAGTCAAACAGACATCAGTGAATAATTTATGAAGAGAATTGTATTGCAATTTGTAAGATTCACAAAGAAATACTAGAAATTAATTGATTTATATGGAATACTCCATATTGTGACACTTTTGGGAAGAGGCGAGAAGAAATAATAACGATACGAGAATATGGAAACATAATTTTTGCTATTCGCACTACCAAACTTATATATTATAGATACATATATAAAACTTTAATGAATAATACTAATAAATGTATTTAAAAAGGATCATAAAGTAAAATAAATAACCAACTCTTTAAAACAAATAACAAAAGTAAGAAAGCTTTCAGAGAAGCATATTATTTTACTAATGAGAAATGATGAAACATTTCCTAAAAACCCTAAAAACAAGAAATAATTGAATGAAAAGTGCTTAAGAATTTTTTTACATATAATAGTTGAAAAATATTTGAATTAATGATGCGATTGGGAAGGTAAAACCAATTATAACTGTACATAAATGTGCATAAACATTTACTTATATATCTATTATTATTTATAATCTCTGATAATAGAACTGTTGGATATTTCTATAAAGAAAAAAAATTACTGCTACACAGTTCATTAAAATCAATTGAAGGATTTCCACTTTTTCCTTTTTGTAATCACCGACGAAAGACGTATTCTCTCATGAGACAATTGAATGATTATACTACATACTAATTCCAGATGATCACAATAAGAAAAAAAACTAGTACTGAAAAGTGAAATTCAAAAGAAAGAAATGTGAAATTTAGGAGAGAAAATGTTAAATGGAGTAATTAATAATTTACCTAAAGCAAAATAAAAAAAAGTGAATACGAATAAAAAATATGTATTACAAGAACAGAACATTGCAGTGATTTAATATTAAAATAAAATATCCTAAATTTACTAAAACCAAATCTTTTTACTCCAGGACTGAAACCATCTGAATAATTCCAATTGAAGTTTTTTGTTAACCAGAATAAAAAAAACAGAAACATTTTCCCATAAAAACACTTATATTTTTCAAAATCTTTTTATTTGCCATATGTATAAAGGATTTACAGTTTTATCCATTTTATCACTTTTGAATTTACTAAATATTGTACATATTTTAGATCACCTTAATCTACACATTACATTTCTAAACTCTTGACAAAAATTTTGTAAAAACATTTGAGAATAGAAACATGTATAACAAACAAAAATATCCTTTTAAAATATATAATAGTTTGTTGAAAAGGCACTTCCCAGTTTTGCACTATACTCTTAGTGTATTCAAACTATTCGGTGTTACAGTAGAAAAAAATCTATAAGTGAAAATTTTGCTAACAATTTTTCTCTTGCCTTCTAAGTACGTAATGCAAGCTTAGAGACAGGAAGAAAGATCATTTCCTCATTCAGCACTGTTAATACTAGTCATTGAAGACACACACACACACACACACACAAGGAATGGTTTCAGTGCTTGACTATTTTTTGGTTCCAATGTCCGTGCGTTTTACTTCTACGTGAGAGTTCTTCTCGTAGTTCCTGCGAGCTATTTCAAGAAGTTGATCATAGGTCCCTTTACCCGTTTCTTGCAACATATTCTCAAACATTCCACAACCACTTATGCCTGTAAGTAATTCGTATGGTGGAGCAAATTCTACAACTCTTCCTGCATCCATTACTAGCACCCGATCTGAATCCATCACTGTGTTCAGTCGATGAGCAATTGTAAGAACCGTGCAATTGGCAAACATCTCCCTAATAGTAGCCTGAATTAGATTGTCTGTTTGAGGATCAACATTGGCGGTCGCCTCGTCCATCACGAGAATTTTATTCTCGCGCAAAAGTGCTCTAGCAAGGCATACGAGTTGCCTCTGGCCAACACTGAAGTTACTTCCTCCCTCTGAGATTTTGCTTTGAAGCCCAGAAGGTAAATCTACAATTACCGTTTTCAGTTTTACATCCTCCAGTGCCTTCCACAATTTCTCATCCGGATACTCATCAAAAGGATCAAGATTGTAACGCATAGAGCCAGAAAATAGCACTGGTTCTTGCGGAATTATGGAAATTTTCTTTCGTAAATCGTGCAATCCCATCACACCTGTGTCTCGTCCGTCAATCAATATGCTACCATCATTATAAGATAGTCTGAAGAGAGCATTAATCAGGGACGATTTGCCAGCACCTGTTCTGCCTACAATACCAATCTTCTCCTGCGGTTTAATCTCAAATTCTAACTCCTTGAGCACACGATCAGCATCCATAGTGGGAAAGTAGCGCAATGACAGATGATCAAAAATCACTCTTCCTTCCTCTGGCCAACTTTCCTGTGGTTTCTTGTCTCCAAATGCTTCGCGTTCACCTTCAGGATCAACACTCTGATATTCAACAACTCTCTCCACTGCCGTCATTGTATTCTCCAGCTCAGCAGATTGTCTCATTCCCCACTGCACCATTCCCGTCATTCCGATTGCCTGAGTTATGGCAAGGCCGACATTGCCACCATAGGCATCTCCCATGAGGAAGAAACTTAAAGTCACAATAGCTATGTAAAGCACACAGAAGGCATCCAGCCAGAATCCAAAGGCTCTGCTAGTCGATATGAACACATAGAAGGCGGAACTATTGAGATCTTGTAAACAGTCAAACTCCTTTATAAGCACTCTTTGCGTTCGGAAAGCCCGAATAGTAGACAGTCCTGTGAGAGTAGCACCAAGATGAGAGTAAATGGGAGATCGCGCTGAAAAATAAATATAAAAGAAAAAAAAAATTTATAATCTGGAAACATTTAGGTATAACATGACTAATACATACTTGTGGCCTCTATTCTCTTTACACATCTTGAAGTGGTAAGATAAAAATTACGCAGGAAGTAGAAAATTATGCCGATAATGAGAGTGGGTATCATAAGCCAATAATTAACAACAGCAACAACCACTATTATTCCAGCTAGCGATAAGAAAATCTGAAAGATAAAAAAAATACTTTCTTTGTAAAAGGGATTGTCAATTACTATTTAATGAACAAGATTATATTAATGATGGAATATTTTTAATAGTGCAATATGATAAAAATTTTGTGTACTATATTATACAATATATATATATTATATATATATATATATATATATATATAATACATATATATATATATATATATAAATATATATATACATATACATATTATATATATATAATATATATATATACATACATATAATATTATATTATATAATATATATATATGTTATAATTTGTTATATATATTATATATTATATATATAATATATATATGTATATGTTATATATATATCATATATATATATATATATATGTATGTATGTTATATGTAATATTATATATCATATATATATTATATCTATATATATATATGTATATGTGTATATATATATATATGTATATGTTTATATATTATATATATATTGTATATATATATATATATATATGTATATATTATTATATGTGTATATATTATATAATATATATATATATATATATATATATATGTAATATTTACATTTATTTGTATAATTTGCACTTACTTGAATAACATCAATCATAACAGTTGGTAAGAATTCATCCACTTGTCCCATATCTTTAGAGAATCTGTTCAGGATTCTTCCAGATGGATTGGTATTAAAGAAGTACATACTGGCCCTTGTCACACCCATGTACATTGCATTATGTAGAGTTTTAGCAGCCCTCACAGCTAGATTAAAAAAGATGAAACTCCTGGACAGAGTTATTACAACTGTGGCCACAGTAAGACCCGTGAAAATATAGATATCCATGTAATTATCATACTCAGAACCATCGATGTATTTAATAATTTTGGCAATAAATCCATCATAATCTAGAGCTGATGGACTTACTACTGGTTGATTGAGATTTATATTACTTTCATTTGCAACGTTCTTATTTGTGCTCACAAGGGCTAAATTGCGCTGCTCCTCCTTATTCACCCAGTAAGTCAAAAAATAATCACCGGCAGATGCAGCTAGTTGAGCAGTAACACAAAACAACATCATCCAGTAAAAAGCACAGAAGCCACCGCTTGCTTGGAAATATTTCTTATACATTTCAAATCCAACTGAGCCTTCCTTTCGTGCTTCTTCATTCTGTAACGGCGTTTCATGAGTCATCTCCAAAGATTCCAGGCTTGATTCACTAATCCGGCGCTGATATGTCTTACTCCCACTTCTACTACGATTTTCTTCTCCTTCTTCAGCCTTATCTTCTTCTTTTGAATCTCGCAGCAATTGAGCAAAATCCAACCCTGACTCTTTTAGGTTTTCATAAGTTCCGACATCCTGAACACGTCCTTTATCAAGTATAACTATCTGATCTGCATGTTGTAGGTATTGCAGTTGGTGCGTTACAAGAATCACAATCTTCCCACGCAGATAGATTCTCATACATTGGTCAAAAAGGTGTCTTCCAACGTGAGTATCCACAGCACTAAGTGGATCGTCCAGAAGATAGATTGCTGCTTGACGATAAACAGCTCTCGCTAAACTAATACGAGCCTTCTGGCCACCAGACAATGATTGTCCACGTTCGCCCACAATTGTCTTATCTCCATTTGCAAAAAGAGAAAAATCCTTCTCAAGTGCACAACGCTTAACAACTTCTCGGTACCTCTTCTTGTCCATTGACTGACCAAAGAGAATATTTTGACGAATGGTACCAGAAAACAGCCACGGCTCCTGAGAGGCATACGACATTACACCACTAATGTCTATCCTTCCTGATAATGCGGGCAGTTCACCCAAAATAGCCTGTATAAGGCTTGATTTACCAGCGCCAACTGGTCCAATAATAGCTACTAAATTCGACGGTTTAATTTGCAAACTTATATCATCCAATGTATTTTCTGTAACGAGATAATCCCATTTGGCTGTAAGTGATTTTAGTGTAACGCCCACTGGATTCACACTTCCATTCACAGATTGACTCTCTAGACTGGGTTCATACAGAGACTCATGCGAGTCAATATACTTTATGTCGTCATAGCCTGTCGTGACTGTAGATTGCGCACTATTAGGCTCCTTTTCATTTAAGGAAGCATTTGTTTTGCGCGTGATTGGTTCCTCTTGCCCAAGATCAGTCTCATTGTACAGCATGTATTTCTGAATACGTTTTACTGAGACGATTGTTTCTGCCAATTGCGCGATTGCTTGTGGGAAAAATATTGTCATAGTCTGCCTCAAGATATTGTAATACGCAGTGATAACAAATGCTTTCTCCGCAGTCACGACATTTCCCAAGAGAGCAAAAGCAATCAAACTAATGAAGACAGACACACGTGTTGAGAAAATGATGAATGATAGGAGGATTCCTCGAATGTAGGACACGTATCTGATAACTTTAAGCTCCTTTCTGTAATGAGAATGGAGAGAAATATTTCAAGTGGTTTTTTTTTCATCGTTTCACGCAAATTAAAAATAAATTTTTCGTTTTGGCGTAAATATAAAGCTGATTTTTGAAATTAAAAAAAAAAAACGAATACTCACATTCTTGTTCGTTCCACTAATTTTCCAAATGGCTTTTCCCAGGCATACATCTTTATTACTTGAATTCCCTGAATAATTTCATTCATTAGCCTTACGCGTTCGTCTGTTCTGAGGGCAGTTTTCAATCGCAAAACAGAAGTTTTCTTTCCCAAATACGCTTGAAGTGGAATAAATAGGAGTAGAAAAATTACTCCAAAGACTGCAGAAACTCCCACTTCTCTGTACATCAAGTATGTTACGACAAATGTCTCCAGTGGTCCAACCCACAAGTAATGAAGAAAGATAATAGATAAGTCCAAACGGCCGACATCATTAGAAAGCAAATTCACCACTTGACCTACTGTGGTATCGCCTAAAGCGTTTTTGCTCAAGCGTAGCGCTTTCCGGTAGATCATACTGCACATAGAAACTCGTAGTTTCATGCCCTCGTGTAAATTGCTAAGCATAAAGGAGTGCATGAAAAGCACAGACAAGGCACTGCATAGCACTACTGCTCCAGCATAGAGGTATGCATCTCGAGTAACACCATTACTTGATGAGTAATAGGAAATTAATCCACCCAGAAATAATGGTTGGGATACTCTGAAAGAGATGGTAAAAAAACATCAACATCGATCACAATTAGAGATCACACCCATATGAGTTTAATTAGTTTTTATTTATATACATAATGTATGTATATGCTAGAATGAGACTGATTTAATTATCGCTTTTTCATATACTTCAAGCTAAATTAGTAGCAGACAACATTGTACAATTGGAAATCAAGTTGATTCTCTTGCAATATGAAAAGTTTTTTTATAGGGCATGCTCATTTCCTTCTTAGTATGGATTCAATATGGAAATCAGTGTGAATCTTTCAAATATCAAACATTATACATGCATTTTTGTAGATACTAATCTCTTATGTATTTACGTGTAATTCAATCTACTGAAGTGAGTTATCAAATTGCCAAGGAAAAGTGGAGCTTGAAGCCTACATTCATACAAAAAAAACTTTGTCAATAGAGAAAAAGAACTTTATATCGCTGATATTTATAGGAGTAATATAAACACTGATAAGAAACAATAATTACTTACTTGAGTAGGAATTCAATTGCCGCTAGAAATAGTCCAAGGAGCATTATCTTGCCACCAAAAACTCTCAATGCTGCTCTGAGAAGGCTAGGCTTCTTTCCTAACTCCTTTTTCACTCTGATTTCATGTTCCCATGACTTGCACATCAGATCGCCCAAGTAGTCGGATTTGTGACACTTGAGAGCTTCATAAAGATCCTGTTCCTCAAGTTCCTTCTTTCGTCCTTTAAAAAATATTGGCAAAACCCACCTAAAAACAATTCGTTTCGTTATGAATGAAATAATATAATCTGCTTCATCATGACACACAGTTATTCTTCAGCACAAATCGGCAAATAAATATTTGCCCTAGTTAAAACAATGAAATTTCTTCATAATCTTCAAAAAGATGATAATTTTACTACTCACCAGAATACAAGGTAGGAGAAAAAAGTGGCCTTTTCTCGTGGATTTGTTGGCTTCTTATTCTCCGATAGACCCTCCATTGTTTTTTATTCAAATACAACTGAGAAGAAAAAGAGATAAGAAACATTTTATGAACAGTAAAAAGAGCACAGGGTTTTGACCAAATTAGATATGCTGATTTGTTTTATTCCTTCTCCATGAAATTTTTCCTATCAATCATCAATCCCAGATTATGCACAATTTGTCGCTAGACCTTCTCATGACTATAAGCACCAAGAATAATACTTATTCATAAAAAAAAGTTATTCATACTTTTATATAGGGTTTTTGCAGTGATATTGAAACATTTAAAAATGCTTCTTACTATTCATTTTCATGCTTCATATTCATTTTATAACACACACTTTGAATAGTCAAGAATCTAAAAGACATTTCTTTTCATTTGAAAATAATTATCCTAGGGAACTATAAACCGGTGAAAAGTACCCACTGATTACCTCAGAATATTCCAATTCTCAAACAATATGAGCCCAATAAGCAATCATGTTAAATTAAAAGGTATTGTGCAATCTCATTTGTATGTATTCCAAATTATGGTCTCAATTCAACGTACTTGAAACGTCTACATGGTTTCCAATTGTTGTGCAAGGGATAAAATGTTATCACGATATTGTGTGATTTCCGCGATAAGTGTCAAATTTAGAAGATTACGGAGTTTTTTGAAAGTGCGATAATGTGCTTGATTTGTTAACAAGCAATTACAGATAATGACAACTGTATTTCGTCTCCATTTTCACAATTTTACGCCACTTCTCGGGAAATCATCGTGAATTGCTAAAACTGTGTTGTTAAAGGTAAATTTTTCCCTGATTTCAATACGGAGATGAGAATTGTCGATCAAATTAACCAATAAAATTGCAAGTGAAAACAATTGGGGCATAGCGGTTGATTTTTTTTTAACCTGCTGAACTCACAGATTCAAGAATGATTCTGAATTCACATATTGTGCCACAGATAAGCGTGATAATATGCAGATATCACAATATAAATAAGTACAATAACCGAGATAATAACGGAATATCTTTTATGATTTCATAACAATAGAACCATCGCATTAATATTACCTCACTTCTAGCTCACCACTATATTGAACCCTTTCTCGTGAAACACGTTTTGTATCAAAATGCTCACCAGTCTCTGTTATAGCACACTCTGTGACAAAGGCACTCAACACTGGACTATTTATCAAGCACTACGCATTATATTTCAATCACTATACAATCCTTTTCTTCCACGAGAAGCAACTCTGACGAATTCACTTGCACCACTGTACCTAAATGAGGGTCGAAACAGATCTGTCAAAATGTGCGGCACAAATTCAAGCAGTTAGCGCAATTCACGCAATTTGCTCAATATTGGAACAGGAGAGGCTTCTAATTGGCAAGGAAAAGGTAACATTTATTGCATTTATTCGTATTGCTACGTTTAAAAGGTACAACTACAAATTGTTGATCAAATAGTGGACGGTAAACTGTAGTCATCTGTGAAGTTATCTGTGAAATCTATAGAATTGTTTTTGCAGTTTTGAATAAATCATTATAAACAGAGAGAGAGCGAGAGAGAGTAATATCAGCAAAATACGAAAATATCCCTATGAGAGCTTTAGTTCATGACAACTGTACTTGCCACAGTGTGTGCACCTATCAAATGCAAATGAAGTGAGTAAGGACTAATTTATTTGGATAGCAACAGTATTATAGTGCTCTGAGGACCATGAAAAACAATTATGTAAATCTCCACATGTGATTCGTTGGTGATAATGTTGAGAGAAAAAGCTCTTCATGTCTCTACTGGGGTGAACATTAGGAATACCAAAACGACCAAAACACACATTCAAAATAGTACCATACAATTTTTCCATGCTATTTTTGAAAACTCGTTTTTCTGGCAACACAATCTTAAAGCATTATGATATTTTCGAGTATATTTACCAGACATTTGACATCGTTGCTTCATTATCTCCCTGCGAGTCGAACAATCAGTACGGAAATTTAACTTTTTTTATTTCGAGCTTCAAGAGCGTACAGTGTGAAAAATGATATTACTATTTCTGGCTTCTATTACCGTGATCACGATTATCTACTACATCATCAACATAGTACTATGGATCACGCTCGATTGTGATGTGGAGTTATTTGTTAAGAGCAAATTTGGAAAGAAATTATGTAAGTATCGAAGGTATTTTAAGAAAAAAAACGAAATTAACGGAAACGGCCTAAAAAAATATGATATTGATGTATTGTGTTTGACTGAGTCATATGAGTGGATATGAGCCTTCTGGTAATACCTTTTCCTTTCTAAAATCATTAAAAATAATATAATAAGTCTAAATTTGAATTGTAATTTGTAAAATGATTTTAACGTGTGTTTTTCGTAATTTTTTTTTCCTCTCATACAGCAACTCTGAGCGGCAAAGTTGTGTGGATTACAGGAGCTTCATCTGGAATTGGCCAGAGCCTTGCTCATATCCTTGCTGCCAATGGATCGAAATTAGTTCTCACGGCGAGACGTGTACCCGAACTAGAGAAAGTTAAAGAGCAATGTCTCATCATTTCTGGTGGAAAACTCAAAGAGAGAGATATACTAATCATGCAGATGGATATGCTAGAGATTAACCGGCATGAGGAATTTTTCCAGCGAGTTATAAAACATTTTGGTACATTCAATATTCTTGTGAATAATGCTGGAAGGTCCCAGAGAGCAGCGTGGGAAGAAATTGATCTTTCAGTAGATCGAGCGCTCTTTGATCTTGATGTCTTCAGTGCGGTAAATCTTTCCAGGTATTATCAGAATAATATTTGTAGGATTTTCAATGTAAACCACGTTACAATCAATTCTATCAGGATGGCTGTAAAATATTTCTTGAACAACGGAATCGAAGGACAGATTGCTGCAAATTCTAGTGTGGCAGGTCTAATGGCAATCCCCAATTCGGCCACTTATGTTGCCGCCAAACACGCTATTAACGGCTACATGCACGCTTTGAAGCTGGAGCACCCCTATATCAAGACATCAATTTTCTGTGCTGGGCCAACATTCTCAGAATTCTTACATGAAGCATTTACAAACAAGGTGGGTGAGAAATATGGACAATCAGTAAAAGCATCGGACAAGAGATTGACTGCTGAGAGATGTGCGGAACTTTTTGCTGTGGCTTTGGCCAATGGGACCAATCTTAATTGGGCTGGGTGCTTTCCTTTCTCTTTTCTCCTTTATTTGAAGTACTATCCTAATCTGTATAATATCGTGATAAAACTACTTGGCTCCAAGACTCTCTACAAAATTCGCGACAGCAAGTGAGACTTTGATTACCTCATCCCAAAACAGAACCAGAAATCTCATTTTTATGCATTTAACCAGTTGTTTAACGATCTTAAGCAAATAAATATTATCTTTCCCAAAATCAGCTCCAATAATCGTGATTGTCACGCATCTTTTTTTACATCATATCAAAAATGAAAACATTCATGATTTAAGATTCAAGATCACGATCGTGACTACATATGTGGGTATATAGTCCAACACACCTACAAGGCAATCACGGACAGCACTCACACAAGTAGAAAAATTTTCTCTGTTGGATGATAAGGTGTATTTGTTCAGTAGTGTTGAGAACTTGTCAGCGCTTCAAGTGACCGTAATATCTGGATAGAAAGGTGGAATTAAATTATGGGATTTTTCGCATTTATCGGAGTCGTAGTAGTCCTTTACTATCTTGTTAATGTGATCCTCTGGTGCCTCCTTGACTCTGACATTGAACTCTTTGTTCGTAGCCTTGTGGGCAGAAGAATATGTAAGTATTTCATTACAAAATTACACCATTTCTTCACTTTCTTATCAACTCCATTAATTTCTATCTAAAAGCCTCTCTGTCTGGAAATGTTGTATGGATTACGGGAGCCTCATCAGGAATTGGAAAACATTTGGCCATCGAATTGGCCAAGAATGGTGTGAAATTGGTGCTTTCTGCTCGCCGCGGAGCTGAGCTTGAAAGTGTCAAACGAGAATGCCTCACACTATCCAATGGAAAACTGCAACCTATTGATATTCTTGTCATGCAAATGGATATGCTAGAAATTTCACGGCATCAACAGTTCTTTGATCACGTTCTCCAACACTTTGGACGCTTGGACATACTCGTGAACAACGCTGGCCGGTCACAACGAGCCAACTGGGAGGATATTACAATCAAAGTGGATCAGGATCTCTTCCAATTAGATGTCTTTAGCGTAGTTAATCTCTCAAGGTTTCTCTGATCATCAGTTAAAAAAGTAATTTGTTTTCTAACCTATGGATTGATTTTTAGGATTGCTGTGAGGTATTTCAAAGGAGCCAACTTGAAGGGACATATTGCAGTCACTTCTAGTACTGCTGGGCTGATTCCTGTGCCTAATTCTGCAAGCTACACTGGTGCAAAGCATGCAGTTCACGGTTATTTTGGCGCTTTACAGACTGAACATCCTGATTTAGATGTTACGATCTTTTGTCCAGGGCCCACGTTTTCTGAATTCCTCCAAGAAGCCTTCACCGATCGTGATGGCATGAAATATGGGCAATCTGTGCGTCCCACGGACAAGAGAATGACCGCAGAGCGATGTGGCCGTCTCTTCGCCATAGCTCTTGCCAACAAACTGCACATCAACTGGGTCGGTCGTTTTCCTATTTCCCTTCTAATTTATATATGCTTATATTTTCCTAACATTCGAGTTCTCGTTGTGAAATACATCAGCCTCAGTGGCCTGAAAAAGTTAAGAGATAGCAATTAGCCATAAAAATTTTGGTCAACTACAACTGCATATATTCTTTATTATGGTCAGCGTTATTTACGTATGTATGTATGTATATATGTACGTAATATTAAATCTATTTTTATTATATATAAAATATTTTCATATCAGTCATGTCTACGCAAAAATGATATACCTAATATCAAGCAATTGATTCACAAAGAAACATCTTTTCCAAGGCAAAGTGTACAAATGTATCTCTACACCGCATGTGGAGCCACTTTCGCTGATTTTTTGACCGATTTAGTCAAGCATCGGTCACACCGGGTTACGCAGTCCGAAATTCAATAACTTCAGTGTTAGATACCAGGTGCGCTGCTTTCGCGTCGCATTAAAATAAAGAAGAAGAAGCATTCATTTATAAGTCAATTTATTAGTAATTCCTGGAACAATTTTTAATTTTCACACTGTGACGAGCGATATGTCAAAGACTGTGCGAACTTGTGTTTATGGCCGGCGACCTCCGTGTTACATACTCAGTCGGATTGAAGAAAGAAAGGCCAAAGCAAGAATACTTCGGTACATGAGAAATATACAACCAACCTATGGTATTGATTTTTCTTACAAAATACGCAATAATTTGTAATTTCAGGCAGGAGCGTAGACGAAAACCTGATAAACCTGATGATTTCGTGACATACGAGGATTCAGACAGTGAAGAGGAAACTCCACAACAGCAGAATGAGATCCTGAACACCTCGTACAACTTTGTTGACTACGTTCGCAGTCGCGAATCAGATTTCCGGGAGGTAGACTTGTTTTGATTTTGATACCTGTGATTTCCGGGAGTGATTTCAGATACGATTAAATGTTTTTTAGGAACGTAATATTTGCCAATCGTACGCCAGCCGTCACATTCTTACTCACGATATGTTTAAGGAGACTCCAATTTCTCTAGGCAACATCAACAAAGTGTTCTGCTCTCAATGGTTGAGCAATAGACAAGTGGTGTTTGGAACAAAATGCAATAAGGTATTTTTGTGTGCAATTAAAGGGTAAATAATTAAAACGAAAAATGACATGATTTTTGTTTTGCAGCTCATGGTTTATGATGTAAATATGCGACGTGTGGATGCTATCCCTACACTACCAAATAATCGTAGTAACAATCCGGACACTCAGCACGGAATTCACGCAGCCCAGATAAACCCTAGTCGAACACTTCTAGCCACTGGGGCTCGTCACTCTGCTGACATCGCCATTTACCATTTGCCTACACTGGATCCCGTCTGCATTGGAGAGAATGGTCATAGAGACTGGGTGTTCGATATGTGCTGGCTTGATGACCAGTTTCTTGTATCGGGCTCTAAAGATACGAAGATTGCTCTGTGGCGTATCAATGAAGAACTTATAGACTTTCCTCGCGATAGTGGCGAGGATGAGGAACAGACATGTCCCTCATACGGCCATATTGTTCCTGTAGCTGTAAAGGAGTGTCGTACGGCTCAAAGAATTCGTTCACTATGCTTTAATCAGGAGTATAAGGAGATTGCCGTGCTTTCTCTTAACAGTTATATACATCTCTTTAATGCTGAGACTTTCTCGCAGAAACTCTCACGGAAATTACCTAATTGTCAAGACAATGTTTGCATAGCGTGCCAACCCCACGGATTATACGCCGTTGGATGTCGCTCATACACACTGCTGCTGGATCCACGGACTCTACAAGCAGTGAAAAAAATCGCTTCGCGTTACAGTGGATGTGGAATTCGCTCAGCTAGCTTTCAGGAAAACATTCTCACGGTGGGCACGGGTCTAGGAATGCTAATGTTCTATGATATTAGAGCTGGAAAATACTTGGAAAGTAGTATTAATTCATCGAGAACTGTAGTCTTAAAAGCCAGTAAAGGCTATGTGGTACGTACCGAATTATTTATTTTTTATAAAATGATTTTCTAAGAAATTTGCTCACCTTTTTGTAGTTTCCTGAAGAAGAAATGGACGGGTTTCAGCAGATAAAGTATGTGCCGGCAATTTACACTCATTGCTACGATTCGAGTGGTACGAGACTTTTTGCTGCCGGGGGCCCACTGCCGGCGAACTTGGTGGGAAATTACGCAGGGATCTGGCAATAAGGTAAATTAGATGAGATATGAAAAGGATTTAAAAAGACGTATGTATGCTATTAAAACGGTGTAGCACATAAAAATTATATAATGCTGTAACTTAATGTATTTTTGATTGTTTCATACTTTTTTTGTATAATGAAGAAATTATCAAAAATCGAAAATGTTATAGATAAAAATTTGATTATAATTACAATTAGAAATAATACATATTTCATGAGAAAATCTTACAAGAAACGGAATAATGGATTTCAAATAAATTATAAGCCGTGTGCAAGCACACATCATAAGTATAATTATCGTAATGATAAATAAATATATATAAAATACTCGTGAAATTCTCCAAAATGCAACCAACATGTCTAATAATTGATTTCCCCTACTGAGCAATTTTGCGAGAAAGTAAAACGGAAATGAGTTTGACGCTGCGAGAAAATTTAGTACAAAAGATGTGATTGTATATCGAATGCAATTATTGATAATAAGATCAGAATATCTCGTAAAATGACGTTTTAAGTATACTTTTCTGCGTAAAAAGTGTCATGTGATATGGGCAGAGGTGCTGAGGTCATACACATACTGCAGAAATTCTGGAAAATGATGGACTTTTATTGATTTTTGTTGAGAAATGGAAAAAATATTGGACTACATGAAAATCTGCTAGAAAAGCGTCATGAATGAAAATGGCTGACACTGCCGCTTTTATCGTGGACAAATTGAACGCTAATATTTTCAGTGTTATTGCACAAGTGATTCAAATCAATTTATAGATAAGTGCACTATTCTGATAAGAGTATTTATTCATATAAAAGTTATAAGTAAGGTGCGTGCGAGTGATGTACAATATGTGAATATATTGTCTATCAAATTTTATGCCTTGGCGACAAATTTTTACACGTCTGATGTCTGCTATTACTTTTGCAGAGTCTACTCGTTGGCATCTCCACAGAATGTCTGACAGTGAGAGTGAGTCAGATTGTCTAAAGATTACACGGAAACGGAGGAGGAGCTGCAGAGAGTCACGAAGAAGAGTGACCAATATATGCAGGTCAACCTCGGAGTCTTACCTCATCCGGAAAGACACTGCGAATGAAGAGAATGATTTTAATAGTGGTCATTCACTTTCATTGAGTCCCGATAGTAAGAGTGGTGGGTATGATAACAAGCCTATCTGTTCTCCGACTGGTGAGATGCCCAATAATATGGATGAGAGCTCTATGGAGAGCAATTCAAGTTCAGAGAAGTGTCCTATTTGTTTTCATGCTTTCAAGAATCAGCGCATTGGAATCCCCAATTCGTGCACACACATGTATTGTGCTAAGTGTATTATGGATTGGTCTCAAGACGTGTGGACATGCCCGATAGATCGTTTATCTTTCTCAAGCATCAGTGTTCTTGAGAATATTAAATCATTTTTGGTAGTCGCTGAGATTCCTATTAATTCTGAAAAGTCAGACACGAAGAATGCTCAAAATTCGTCAGACTATGAGATGCCTATCGTTCAAAACATCCTCAGAGCTAGATCAAATTCTAAAGACATGAATGAAGACTCTATTCAAGGTATGTCAAGTGGCGAAAAATGTACTATTTGCTTCTCTACCTTCAAAGATCAGGAAATTGGGATTCCGAACTCATGTAATCACAGATATTGTGGAAAGTGTATTGAAGAATGGTCAAATACCGTGCGAACTTGCCCAATAGATCGTCAGCCATTCACTTTAATAATTATTATGGAGAACAATAGGTCGGAAAACAAGATTAGAGAAATTTCCGTATCAGAGAATCCTGTGGAGATTGTAGAGACAGATGAGGAGGGACATACCATAATTGACGATGAGATTTATTGTATGGAGTGCAATCATTCCAATAATGAGGAGACAATGTTATTGTGTGACAGCTGTAATAGAGGATATCATATGGCATGCTTGTGTCCGCCTTTTACGGAAGTACCCACTGGAGATTGGTTTTGTGACACCTGTAGCAATAGTACTGATCTGGAGGCACTCTTTCAGCAGAGACAGACACGTAGGAATAGGACAAGACGTGTTAGATCCAGACAATATCAACGCACAAGATCGCGAAGAACATGCAGAATCCCAATAAGATCCCTTCTTTCAAATTTACGTCGAAATTCTAGTGCGGCTGCTGTGTCAGTGGCTGAAAATGAGGAAAATTATACCGGAAAATCAAGTATGTGGGAGCGACATCGGGCAGAAGTACCGTCACTCTCTTTATTTGGTATGAGAAATCAATTGGATTACTTTTTAAGTGAGGATGAAAGTGACCATGAAAATATTGCCACAAGAAATAGTGGGTCTGTGGGTCTTATGGTAGCACCCAGTCGTTCTCGTACATCCACAATGTCTTCACTGTACAATCGCAAAGGCATTCTAAATAGTATTCTGACACCATCCGAGCCATCATCAGTGGATCTGTTGTCCGACATTATCAACGATCAAGAAATGTGGCACAATCTTAGTAGGAGGAACGATACGAAAAATGTGAGGATTAGCACTGATGGAAGTCTGGATTTCAGTGATATTGTAAAGAGTAGAAAACATTCGGACAATAATAAGGACATTCTACCAAGCACTCACGCCCCCATGTATCCACGTGGTGGTAGGGGAACTGGAGGATTTTACAATATCCATCGCCAAGGTGGTAATCGAGAGGGTGGTGTTGGAAATTTTCGCAATAATTACAGTGGGAATTACCAGGGAAATTATTTGAACACAAATTACAACAATCATTTCAACCGAGAGAATTCTTCAAATTATGGAAACTTTCAAGGATCTGCCCCAGGTGGACATGGTAGGAGAGAGAATTTTCCAAATTCTTTCCAACCATTCCAATTTCGTAACAACAATCAGCGTGGACGGCAGCAGTTCCCATTAAGATCTCGAGGACAAGGATTCACGCCAAATCGATTCAACCAAAGGAATCAAGCTAGAGACAATTTTGAAAGTTTTGATAATCATGCCATGCTCGACAACATACCCACGGGTGATATAGATATGAACTTATCAGGCATAAGTGGTGTGAACAGAATTGAAAATGATGAGCTTACAAATGTACATAATCTTGATGCTATAGTTGGACACTCAAACGTGAGTTCTCTAATGAATGTAAACAGCAATAAAGAGGATGCCACGTCCATTGGTAAGTCGATAAAATATCACGCTTCATATATATATATATTATATATATATATATAATATATATATATATTATATATATATATATATATATATATATATAATATATATATATATATATATATATATACATATATATATATAATAATTTATATATATTTTATATATATATATATATATATACTCCTTATTATATATATATATGTATATATATAAAGGTGCGTTTCTTTACTTCACTTTCTTTACTTATCTGTCGTGCCGATAATTTGTTATGATAGAAGCTTCATGTATATATATATATATATATAAGGAGTATATATATACTCCTTATTTATTATATATATATATATATATATATATAATAATTATATAAATATATATATATATAAAGGTGCGTTTCTTTACTTCACTTTCTTTACTTTTCTGTCGTGCCGATAATTTGTTATGATAGAAGCTTCATATATATATATTATATATATATATATAATATATATATATTATATATATATATATATATCTTTATACACACACACACACACATATAATATAATATATATATATATATATATATAATAATATTTATACACACACATACACACACATATATATATATATATATATATATATATAAAGGTGCGTTTCTTTACTTCACTTTCTTTACTTATCTGTCGTGCCGATAATTTGTTTATTCTTAATGTATATATATATATATATATAAGGAGTATATATATACTCCTTATTTATTATATATATATATATATATATATATAATAATTATATAAATATATATATATATAAAGGTGCGTTTCTTTACTTCACTTTCTTTACTTTTCTGTCGTGCCGATAATTTGTTATGATAGAAGCTTCATATATATATATATATATATATATATATATATATATATTTAAATGAATTTTTAAAATTAAACTTTGTTTAGTATTCAAACAGTTTTGATGCAGATATAAGTACTATATTCAAAGCACTAATTGGTCCACTAAAAATACGTCCGTAAATATTTTACAGAGTTTCCTTTTCCTATTTTAGTAAAATTTAGAGAAGTTGACAGAAATTGAGAGCAACTACTGCTAAGGCACATATTTATTTGATATATTATTTTTGTATTTAACCACACAATATTACAAATTTCATTTTTGTTATCACTATTTCTTTCAGAAACTATCCCAACAGAAAATTCTCAACGCAATCTTGATACCAGCCGTCATCAGTATCGAGATGAATATAATAATACAACTCAGAATGATGAAGATCAAGCCTATGCAGAGTTTAATTACCCTAATGTGACGCCATTACTGCAATCAGAGACCATGCCTGAGATAAACCCAAGATACGACGATATTGACGATGATTGTCCAAACTTTAGCGTCTACTCTACTCAAGCAATGATGTTAGCCAACAATGTTCACAAACCCAACAATCAGGATAATTTAATAAGTAATGTTGCAAACTGTGAAGATAATGAAGAAGATCTGGTTCAGATGGATGATAATGATGAGAATTTTGAAAAGGAGAAACCAAATCCTTCCATCTTGAGCAAAAACAGTAATTCTTCAGAGCAAAATATTACAGATGATGGAGAAATGATTATTTCTCTATCCAGCAATGTAGTCGTAAATGATCTTTGTGATTTGGAAAATATTCCTATGCCAGAATCTGATTTGCAAAGCATCCCTATTCCTAGTGAGAAGCCTATTTGTGAATCTACAAACACCAACAATGCTCTAGTACGAAGAGAAAAAAAGAACGTTCTTGAGTTGTATGATGACAGTGACTGGGAAGAGTTGAATTTAATTAAAACAAATAATGATAGGCCAGCCTTTACGGAAAATATTCATGTTGTTCAGACTGTAACAGAGCAAAATGAAACAGCAGGAGAACTCATTAACAATATTGAGGAACATGATACGCGAAGTTATACACCTTGCCTTGACGAGAAGAGTCAATTACATGAAAATACAGAAAAAGAAGAAGATGATGGTGACACTATTGATATCAATGCTCATCCAATGGATGCTGGAGGAATTGGTGGGATGGAAACTGAAATGATCTCTGATGAGGATTGTGTGCTTAATAATGGAAATATGATGGGAATTAAAGTTCCGAGCGGAGACAAAGACGAAATAGATCCTTCAAAGAAGACAGACTCAAATGAAAAAGAGAAAAGAATAGTGAAATGCAAAAGTCAAAAGTCTAAGGAGTTTAAAAAGTTAAGCAGAAATAATCGTGACAGAAATTACCGTGATAGGGAGAGAGGACGAAACAGAAGTAGATCAAGATCATATTCTAACGGCAATGAGATTAACCGCAGAGGCAGCTTTTCAAAGCGGAAAGATAAGAGGAAAGATATGGTAAGATACGACGTACGAAATGTGGTTGAAGATCGCTGGCAACGCAGATCACGAAAGGATCAATATGGAAGAGATACATCCAGACACAGAAGTCTTTCATCAACATCGCCCAGGAGATATTCCTATTCTAGATCTGTATCCAGAACATCTTCGCGACGACTGTCAAAGTCTTCATCACGATCACCACATCGGTCTAAGTCTCGAGAACATCAGCCGTATAGATCACGTCACTCATCTTCTAGAAATCGTCAAAAAAGGCGTTCATTATCGCGTACAGGATCACCACTGCGACGTCGATCATCCTCACGAAAAAGATCTTTCTCACATAAAAGATCAATATCACCTATTCGAAAGCGAAATAGGTCATATGATAGGTCTCCGAGTCCTTCCAGATCTACCGCAGTTGCAGTATCGTTTAATCATAGACGCTCTAAGTCGCATCGAGTTTCACCAAAGGGACTTGAATTTTCACCAAATCGCGAACGTGTGAAGCCTCAGAAACGTAGAAAAGGTACAAAAGAAGGACGACTGAAAGCAAAAAAGAATAAGAAGAAACATCCAACAACTGATACACAAATAACTCCTCCGAGAGATGAGCTTAAGAGAACGTGTAGCAATGTGGACAGTTCAAAACCATCGAAGAAGACAAAAAAGAATGGCTCAAGATCACGATCAAAGTCATGGAATGTTGAAGAAAATCGTGCTGTCTCGTTTTCAATGAGTCCTCCTCCGCGTGAGAATTTCGAAAATGAACCAATTTCATGGACACCACCACTGAGACAGAATGATATTCCATTATGTGGGGAATTTACTTCTCAAACTCAACTAAAAGAGACGGATTCTAAAAGTCGAAAAAAAGAGAAAAAGCGGAATAAACAAGACAAAAAACGCGGCGATGCGTGGGAGAGACGTTTAAAAAGGGGAGAGAAGCAATCAGCATCTAAAGAAGTATTCGCTTCCGGTAATAACATCCTAGTAAGTGTAAGTTTTAACAATGACGATGCACAAGTAGCACCACAACAGACAACTATTGTGACACTTCCGCCAACAAAGCATGGCCTTTTACAGAAGAGACGGTCAGATCGTGCTGAAGGTGGTGCAAAGAAATCGCGCAGAGACAAATCAAAGCATTCTGGCTCAAAAGGACGAAAAAGGAAAGTGGATTCAAAACCTGTAGCGATAATTGATCTGGATAAATCACCATTTAAGGAAATAACCCCCTCACCGAAAGCTGTGATTGTCTTGAGTGATAGTGATGGAGGAGATGATGAGGAAAAAAATAAAAGTGGTGGGACAACGCGAATGAATTTACGAGTTGATCTGGACGACTTGGATTCGAGGACAGACAGTGGAACTGAAAGGAGAGAGCATGTATCTCAACCACAATCTCCTAACCCTGAAACGAATGATACTTTTATGATACAGACATTGGGGCCAAAAACACCACCAGAGCCTGAACACGTGAAGTTTACTCTAAAGCTGAAGAACAAGACAAGGAGCACGAGACCCAATGTATTAGCTGATGAGGAAGAAGAAGATATACCTAGTGAACCGGAGGAGAGTCAACGGAACAACAGTACAGAGAGTGTTAGTAAAATTGGTCCAAACACTCCACCAGAACCAGCACCATGTTCACCAGATGCGTATGATCCTTTTGAGCCAACAAAATCACCTTCACAGTCAAGATCTCCTATAGTAGAAGCAGCCAATACTGAGGTTGCAAATCAGGAAACACTCGATAGCAATGTACAATCCCAGGGATCTGAAGGTCAAGATATGAGTGATATATCGGTAAAACATGTAAGCACAGTTGAAAAAGTTATGAATCCTGTGGACTTGGTAATGGCTCTCATGAATTCAACAACATCACATCCAAATATTTCCACCGAAAATTCTAACACTACTACGGAGAGTAAGCAAAATACGAGAATTTCGGCCTCGCCACAAGAACAGCCTGAAGAGATCATGCCTCTAAAGCCATCAAGCAGTGGCATAACTATCATCAGTAATGTCCTTATTCAGCCATCAAAAAATACCACCACAGTAGTACCGACAGTCACTTCATCATCAATGACAAACAGTCTTATTATGCCACAGACCCAGATACAAACTGAGGAGAAAAGTCCAGCTAAACTCTCTATCGTTACTTCGAGTGCAGGAATGAAACCTATATCAATGAAGACACCAGCTATCTTTTCCAAGGCATCATCTGCCAGTCTTATCTCCAAATTGCCGCTCCCAAAAGTTGGGAACACCAGTCAACTTGGGACCCGGTACAATGGAGATCAGGACATAATTGAGATGGATTCTCCATATTCTCCAGCATCAAGTGACTTTGACGGCCTCTTTGATCCACCATCAGATCAAATGAATCGACCAAATTTATCGCGAAGTAGCAACACTTCCGCTAGTCAGCCCACACAGAGAGTGTCTCCTACAAAAGGAGCTAAGTCTGCTACATCAGATATATTTGACACACTCTTTGGTGCAATTTCTCCCGCAGGAGCAAATACAACCAGTCGCAGTCAACAAAAGTCTAAATTGACGAAAACAATCATACGAAGTCAATCAAAGCGAACTGCAATCAAAGGTAATCAATCATATGTGTGTGTGGGTGTGTATATTTCTTAAATAACATGAGGTAAACTTACTCAACAAAACAAAATTTAAGAATAACAATATTAGTCCTTTTTGAGAATGTGTTAATAAAACTCATCTCTCTTTCTTAAAGAACGATTCATGCACTTAACAATCATACCAATATTTGTGTAGGGAAATAGTGTAATTACATAAATATGGTATTTCAGTTTTAAAAATGTAGATTGTTGTTTTTGTCACAGGTAGTAAAGTTTCCACTCCTATTGGACTCGATGAAACTGCCATGCGGATCGTCGATGAAGTTCCAGGTTCAGCAGTGGAGTTACATGTAAAGGATAAGGTTACAATTAATTGGTGTTTGATGATGAGATTTATTAATTTTTTTTCCCTGAACAGTTCCTCAGAAAGCTGAATCGGCAGGAGCGTGTAGTTGAAGAAGTAAAATTGGTGCTGAAGCCTCATTATAATAAGAAACACATTACCAAAGATGAGTACAAGGATATACTGCGAAAAGCTGTTCCGAAGGTAATAATTGCACCCTATTTCTCCTACTTAATTTTTTTAATACTGTACAATTTCATGTAGATTTGTCACAGTCGCACAGGCGAGATAAATCCTCAGAAAATTCAAGCTCTCATCGAGGCATATGTGAGAAAGTTTCGCATTAAAAGAAAATTATCTGGAAGTCAAACAGGTGGTTCTAGTGGATCCAAGTGAGTCATTTATACATTTTAAATAGAAAAGAGACATTTATTTTTACACTTAATATATTTTGTGTATTACTTTCATTTCTTTTTGTCTGTTTGTATTGAATATTGGAAAATTTATTGCAGAAGCACTAAACCTTTATGGGCATAAAGTTCAGCAAAACTCCGTATGTAACCAATATTGAGAAAAAGAGCTATGTTAAATAATATACTTAGATGTAGAAAAAATAAGGTAGCCAGTTTTTGTGCTTCAATGTGTTGTATTAGACCAAGATTACATGAGAATATGTATATTCATGTAATATTACATTGAATTAAACGAGTTTATTTATAATTTAATATATTTAGCCAATTAGTTTATAAAAAGATTTAGTGTATTTTCGGCTTATGTAAAATAAACGAAAAGAACAGATATTTACTATTTTACCTTTGTTTCCTCAGTTTAAATTGCAGTTTGATATCGACAAGAATATCGACAAGCATGTGTGTGTGTGTGTGTGTGTGTACGCGCTCGGGTCTCCTATTATGAGCAAATTGAGCAAACTACTAGAATTGTACAGGAAGGTGATAAAAATAGGGTTATGTTAATATTGCTGTCAAAAGTGGCGAGAGCAGATTGTAATAATGCTAAACTCATTGAAAATTGGTAAGTAAACCAATTAATAATGTGTAATTAATCGAGAAAGAATGTGCACTTTTATTTCCATCTTATTATAGACAAACTTTTTAATATTGATTTATTTTCTAGGAAGAAGCTTGACGAATGCGTCGAAAATTCAATGCAGAAATCTATCGACTATTGCGGCATTTCCACATCAAAAGTCAAATGAAGCTAGTGACGCAAACACAAGGATGAGTAAGAGAGCTTGTATTGGTGGAAAAGAAGATTAGTTTTTAATAGTCGTGATGTTTACAGACTTCATCAATCCGCTGTCATACCAGGATTACTTCAGTGTTCATAACCTATTCACAGTGCAAGATTTACTCAATGCCAGAGTTCACTATGGGCATAAAATTGGCTCTTTGAATGAATGTATGAAACCCTATATCTACGGAGCGCGGTTGGGTCATCTTATTTTTGATCTAGACCAAACAGCACAACATCTGCGAGAAGCTCTAAATTTTACTGCTCATGTTGCGTATAGTGATGGCCTGATACTTTTTCTGTACCGAGGAGCTATGAATGCACATCTAGTGGAGAAGACGGCTTTAGAGTGCGGCGAGTATTCGCATACACGGTACTGGCGTGGAGGTGTATTCACTAATGCAAGTGTCCAATTTAAAGCAGTCACAAGGCTCCCGGATCTTTGCATCTTCCTCAATACGCTTAACAATGTAATGAATCAACACACAGCAATTCGGGATTCTGCAAAAATGTCCATCCCAACTATTGGAATCGTTGATACGAATTGTAATCCGAATTTTATCACATACCCAGTGCCGGGAAACGATGACTCTCCGGTTGCAATCGAGTTATATTGTAGAGTATTCAAGGAGGCTATATTGCGTGGCAAGGAGAAAAGAAAAAATCATCTTGAAATACTCAAGCAACAGAAAATCGAAGAATAAAGTGTGTATGTTGCTGTGAAATATAAGCTGATAATAATTAGTGCATTCAATAAAGAAATGAAGATAAATGATCTATTTTCCGAACAGAGTTAACCCAAATAATTCTTTTTTGCTAGTTTTATATATTTTAGCGTATTTTTTATTTCTCCGCGCAAGTATTTTTGCACAAACACGTAACCAGCAATAGAAATGTCAGTGAGTGAGTATAGAAAATATAGACGATTTATTGAAAATAATTATGATTTTTACCAGGTGACTTTTGGGTAGTATGAATGCCTGGCACCTGCTGATATTGGTGAAGATAATGGCGCGTTTCGCACGGTGTGTATTATCAGCCAATCGGCTGAGTTCTGAGGAGGAATCCCACAAATGTGCTTGGCAAATTATTGCGAGTCTTCGACTTGTAATAATTATAGTTTATGAAATTATGGAAAATATGTAGTGACAGTAAAATATTTCTTTTTTGAGTTTAAAAATTACATTCGCTATTAAAATTTATAAAAACGTTATTAAGATTTAAATTTTTTGATGGTAAAAAAATAAAAGTGAATGCGTGTGTTCATAAAATTTTCCTCTTTTTTAAAAAATAATTGTATCTCTGTGGATAAAGTTTTCTTTAAACACATTGTAAAAAGTACAATTCATGTAAAATGATTAGAATTTATCAGTTATTAGGTTATAAGTCAGAAGCATTGTATTTCTTCGACTAAATAGTTTAAATTTACGAGAATATACACATACAACATAATTATAATTTATTTATAATTGATTATAATAAGAATAGTTTGATTTAAAATATATTACTTAAAAACGCTAAACCTATCTTATACAACATTTAATTTTTCTAACACTAACTTAACTCTTTATTACAGAAATCATATATAAACACATATTATTATATATATGGTATATGTATGGATAGATTATTTCTCATGCTGTGATGTCTATGCAAGGCTTCTGCGCGTCTAAAATTTTAAATGCTACCACAGTGGCATGGTCGAGTTTACCAGGAAGAGATTGAAAATTACTACTTTCGACAATCCTTCGTCTCGCGGTTCTTTGTTGCCGTTTATTCATTACTTCTTCTCTCCTAATGCCATGCTCATCCGGCACAATTTTTACATAGCTCTCACGCTGCTCCAGAAGTTTTCTCTTAGCAGCAGTTATCATTGTGGCAAAATCCACGAGTAACAAACACAATTTTTTAGCTGATGTACAAGAATTTGAAGTTCCATTGATACCATAATTTAGAAGATCCTCTAATCGGAGTAACGTTAATTTATAACGTTGTACTCCCGTAACCAGAGGAAGTCCAGATGTAGCTTTAGGAAACATAATTACTGGTTCAGGAGACAATGTTTTCGTGATGTTTCGCTGACTTCGTGATTCAATCACCGTGTAAGAACGCATGTATTTAGGACGAGTTGACGAATTCTTCTGAATATTTGGTTTCTCCGAAATTTGTTTGGCAGCTGCCTTTGTACGTGGTGGTAGTATTGCTTGATCCAGATGTCTAGAAGTTGATGCGGTTACAGAATTATTTTCTACTTTCGTGTAACCACTACCACAATGTTTTGCGGATGAAATTATATTATTGCTTTTGCTATCATGCACAGCAGTAAGGCGCTCATGACGTGTAGTGTGAATAGCTGAAGCACTCTTATTTTGCCTTTTTGATGCTAATCTTGGTTCAATAAGAGTTTCACTACTCAAAGCTTCAGCAAATTTTCCTACGACAGGATCAAAATTGTCACTGATACCATCTGACGTTATGAAGACAATATCTCCTTCCTCCACAATGGTTATAGATAGTGTGAGATTTTCTAATTCGGGATTGTTTCCATTCACCGGTCCCAGAGCACCGAGTGCATCTCTCATGTCTCTCATTAGTGTTGTATCGTGAGATCCTGAGATGTGATATTGTCATTAATTATCTTTTTGATACATCTCGTTTTATTTTTTACCTTCTGTAATTTCTCTAACTCCGTATGTCTTGGAATACACGTACGCCAAAGAGTCACCAACATTGCAGGCGCACACAACAGATTTTGCAGAGTTTTCTTCGCCTAGTGGAACTATTACAACCACTGTAAGTGTACTTAATGCGCCTCCTACTTCAAGAATGCAGTCGTGCGCCTCCCAGAAGCTTCTAAGTAAGCTCACTAGTATTCCTTGAGTAGATTTTGCAGAACCATGCAGTCCGAAGACAGCAGTGTCAAGATATTCAAGGCAGCCAAGAACCGCAGACCTAGCAGCCAAACGGGCTCCTTCACCTGCATACAAATTTATGAAACGTCTAAATAATTATTCTAAACACATATTTGAAGAAATGTGATTAAGAATTGAATATGAATTAAACAAAAATAATAATTTTCTCACCCCAATTGACTCCATCGGCGAGAGCTAGTGCTGCACTAGAACCTCTTGCAATAACTCCAAAGCAGTCTGCAATCGGACTACCAGATACTTCTGATGAAATTGGGTTTTTCTCATATAGGGACACCGACAGTCCATATGCATAATCACTTTCTGCTTTCCAATTCACAACACCAGCTATCGGCTCACTTTCTTCTACATTCTGTTTATGCTCCTCATCGATGCTGCCGATTGCGTCAGATGTATCAGGCAACTCACCATTACCATCTATTTGACGGGTAGATGGATTCTGATTGAGGCTATCTTTATATTTAATGTCTGTCTTTTGCTGTATCTTTTTCGCTGGTGATCGACTCACAAGACTCACCAAAACATTACAAGTACTTTTATCACCAACTATGGCGCTTTCCAGTGGTTGATGGGTCGAGTTTTTTCGTGAACTAGGTTTCTTTTTCTCACCTGCAACTTTGGCTTTGTTGGCATTCTGATCGCCTCGCTGTATGGGTAATTTTACACTGTGTTTACTCTTCAGAGTATTCATGGAAGGACTCTTATATACATCAATGTCTTGTTCTTGATTTGTGTCGATGAAATCAATATCTGGCCCAGCACTCAAGTGAAGACGTGATCTTTTCACACATGTTAACCCGTCGTCTGGACCTGTACATGCAGCCGTTATCGCTTGTGGCCCAGTTTCATACACACCGACTGGAAAGTCTGGCAAGTTCGAAGGTTCTTTGTCGCTATATATTTCTGGAGCAGGCCGGGCTGAGTCCAAACGCCTAAAATTGAAAGGTTATTCTCAGCAATCTTGAAAAATGTCATTATGCAAATGTTTATACCCGTTGAGAAATTTGGTGATGAAGGTTTCATTAGCACTTTGGCGAGGACTTAGACTTGCTGACAATCTTGATTCATCTCGTGGTTCTGCGATGAAGCTCAATTGGCGAAAATAGGTGGTAACTCGCTGGCGCAGTGATGGCATATCTGTATCTTTATGTTGGAATCACTCAATAAAAATCCTACGACGCAGATTGATTGCGAAATATTTCACATGCTTTTCTTCACTATTTATCAAACCAGTTCTGTTCTATGTATAATTGAATGGCAAAACTGCATCAAAACTCATAGAATATCATAAATAAATGCATTTCATTAATAAAAAGAACGCACACAATAATTCTTATTTCCATATGTCACTGCCTGTGAAACCTGTGAACGGAAAAATTTCTTCTTCTTTATTATAATGTCTCAAACAGGTAAAGTTTTTACAAAGCACAGTGTGTAGCCAAATTCAAAAAGGTCGTTATTACATAAGATAACTTAAAAAAAAGTGTAATATACAGGCCCTTTTAGGCCTGAAAGGGGGTCAATTAGCTCGAAAAAAGATGAGAATTACAGTTTGAAACACCATTTATCTCTAGCTCAAACTTAAAAAAAAGTGTAATATACAGGCCCTTTCAGGCATGAAAGGGGGTCAATTAGCTAGAAAAAAGATGAGAATTACAGTTTGAAACACCATTTTGCTCTAGCTCAAACTTAAAAAAAAGTGTAATATACAGGCCCTTTCAGGCATGAAAGGGGGTCAATTAGCTCGAAAAAAGATGAGAATTACAGTTTGAAACACCATTTTGCTTTAGCTCAGACCTAAAAAAGTGTAATATACTGCCTGAAAGGGTGTCTCTTAGCTCGAAAAAAGATGAGAATTACAGTTTGAAACACCATTTTGCTCTAGCTCAAACTAAAAAAAGTGTAATATACAGGCCCTTTAGGCATGAAAGGGGGTCAATTAGCTCGAAAAAAGATGAGAATTACAGTTTGAAACACCATTTTGCTTTAGCTCAGACCTAAAAAAGTGTAATATACTGCCTGAAAGGGTGTCTCTTAGCTCGAAAAAAGATGAGAATTACAGTTTGAAACACCATTTATCTCTAGCTCAAACTTAAAAAAAAGTGTAATATACAGGCCCTTTCAGGCATGAAAGGGGGTCAATTAGCTCGAAAAAAGGTGAGAATTACAGTTTGAAACACCATTTTCTTAGCTCAACTAAAAAAGTGTAATACCATTTTGCTTTAGCTCAGACCTAAAAAAGTGTAATATACTGCCTGAAAGGGTGTCTCTTAGCTCGAAAAAAGATGAGAATTACAGTTTAAAACACCATTTTGCTCTAGCTCAAACTTAAAAAAAAGTGTAATATACAGGCCCTTTCAGGCATGAAAGGGGGTCAATTAGCTCGAAAAAAGGTGAGAATTACAGTTTGAAACACCATTTTGCTTTAGCTCAGACCTAAAAAAGTGTAATATACTGCCTGAAAGGGTGTCTCGCTCAAAAAAGATAGAATACATTTAAACCCATTGCTTAGCTCAACTAAAAGTGTAATATACTGCCTGAAAGGGTGTCTCTTAGCTCGAAAAAAGATGAGAATTACAGTTTGAAACACCATTTGCCATTTGCTCTAGCTCAAACTTAAAAAAAAGTGTAATATACAGGCCCTTTCAGGCATGAAAGGGGGTCAATTAGCTCGAAAAAAGGTAAGAATTACAGTTTGAAACACCATTTTGCTTTAGCTCAGACCTAAAAAAGTGTAATATACTGCCTGAAAGGGTGTCTCTTAGCTCGAAAAAAGATGAGAATTACTTAAACACCATTTTGCTAGCTCACTAAAAAAGTGTAATATACTGCCTGAAAGGGTGTCTCTTAGCTCGAAAAAAGATGAGAATTACAGTTTAAAACACCATTTTGCTCTAGCTCAAACTTAAAAAAAGTGTAATATACAGGCCCTTTCAGGCATGAAAGGGGGTCAATTAGCTCGAAAAAAGGTGAGAATTACAGTTTGAAACACCATTTTGCTCTAGCTCAAACTTAAAAAAAAGTGTAATATACAGGCCCTTTCAGGCATGAAAGGGGGTCAATTAGCTCGAAAAAAGGTGAGAATTACAGTTTGAAACACCATTTTGCTTTAGCTCAGACCTAAAAAAGTGTATATACTGCCTGAAAGGGTGTCTCTTAGCTCGAAAAAAGATGAGAATTACAGTTTAAAACACCATTTTGCTCTAGTCAAACCTTAAAAAAAGTGTAATATACAGGCCCTTTCAGGCATGAAAGGGGGTCAATTACTCGAAAAAAGTAAGAATTACAGTTTGAAACACCATTTTGCTTTAGCTCAGACCTAAAAAAGTGTAATATACTGCCTGAAAGGGTGTCTCTTAGCTCGAAAAAAGATGAGAATTACAGTTTAAAACACCATTTTGCTCTAGCTCAAACTTAAAAAAAAGTGTAATATACAGGCCCTTTCAGGCATGAAAGGGGGTCAATTAGCTCGAAAAAAGGTGAGAATTACAGTTTGAAACACCATTTTGCTTTAGCTCAGACCTAAAAAAGTGTAATATACTGCCTGAAAGGGTGTCTCTTAGCTCGAAAAAAGATGAGAATTACAGTTTAAAACACCATTTTGCTCTAGCTCAAACTTAAAAAAAAGTGTAATATACAGGCCCTTTAGGCATGAAAGGGGGTCAATTAGCTCGAAAAAAAGTAAGAATTCAGTTTGAAACACCATTTTGCTTTAGCTCAGACCTAAAAAAGTGTAATATACTGCCTGAAAGGGTGTCCACCAAAAAAGTAATATACTGCCTGAAAGGGTGTCTCTTAGCTCGAAAAAAGATGAGAATTACAGTTTAAAACACCATTTTGCTCTAGCTCAAACTTAAAAAAAAGTGTAATATACAGGCCCTTTCAGGCATGAAAGGGGGTCAATTAGCTCGAAAAAAGGTAAGAATTACAGTTTGAAACACCATTTTGCTTTAGCTCAGACCTAAAAAAGTGTAATATACTGCCTGAAAGGGTGT